GACGTTGTCTTGGCAGTTGAGCAAGCTCTGCTCAACGCATCTCCGACCAGTGGCAAAGAAGGCTCAGCCGCAACACTGCAAAGAAAGCTGCAGCTCTTAAGCTTTTCCTTCCAGCCCCCTTTAAGCCAGAGATGATTCATATGCTTCCACGCGAGCTTGCCCGACAGAAAAAAGCGGGGGGGTTGGAGGGGGGGACGCAGCCCCCTCATTTGCGTGGCGCGGAGCTAAGCCGAGAACCCCATGTTTTGTTTGTTTTGGACATGATTCATATGCTTCCACGCGAGTTTGCCCGGCTTTAACAAGCCGGGGGTTGGAGGGGGCGCAGCTTCCTCCCATTTGCAAACACGATGCTCGCATTGGGCCTCTTAAACTGCCTAAATCCTCCACCTGAAGGCCCAGCAGGTATGACGCCTCTTAGACGCCTTAAACTGCTGCCCGAACCCTCCACAAAAGGCCCAACGAGTATTCGGCTCTTAAACTGCTGCCTAAATCCTCCACTGCTGCCTAAAACCTCCGCAGAAGGCCCAGCAAGTGTTACGCTTTTTAAACTGCTGCCCAAACCCTCCAAAAAAAGGCCCAGCAAGTAAGGCCTCTTAAACTGCTGCCCAAACCCTCCGCAGAAGGCCCAGCAAGTGTTACGCCTCTTAAATTGCTGCCCAAAGGCCCAGCAAGTATTAGGCCTCTTAAACTGTTGCCTAAACCCTCCACAGAGGGGGGGCTTGGTTGCGTCTCAGGGGGGAGCACAAGGGGTGGTTTTAAGGGGGCTTAAAAAGAGGGGCTTAAAGGGGGGATTTGAAGCCCCTTAAAACGGGGGGGCCTTAAAGTTAAAGGGGGGCTTAAAGGGGGGCTTAAAGGGGGGGCTTAAAGGGGGCTTAAAGGGGCTTAAAGGGGGGCTTAAAGGGGGGCTTAAAGGGGGGCTCAAAGGGGGGGTTGAAGGGGGCTTTAAGGGGGGGCTTAAGGGGGGGGCTTAAGGGGGGCTTAAAGGGAGGGACTTAAGGGGGAGGCTTAAGGGGGGGCTTAAGAGGGGGCTTAAGGGGGGGCTTAAGGGGGGTTTAAGGGGGGGCTTAAGGGCTTTGACCCTTTGCCCCCCCCCCCCCTCCGAAGGGACCCCCTTTGCAGGGACCCCCTTGAAGGGGGGCTTAAGGGGGGCTTAAAGGGGGGCTTAAAGGGGGGCTTAAGCCCCCTTTGCCCAAAAAAGGGCCCATCCTCGCTCCTTCACGCGAGTAAAGTCTTGCTGGGGACGCCGCACTACCGTGGCCATGTCTTACTGCAGCAGACACGCTACCGAACGTTCACCTCAGAGCCCAAGCACTGCAGACGATTCTGCGTAAAGTACCTGCCCACGCATCACTCTGTCATTCAATGCAGGAACAGGAATTTCCACCAAACCATGTAGGACGATCGAAAAAATGTGTGTCAAAAAGATTGAAAAAGACAAGATCATAAGTAGGTTGCAAGTAGATTTTAATTCGGTTGTAAGTAGAAGCCTTGGTTGATGTATAAGTAATTTATAAGTAGGTCAACCAACTTATAATTATGCGTTCTACTTATACAACTTATAAGTGGATTACAAGTCCGTTATGAGTGGATTATAATCTACTTATAAGTGAAAAGGACCTGTTGGTAGGGGCCATAGCCTCAAATCGTAGGCGCCAAATTTTGGCCTTTGCCTTGGCTTTCTAGCAAAGCTATTGCTTCTAGGAACCTCCTTCTCACACCCCCCGGAGTCGCGGAAGGAAGGCGGAGCCATGCCCGCCAACGCTCCCCAACTCCCCTACACCTGGAGTGTATCCGACTTCCAAATATGGTGGGCAAGGTTGTCAGATGGATGCAGTTCAAGCAAGACAAAGATGTTGTGAGACTCGACAGGGGGTCTTCCCCACTGCAGCACATCAGCGACTGGGTCAGGGAAACAGCCGCAAACGACCGTCGGAACTGTTCTGCAGCGCCTAGCCCTTAGCTAATGCAGGCTCCAAAGTTCGAAGGACCAGATGGGTCTTCGAATCAATTCACTTGTGCTTTTAGACATGTGCCTGGGCTCCCGTTCCCAACCGCTTTGCCCAGATGCCCTGATGCCACTCGCGCTCTGCCGCCCGGAGGTTTAAGCAAATAACGTGGCAACTTGCATGTCTTTGCTGCTTGGTTCACAATGGCTAGGAGTGCAACAGCAGAACTTGCTGGGTTGCAAGCCATGGTTGTGGTTGTGGTTGTCAGTGTGGTTGTGGTTGCAGTTGTGGTTGTGCTTGTGGTGGCCCTAGAAACTCCAGCTCACATATTGGGACTTTGCAGCGCAGATGTTGTCTTATGCCAGCGATGTTGCAGGAAGGCTTTTTGCCCTTTCCACGACACGGCATTTCAACATGTGGGGCGTGCGAATCAGGGGTTGGCTCAACGGGTGGTAGATGTAAAGATGTTGGTATTCACATGTGATCACTCAGTATCACAACCTATAAGGTTGCTTCCCATGTTGCGCTAGTTATGTTACTCGTAATTTTTGTCAACAAATCGTGTTGGGAAATCAGCAACAACTGGATATGAGTCAAAAAACAGACAATGGCCATGCAAGGTGCCAAAACGACATCAGCGACTTGCAAAGTTGCAGATCCTAACCATGCAGCAGTGAAGCCGATGCTTGCAAGACCATACATTTACAAGACCTTTAATTTCGGGCACATGCAATGTCGCCACCTCCTTCTGGTATTGCGAGGCACAGGTTCTTGGAGGCCAATGTTGCCTGCTTGTGCCCGTCGTCCGTTTTCACATAGAGGCCCTGGAACTGTTGTGTCTCTTGCAGGACACGCCGAAGGATGAGGAGGCAGAGTTTGCCACATGCCGAAAGCCGTATGACGACTTCGAAGAGGTCCGCAGCGATGCCTCACGTGTCGTAGGAGTTTGCGATTTGACGGAAGTTTGGTCAGGACATGGATGACGACACGCATGACATTGACGAATATGAAGTGCAGGTGCTTCGACCTGTCCCCGTGTCGGTTCGCTGCTGTGCATTGCGTGCTGGCTGGATTTTGCAGGATACTCGAGACGGTGATTACTACAACGAGGACGTTTGAGCCCTAGACTCCAGACGTTTTGCAAAGTTGCACGCCAAGCGGTATGAGCATCACATGTACTGACGTTAAAATGAGGCCAAGTTTTCGGAAAGACACCTGCGTTGTCAGGACGATGACTGCATAGGCGATGATTATGCTGATGACGACTGGGAGTCCAGCTATGGCTCGAGCGAAGGCGGCGGTTTATCATGAGATTTTCCTTCGACATGCCGGCAAGCCGCGAGCTTCTTCGAAAGTGTTCCGCAGCAGGTTATCAGTACAGGGTCATTCTGGATTGTTTCTTTTGCAGCAATTGATGTGTTGCAGCCGACTCCGACGACTACCGCAAGCTTTGGCCGGATCCATTCGACGAGGGCACCCAGGCCAGTCACCTTTCTTCAGCACCGTAGCACAACACAACCTGTGTGGTGTAGTAGACGGTTGTAGATGGGAGGAAGGAGGCTGTAGACCAGAATGTTGTTTTTGCTTTCACGGTTCTGCTGTTCCTGTTCTTCCTGCCTTGATTGTTCATGATTTGACGGTCTTGGCCGTTCATGGCATCCGGACTCCAGATGGAACCCTAATTTTTTGAGTGTGCTACAGGATGCTGCAGGTTGCACTCCCTTTCCGTTGCAAGTTTTTGTTCGGTTGCTGGCTTGAGAAATCGGCAGCGTGTTGGGTCTTCGGCTTCATGGCAGGTTTCCAGCGCCCCGAGGCCAGCAGCAAACACCGGAGATTGTGGCTGGGAGTTCGGTCCTTGCTGGGATAGGGCAGCATGTTCCTGGAATGTAAGCTCGCAGACGCGGCACTACGTTCATGGTTTCAAGAGCATCCAGGGTTTCCTTGTGACGAACATGCAAACACCTCTGGAACTTTTACCCCTCTTTCTATGTAGGTCGCCAACCCCATCGATGGCCGGAGAAGCGATCCTGCAGGCAGTGACTGATTGAACTTCGTCAGAAGAGCTGTTACACGGGGCATGCGCAGCATGTTCACGAAACGGCCCCACAATGCCCTGCCCCTAGCACTCAATGCAGGTGCCGCTGAGTGGAGCTGGCTCCGGCCTGTGCTGGCAGGCGGACGGGTCCGTGAAACATCCCATGTGAAGAGCCTCCAGGAAGGACCGTACATGGTTCGTCTTCGGTTTCTACTTCAGGTGTTCTTCACTGTTCTCCCATATTTCTCTTTGCTCATGGTTCGGGGCTGTGACGCTTGTTTCATTCCGGTGGTTTGTTATCAGAGCCCTGTTGATTCCCGAGACATGACAAAGAGCACCAAGAGCCACAACAGGCCGATCTCGATTTGATCTCAGATGGTCTCAAGGCAGGAGATTCACAGTCATTAGCCATTGAATCTCAGTTGTTGCTGGGATAAGCTGGAACCCGATGCGTGGAGATTAGATCAGATAAACTGCACTGAAAACGCATTGAATGGTTAAACTGTGGTCGGGCATGCTTACTCAGTACACAGAACGTGAGGTGCTTTGCCTTTCGCGCCCACCAAACTTGCGAGACGACATTCCAGAGGCACTGCTGCTGGTCCTTCGAACACGGTGTCGGACTTGCTTTGCAAGACGGTTACCATTGGCCGCCGTGCCGTCACACACCCCATCACACAGTTCTACAAACCCTAACGGTTCAAAGCTTTCGATCGCCTCAGCTCCCAGCCACAGGGGTCGTCGGACTCGCACAGAGACCTTTGCTCGGCGCCGCCGCGGCCCCAAAGCATGGCCAAGACGATGCTGGGTGAATGCTTGCTCTGAAGTCTGTGGGGGCAAGCGCTCTGGAAACTTGTTCACGTCGCGACGACAAGTTGAGCCAGATCCAGCCAAAGTCCAGACCGAAACCTTCCTGGTTAAGGTCCTTCTGGGGACCGCCGCTCTCCGCAGCTGTGCAGTGCTCATTATGCCTCATTGTGTCTCATTGTGGCTCCTTGTGCTTTGTTCGAAGGCATCCTGAATCGCTTTTGCAGGCAAGGTGCGCATCAAACGATGCGTCCACCGGAGCCCTCGGTCCGGATCTCATCTCGAAGTACTCTTCGATGGAGCAACCCAGGAAATTCGCAATTCGTTCCTAGCAGTCGAGGCTGCGACCACGCCCAAGATGTCGGCGATTTCCGATCTTGCCCAGACGAGTTTTGGGTCGGGGCCTTTGGAAGTGCTGTGGGCACTGGTGTCGTTGACACAAAGCCGCCACGGTCTTCTTTATCTTCTTTGCAACTTACGTAGTCAAGCTCAGGCAGCGTTTCATCAGAAGGTTGCACCCTGCCCTCAGCTGTCCTGAGCCAGTTCAGATTGTTCAGCTGACGTGAGGTAGATTCTCAAACTACTCCTAGTCTCGCTGCTTTTCGCCTCGCAATGCCGACTAGATAGCACTGGCTTGTAGGGATCAGTTCTTAGCTGCTTGGTGCCCTGTGGAGTTCATTGGATTCGCCGGGCCGGCTCTCAGCTTCGACGTGTCACCCTGTAGTGTCTAGGACCTAGGATTCCTAGGTTTCCTCGGTTTCCTAGATTGCCTCGTGCTGGACGAAGCAAAGCCAAAATCTTGAAGACACAATAACGTGCATACCTTTAGCAAGCATTATGGGTCGACTTCCCGGAACACACCTGGACAGACGATGCAACAGAGCGACGGTTCTTCGGGAACTTCGAGGATGATTCAGATTTTTGCGGCTGTTTGGTGCTTGGTTTCCATAGCCGAGCTCTGCGTGGTGAGTCCACGAGCTTTCGCGGAAGGCGCAGCACGTGACTTTGAATGCAGCTGACGTAGAGAGACATCAGAGACTGAAGTGACCACTGAAGCGTCCTGAGCCGGGTCTTGTCCTTTCAAGGCGGCCGTGCAGTGAGCCTTTCTCATGAACCGCTGAGAAGGCATGATGAGTACTTAGTGAACATGCAAGGAGTCTGGTGAAATTTTGCAAGTTCTGTGTGTGTTGTGTCATGTGCATCATAGCTCTGAATTGTTTGAGACGAACGTGTGCACACACGATGTGTGAGGCGTGCTTGCTTGCCCAGCAATGGCCGTAAGATGCTCAGAAGTAGCAGTGACATGAACAGTATTCGGCTCAACTCAGTCTAGTGCACTTTGCCGAGGACGCCCACCTGCCAGTGATTTCTCGGCCCGCCTCGCCGGAGTTTCCTAGCGTTGTGCCAGCGGCTCATCTTGTCGAGCTTCTGGGGGTGAAGCATGTGAAGCCTCGAGTTCTCATAGTATCTGCATATGGCATATGGCTGTTTCATGTTTGTTCCCTCCTCCTTGTCGTTGAGGCGCTCGCGGGTGCCAAGTCAGTCCGCGACCACCTGTCCGCCCCTGGCACCGCCGCTGGGGCAGGCCTGGGGCTGACATCGTTGAGACCTCCTTAAGACGAAATGTTCAAACTGCATGGTCTCCTGCGGTTTGAGACATAATGAGTCATATGAGTCATATGGGACATCGTGCAAACTTGAGAGCTACGCTCGCAAAAAATTGGCCGGAGTGACCATGCGGTTCGACCTTGCACTGACGTGACAAAAGGACTTCGAGAGAACCGCCGGCCCTAAAGGGCCACAGATCTCCACAGCTGGAGGGGTACGTGTTGAGGGCGCCAAAACATGGAAGCCTGCAACATCTTTACACTCAATCGCACGCTGTGGACTGTCCTTCCTTTCTGAGGCAAGCAGCTGCCCACAACTGCCAGCTGCTGACGTCAAGAGCTCGCCCAATGCGCTGCGCGTCCGGGTGCTAAGAAGTGCACAGTAACCTGAGGCTTGGATGCCACGCTAGCATGTAGAAATGTGCAGGGCGCATGCAGAGTCCCCAGGATCAAAAACCTGATCAGGCAACGTATGAAGACTCATTTGCTCTCAGTGAAGACCCATCCTGGAGACTTTCGAAGATGGAATTCCATCAGTGGGTGGTGATCGACCCTTGTGCGAAGGCGAGTTGCCCGCAGCTTCCCGCCGCAACGGGTGCTGTCCGAGGCCAAGTGACAGGCGTCGGGGTCTGTTGAGAAGCGCGGTTGGGTCGTTGCTCACTTCAGCTGCATCTCAGACCTGACTGTTTCAGCGCCGAGGCAAACCGGCGAGAGGAGGAGGCTCGCAAGCATGCATCAATGTGATCGAGCCCCCACATGTATTTCGGAGCGTCCCGCCATGTCCCGCGACTTTCTTTCGATTTGTGCACGGCAAGCAGGAAAGGAACTTCTTTGCACGGCAACTACAACATTCGTCCCTGCAGTCGCGCAGACAAAGGCCAGAAGGGCAATAGATGTCTTGGCATTGAACTGGGGCCGACATGCAAGCGGGTTGGATTTAGCAGCTTGGCCATGCCTCTGTGACTCTTGTACCTTTTGGATCAAGCCTTGGGCTTTTCGGGCCTTGGGCCTTTCGGCCCTTGGGCGTTTCACCCGCAATGAAGTGTGCAGGCTCACCAAGAGCCGGTTTCTCGTTAAAGAAGTTGTGGCTTCTCTTCACACTTGTCGCCTGGGCCGACGCCACTGCTGTGCAGACTCGTTCCGGGCGGGCCTTGAAGCCGGGCACAAATGTGACGAATGCGCGTCTTCGCGGCCCGGCCTCCTTCGAAGGCATGGTGGAAAGCCACGCCGCTGTGGTTGCGTCCCAACCGACGCCGGCGGCACCTCCTCCAGCTGCAGGCCCATCTGCTCAGGACCTTTGGCGCCTCTTTCGCCAGGTGTTGGGATACTCGGTGCTCGCTTGCGGCATTGCCTTCTGGGTGTACTGGGTGCCGACGAAACTCTGCAGCGAGCACGAGAACTTCCTGGCCGAGAAGCTGGAAGGCGCCTTCGTCGCATACCGTCTTTCCCCACGTGTGAGAGGCGTTTTGTTTCTCATTTTTGTTTCATTTTTGTTTCAGCTCTTCTTCCAACTTCGATGTTCGTGTTGTTCGGCGGGGGGCGAGGTCTGGGGCTTCAGGGTCGGAGAGTCCAAGAGGAAGGTTTCGTGGAAAAGGTTGGGGGGGGAGAGCCTGCATGGGAAATGGTGATCTCCCGCTTGCTGAGGCCGAACCTTCAGCATGTACTTGGCATATCGCTTCAACTACTGGATGGACTCCCAGGGTCTTGCAGTCACGTGGCTTTCAACAGATTTCAACAAGCCTACGCAGAGATGGTTGTGCTCTCATTTCAATGCCCGAAGTCTCCACGAAGCTTTCGAAGCTTTTTTCCGGGCAGGCCATGGGTACCATCCTTCTTGTCGGCATCCTGTCTCTCCTGACTGCGGGGGCCCTCCTCTACGCCTTCTGCCTGGGAACATCCCCAGTCACAGGTCTTTGGATGTGCTCCCTGCTTGAAAGACTTCTTCTTGCCATTGCATCACATCAAACACCTCCGAGCGTAACCATCGGAAAGTGTCTTGCGAGACTTTGTGCACCTCACGGAGCATGAACCACAAGACATCACAGCCGCACACTGACGTGAAGCGACCACGTGGGACCACCACTGAGATGACAACACATGGAGTAGTAAAGCCGCTCATCGGTTTCCTTCGTGAAACCGTTGCGCCCAAGAGCAATGAAGGGAGTCTTTTTGAGCTGAAGGCACGAGAGGCTCGAGCACTGTACAAGCTCGAGCACAATTCCAAAACGCGGGGACTAGCAGCAAGTAGACATGCAAGTGCCGGTCCCCTTCCCCTTACACCATGTAGCAAACAAAAGCACCATACCGAACCTTCCGAGTTTTGATTGGCTGTTTGGAACCCTCTGAAAGAGGAACGTGTCCAAGCCGAGCCTAGGCTTTGTTTGGGCATCGGCTGCCTCAGTTGACCCGACAGCCCCTGCCATCATGGGCTTTGCTTCTGAGCTGCAGCTGAGTCTGAGACACCAAGCGAGACATCAGGAGTTGCATCAGTACTGCAAGTGTCAGGTGCGTGACGCCACAGATGCAACAAGAGCTGATCCGCCGAGGTGGGAATCCTCACCACGCTTGGCGGACTGGTTCTGCTGGCGGTGCTTCTCACCACGATCTCGGACTACTTTGCCAAGCAGGCAGGCGGTTTGGGCGGTAGGGTAGATGGAGGGAAGATTTCCCACAGTTCCTTTCAAGGCATAAGGCATGTCGGGTATCGTAGAGGGTATTGTAGGGCATTTTAGGGAACTTCTTTGGGGGGCATCTTATCGGGCATCTTGCTTTTCGGGTCTCTTTCAGCGCTGGAAGAGGTCGAGGCCTCGAAGTCGGGACGAGACCCGGTGGTCGAGGGCGGCCACCTCCTCCTCCTGGGTGGCCCGGCCGCGTTGGGAGACACCGTTTTGCCACTCTGACTTTAGTCAGGGTTTAGGGTTTAGGGTTTAGGGTTAGTGCTAGTTAGGGTTTAGGGTTTAGGGTAAGAAGGTTCGGATTTTGGGAAGGGGGTTGCATGTGGTTGCAATGCTTGCAAGGCCACGTGGGATATAAAAGCACATCTTGCAGTCCCTTCAAGTGGATCTGAGCTCCAGGACACTCCGTGCAGACGAAGCAGCTTCTTGAGGAGACCCTCAGACCCTTCCCTTCCTTCCCTTGTCTCGGAAGTCTCAGAACCCCTTTCCACCGATTCCACCGAACCAGAGCCCTCAAGCTGGCGAGGAGTTCGCCATCTGTGAGGCCGATGACAAACCCACTACAGTGGTGATCCTGTCCAGCCAGCCGAAGCAGGAGAACCGGCCACACATGCAGATTGATGGGTGTGCCCTTCAGGGGCACTGAGTCGCTTGTGTCTTCGATTCAGTTGTGACCTTCTCAGGAAGTCGAAGACCAGATTGCAGCCTGGAATACCGACCTAGGGGACCTCAAGCTTGTCGTTCGCTGCGGGAAGTGCTGCGACAAAGCAGATCTGTGGAAGGTGGCAGAATATGGCAAAAACACAGGGGCAGGCTGAATTGTGAGCCGCCTCAGGCGGTCTAAGCACTAAGTGGCACTGGGAAAGGTCCGGGTTGGGAGCAGACGTCGTGAAACGCTGCCTTTGCCACCCTGAGGTTGGTGCAGACTGTGCCAAGCGCATCGTGATCCCAGAGAAACTTTCATCTTGCAGTCAGCAGAAGTTATGGTCCCACGCAGTTGGCCTTTGTTTGAGAAGGCTTCATCTAGTGGAGAGATGTGGAGAGGCACCTTTGCGTAAGCTGGCAGTAGCAGTCTAGCACATGGCACCGCGGTCTCTCAGGAATCCCATCCTGTCCCAAGATGAGTCGGACGCTTCGCAAATGGGCATTCTGCTCACATTAAAGGCTCAGGGAAAGTCAGGTTGGCCGAGCAATGGATATGTGGCAATGTCTTGCTGCATTACCACAAACCTTACGTACATGCAGGAGCTCAATCGCATGAGCACATGAGTGCGAGTCCGACTTGTGATGCACTCGCCGTCATGTTCCTTGTCATGCTGAGTGTATCCTCATTCAATGTCTGTGACGTGTCACCTAAGCCCATTCTCATCGCAGCTCCAGGAGTTGTACAAGGACAAGACCTTGATCTTAACAAGTGAGACCATTGGCCGCATGATGGTGCAGGCTGTGCAAGATCAGGGCCTGTGCTCGGTGTTCAACCAGCTGACAGGCTTCAGTGGCGACGAGTTCTACGTAGCTGGGGCGGAGGAGTTGGGTGTGGTGGGCAAGACCTTCCTGGAGCTTCCCTTCTGGTTTCCGGTTACCGTCCCTTTGGGTGTGGTGCGGGAGGGCGAGTACCTTGTCAACCCTGAGAAGTCTTTGGAGATACAGCAGGACGATTCTATCATCCTTCTGGCCGACGATGATGATGCTGTCCAGCCTGTTGAGGGTTGCTACCTTGACTTCGCTCGATGGACGGCTGACCGCAAACCGGCCAGCTTCAGCGAGGCCAACGCCAATGACGGTGAAACCGTCAAGGCCCTTCTCTGCAACCTGAACGCTCGCAACTGTGGCTGCGCTGTCTTAGCTGCAATGGACTCGATGACCGGGCCAGGATCAGAGGTGGACCTCTACTGTTCCCTCGGCGAGGAAGAGGCTCGTGAGATTGTGCTATCTGCTCAGCAGAGGAAGGAGCACTTCTTCGAGAATATCAAGATCCGTCAGGTTTACAGCACACCACATGATGCGATGACGTCGATGTATCGGATCAAAGATCTGCCCCTGGAGACCTACGACTATGTCATTCTCTTGGCAAATGCATCGGAGTCAGTAGACCGTGCTGATGAGCAGACTGTTGCCATGGTTCTGCAGATGAAATCCCTGTTGGCTCAGCGCGATGCACAGAAGGATTTCCAGCCGCTAGTAGAGATCTGCACGCAAACAGCTGAGGAGCAGCTGTCTGCCATTGGAATCCAGAACATGTGCAACAGCACACTTCTGGTGTCCAAGGCGCTTGCCATGGTTGCCATCAGCTCCGTGAACTACGGGGTTCTCAAAGATCTTCTCTCGCCTGATGGAAACCAGCTGGATATCATGAACTTGGAAGACTACCTTGCCGAAGGTGAGACGGTGCCAACCTTTTTGACCTTCGCCGAGGCAGCTGCAATTGTGGGACGTGCGGCGCAGCAGGCCAGGAACTGCCAGGACCTTGCAGTAAAGATCCGACATGAGGTGCTGGAGCTGCGAATTAGACAACATGAGGGGGGTCATCCATCCGGGGTTGCACTATGGGAGGGTTGGGAAGGTCTGGGGATTGGGTTGGAAAGGGCTGGGATGGCAGCATCGGAACGGAGGGGAGCTCGATGACTTTGTGGTCTCGCGTGCACCCCATTGACATGAGCCTTGTGCTGCCCCTTCCTTGTAATTTACACATCTCTCTTGGTGCACAGGTCCTGATTGGCTGGTCCGAGGATGGCGAGTACATCATCAATCCGAAGGACAAGCTCGTGCCAAGGCCGTGGTCATCCGAGGACCGTTTCGTTGTGATCAAGGACGTCTGAGGATGTCTGGGGCGCTCGCGAGCAAAAAACGCAGCCAGAGTGTGCTCGAACCCATGTAGTGTGACAGAGTAGGTCAAGACTTTTCAGGACAGTTTCTACTCTAAGGTTTGCTTGCTCAAGTCCAGGCTGCATGAACCGGTCCAGCGTTCGGACTCCTCCCAGTCCTTCCTCAAATGGATGTGAGTCCGCAGCTTCCGCCTCCAGGTCTTTGGTGCAGCGTGAGTTCGTGCGGAAGACCCGCGCGGATGACGATGCCGAATTCTGGGGGGCCAAGGACAAGCATGGGCTGACGGCAGTCCTGTCCATGTGACCCTGTGCTCGCGCAAAGCACATGCCATGAAAGCATGCCCAAACGTCGAGTCAGCAATGCCAAGCAAGTTTCTTGAGACGTAAGAGTCATCATTCTTTCATGGATTCTTGAGATTCAGCTCTAGACTGGGTTAGTGTGCCCGGACTGTTGCAGATTTGCTAGCCGAGTACTGGAAATACCTTGCTTCGCACCCCAGGGGAAGGAAGGATTCCGGACGTACCTCAAGAAGAAGTTCGGGTGCCTCAGCCTGCAACACAGTCCTCCCACTTCTCCAGGGTTAGGCATATGGTCGGGGCCTCTGATGCAACAGAGCTGCTTCTGAGGTCTTGAGTTCAAGGGTACTTGCACAAGCAATCTCAAATTCTTTTGGTGTTTCGTCTTGACCAGATAATCTTGCTGAGGACCATCTTGAACGGATGGAGGGCTCTTGACCAGGACCTGCCGCTAGAAAAGTGTCACAGGAAAGAAACCACTTGAGCCGGGGCAGAGAGCGCTCTCCTCCTCCTCCTCTTCCTCTCATACCCTACTCCTACTCCTACTCTTTTACAGCTACCACTATTGCGACTGTGAAGATTAACAACTGAATGATCAGAAGAACAGCGGTATCGGCAAGAGTAGCAAACGTTGGCCGAGTTTTTGGAAGAGTATAAGGCGTTGGGGTGATGCTTGTTTGGCAGAGAAAGAGAGAGGGAGAGAGGAGAGGGGAGATGAGGACAGGGTGAGCGAGGGAGAGGGGGAGGGGGGGAGAGGGGGAGATGAGGGAGAGAGTTAGAGAGGAAGAGAGGGGGAGAGCAGGAGAGCGCGCGAGTGTAGCTCGAGATCGCAAACCATCATGGACCTTCTCTCGTTTGGCAGGACCGGTGTGGGCGTTTGTCTTTCCAGGAGTTCTGCCAGGCCTGCCGTGTGCTCACCTCAGGAATGGCCTCAGCGTTGGTGGTGCATTGGAAGGCTATTCATGCACTCATGCAGAGGGACCTCCTGAGTCTCTCCCGATTGCAGTCCTGTTTGACGTGTGACCAACAGGCAGCAATGCCAGTGCTGAGGCGATGGGGTATCATGGCAACTTCAAGAAGTCTGGGCCCTTGAAGATCTGTGGTTGTGCTGCGCTGAAAGATCTGCGTTGGCTCCCTCAGGGTTTAGGAAGTTGCTCGCGACGATACGGTCGAGATGCCCGTAGATGAAGAGTTGTGCTCTGGCCTGTTTTTGTTTTAAGAGGAGCAGCGGCAGTGGCGCCGGAAACCGCGCAGATGCGATGCACTGGGACTCACCTCACCAAAAATATCGGTCGCCCTGTCGACCGATGTCACGAAAGCTAGCCCCCGAGGAGCTAGCGGAGTATCTTACTTAAGCGAAGCTTACAACCTGAAGGGTATATAGGGTCCCCGGAGGCTCCGCCACGAAACCCAGCAAACCCGGTCGGTTTCCAAGCGGCGACCACAGGTTTTGGGGAAACGGGCTGGCGTTCATTTCTTTCGTATATGGGTGCAAATGAACGCCGTTTTCTGTGGATCCCAGGCCCTCGAAAACCTTTCCAAGTCTTAAGAAAAGACTCAGAAGCCCTGATGTTGATGTGAGTCTGGCGTCCCTCAAAGCTGGATTGGACAGACTTTCATGATGCTCGCGCATTGCGTACTTGTTCTATGTTGGGTGCCCGACCTGAAGCCGTTGGCTGGTAGGCATGATATTGAAACGCACTACCGCGCGGGAAAAAGGTGACGGCTTCATGCCTTGGCGTAGCCTTGTCCTGATGCGTAGTGGATGCCCTGTTGACAGAAACCCTTCCGTGGGGGTACCTTAACTAGCTTTCGTCCCAGGCCCTCACCCTCAAGTTCATATCAGCTGTGTCTCGATGCAACGAACTCCTCCTTCGACACCGAGACCGGCAAAATTGACAGCCAAAAACCAAAAAAGACTTGCTCAACAAGGAATGAGGTGGATCCGGAAACAGTTGTTTTGTTGTTTGCCTTCGTGAAAAGATGGTTTTCTTGCCGAAACCAACTTGTTCCCTCTTGAAAAGGTGGTTTTCTTGCTAAAACCATTTTTTACGAGGGAAAAGTTGCCCCTTTGAGGCAAAACCAACTTTCTACTAGGGAAAGTTGGTTTTTGAGCAAAACCATCGTTTACGAGACAAAACCAGAATCAGCTTTTTCGGAGAAATGAGGGGAACCTGGAAAAAGTTTGTTTTTTTGGTGGGTTGCCCCTTCAAAAATCGCCAGGTCTCCGCGGGCAATCCATCAGCCTGGGGCTTCTAGGGTTTAGGGCTTGTAGGGTTTAGGGTTTAGCGTTGCAGGTTGCAATGGACAATGGACAACCTGACTTGGACGCAGCGTGGGGAATTCAACAACACCGGTGAACTCAAAGGATAATTGAGCTTTCGATTCTCTGCTCTGTTACGCGGACTTTCGGCGTGACACACACTTACCATATATTTATGTACAGACTCCCAGTATGCGAAAAACCTTCTCCTTGGCATGCTCAATCCCTGGCAACGAAGTTGATATCAGACTTCTCGCTCTTACCATCCTGCACCCTACCGTTCAAAGCTTGGTCTTCACAGAGGCTGTGGGCGGAACTAGATGCGAAGAAGACCGGGATGGTTCTCGCCTAAGTTTAAACTTTTGGAGGTGGCTTGCAGATGTTCGTGTAGACTTGAAGTCTACAGGGCGCGTCAGCTGCGGCTCGTTTGAGTTGACATCCCATTGCTGCTGCAGGTATCCTTGATGGAAATTGATGCAGATGTGGGCCACTACATCGGTGGGACACTGAGCTCCTCCAACAAGTTGTCTTGCTTGTACAGAGCGACTCAGATTTCCCAACGGAGGTGCTTCGTGGCAAAGCTTTGCTGAAGAAAACTGCCCCAAAATTTTTCCGGGTATGTATGCATGTGCCCCTGGGAGGGTTTAGGGCGAAGAATCTTGAGGCTGACGTGTCATGACTGTCGTGGCTAGTCCAGCAGTCCAGCACCTCACATGCCAAGTCCTTGAACGCACCAGGAAGGAGGTTGGAGAGGTGGCACGTTTCAGCTGCAATACTTCTCGAAGGCTTCTTTTTAAACGAGTTTCAGGCTCAATGCCCTCAGTTGACCGCATGTTTGCGAAGTTTTGCCAAGGCACCTTCAAGCTCGCCCTGCTGCAAAAGTATGGTGACATGGTCACTGCCTGGTTCCAGTGCATCGACGTCAAGCGTGAAGGGCGGATCCAGGAGCCTCTCCTTTGTACCTGAGTCGGGGAGCTGTTCGGAATGATGCAAGAAGTTATGAAACATGATGCAGACGTTGGATGATGTTTGTGTGGAGCACAGGGCAGGTCAGGGCTGGCATTCCTGAGTCCAGTCCCGGCTTCATCTCAAGCCCCAAGTTCTGCATGCTCTGTTTCTAGCGGGGTGCCGCAGCCACAGCAGTATCCTGAGATGGTATTGTCAGGTTCTGCAAATCACGCTGACCTGCAGGGCAAAGATGAAAGGCAGCAGCTGTCCATTTCGTGAGGTTTAGTTTGACGCCATGCCGTCCTATGGAGCTGTCAAGACCGCCGCCGGAGTTGCAGTCGGCCTTGTCCTGCAATTTGCCTATCTGCTGCATTGGATGCCGTTTGGCTTCTTCATGTCTGGTTCAGGTTCTGCACATGGTGCCGCGAAGTAAGCGCCGCGTGCCAAGGTGCTGGGCCTCAGTCCTCATTCTGGCCAGGCGGAGAGCATCGGAAGCCTGCAATTGGGAGACGTGTGGGGAGATGTGGGGTCAGGGGGTGAGCGGAAAGACCGTCTTGTTTCCAGGGCGACAGTTCACAGAGTCCGAACTTTGAAGTTGATGTTGAACCCGACGAATGCCACACATCATCCTTGCATTTCGTGCAGAACTTTCGAAGCTTCGTGACGCAGCTTCCAGGAACCGTCCCACCATAAGCTCACTTAGAGTGCTCGTGAAGTGTATGATGGCCTGTTGGAAACACTGATCAATACAGCACTGCTGTGCTTGTTTCCTCACATGATTGCAGGGCAAGCCCCCCATGTTCGGCGACTACGAGGCCGAGCCTTCCGATTGGCCCTGAACTCTTCCGTGTGTGGGCTAGCGGCCCTCTAGACTTCTTGGTGGGGCTCGCAGTAAACTCACAGCTCAGAGCTCTCTTTGCTTTCTTTGCTCTCTCTCCCTTGACCCAGAGAGCTGGCTCTCAAGACACAACGGCACAACGGCCAGAGGCGCAGCGGCACTGGATGGAGATCACCACTGCTTTGCCAATTCTGGACTGGTACGAGCAGACTGAGGAGAATGACCTACAGTAGCCTGCCCGCAAGTTATACTCGTACTTGGGGCTGCTTTTGGGATCCCTCCTCCACAGTGTTTACTTCGTTCGCGGCATTCCTCTTCAGCAGTGCTGTGAAATTGGAGGTATTGGGGCTTGGACTATCCACCTCTCACAGCCTTCCACTCGTGGCTTCTCGGGACACTTATCTGAGATTTGCTTGGCAGAGTTCAGTTTTCGCTTTGGCGCAGTGGGGATCTCTCATGGGATGGCACGCCGAAGAACTGCTTCTCAGGAAGCTAGGGCACTTGGCGGACCCCGCGTGCTTTGCTCTGCACAGCAGCCGTGGTCATGAGGGCGTGGGCTGCAAGGCCTTGGGTGCCTGTCTGTCTGAGCTTAGGGGGCGGAGTGTTTGGTGGGTTGTTGCTCGTTTGCAGGCTGGCTGCGTTTTGGCCCAGCTTGTTTTGGTGCTTGTGCTTAGGGCTTGGGGTTGTGGCCGGCTGGCGCCGGCCAGGATGCCTGTTTGTCCGCAGGTGTTCTTGCGCCTCTCAGTGATCGTGTCAGACCTCTTGGTCTACCTTCCAGGCAGCCTTTGTTGTTGAAAGCTGTTGGACTTGCTTGCCGGTCCCTATGAGAGCCAAACACCAAGACAAAGGGTGGGCTTTCCATCCGGAAAAGCGAATTCCTTCTTCCCTTGAATTGTCAACTGGTGTCTTGTTGAAAGCTGCTGGTATGCATGTGATGATACACTTTGCACTGTTCGATAATGTTTGGAACAGCCTATCAGCCCGGGAGCGGTTCGAACTCGCCGAGCCGACAATCTTTCCTCCAGGCATCTTTGTTGCCAGCCACGGCTTTGGCGACCGCAAGGATGGGCGATGATACCTGGCTCACGTTTGCGGTGAGGTGAGGCTGGGAGAAAGAAGGAGAACGTTTGTCAGCAATGCAGGACCCCGCTCTGCTGACTTCAACGGTGCTGCTGCTGTGGCTGCTGCCGCCCCTGGCGCGGCGGGGTTCGGAGATGTTGCGGTCTTGAGGTTCTGGCAGTTATGGCACATATTGTTGCAGTGAGGGAACGGCAAGGCCCATAAAGATCCGCGCAGTACTGTGCAGTACTGTGCGGAGCTGAACCCTGGAAAGGTCTTGATTGACCATGGGCATTTCCAGCCTCTGGGCAGCATGCAAGCCAGTGCTGTCCTTGCAAGACTTGCCTTCCAGCAGCAATCTGTGGTAATCTGATGTAATCTGTGTTCAGCTCGCCAAATGTGGCTGATTCTTGCAGTGCCGCCTTGTACCCAGCAAATGACTCAATGGTCGCAAATTTGTTAGCAACCTTTGTGTAGCAACAAAAGGTACAATGGTGTGTGCCTGGGCCTCTGCCTCGCCGCAGCGGGCTGCGTGGCCCGCGGCCGGACAGCGCTCGGCAGCGTCTCTTGGCAGATGTGTCAGGGTGTTGTTAGGATTTCATGAGAAGCTCAAGTTCTTGGCATGATCTTTTCTCGTCACGGTTCCCCTCAACGGTGATTGATTCGAGTCAGACTCTAGTTGTGCGTAGTTGCATGGCATTTGGCCGTCTGCTTGTGGGAGCCCAGCCAGCCGCAAAAGATAAAATTCAGGCGCTCCGGTGCAGGCTCCAGACTTGTCGTGGCATCCGTGCGAACTTTCGAACATGCCAATCATAGGTATCCAGGGTATACATGGCCTTTCTCTCTGCTTTCGTCAATGTCACAGGGGCCCTTCTGGTGGGTAGTTATGTTGACACTGGCATCCATTCACGCTGTGGTGGGACGTCAGCCCGATGCCCCATGCACTTTGCTTGCAAACGAACTTAGCTCAGGCGTGGACCTTCCTAGCCCAGTTCTGTTATCAGTATTATCAGTTGTCGCAGGAAGCTAGTGGCACAGCGACATTAAGTGACTGAGGTTCTGTTCACATCTGGACTGCTCTTCAAGCAGATCGCGCTGTATTATGTGCCCGGCTGCAAGAAGCAGAAATGTGCGGGGGTTCATTTCGTGCACCGATGGTCTGTCGAGCCCCCGTTGTTATCTCCTGGAGCCTGGCGGTACCTTGTTGAACGATGCCTGTTCACTGGTTCGACAGAATCTTAAAGGGGCGCTTCGACAATGGCTGGCTAGGTTGTAGGCTTCAGGGGCAGGTTCCAGACAGACCCAGAGCCTCTCTGGACTCCCGAGCTGGGCCTCAAGGGGCCTGTCCAAAAAAGGTGGAATCCTTGAGTGGGGCAACAAACGCAAGCGAGTTTGCTGCGCTTGTTTTGTGCCTATGTGCTCCTCTGCTCCTGATGCGGGGCGTCCTCGCAGTGCAGTTTACTTCAATGGGTGGCTGTTGATGGCTCCTGAAACAGGAATGGTTTGGGGTCCTCTCGGTGGACCGCGTGGCCGAACGGGTGGGCGGGGCCGGGTTGGCCTCTTACTGTGGCTCCCTGGGCTTCAGTAGGAGGCGCTCCTTTCAAGTCTGTCCTGTTTGGAGTCTTCGCTGGCATACGGGGACGGTTTCGTGCAGGGTTCTTGCCACTTGAAGTCGTCAGGCGCCAGCGTTCTTCTTCGGCATTCTGGGCATCTGCTTGTGGCAGCCGCCCGCTGGAATCTTCAACGTGAGTCGGCGTGTCGTTGCAACCGGCGTCGTCGTCCTGTGTACTGCCGCGCTGCTGCTTATGCCGTGGCTGCTTTCTGGGCAGCCAGTTGCAGCCTCAAGTCTGCAACAAGCAATGGGCTTTGAAGAGTTTTTGTTCTTCGAAGCGCTGGTGATGTTTGCCTCAGATTTTTCAGCAGTTTGCCAAGGCAGTGCTCCAGATCTTGCACCGGATGTTTCCGTTTGCACGGGGGCTTTATGAAGACAAAGTTGCCAACTTTTGGTGCTCCGTCTCTGTGGAAGCTTGACATGCGCAATGAGGTGGTTTGTGTAGGACAGGTGTGGGAACGTAGGGAGCAAGTCAAGGGCTAGGACGGTTAGGATTTGCTGGGGTTGTGCGGGCAATCCTGAGCTCAAATCCCAGGTCTTCAAAGTGCATCGCGTCCTCCCAGCCGCCTACATCCCGCGCCTTTGCGCAGCTGTGACGCTGGCAGCGCTGCTGCTTCTCGGAATCGATCATGCAATTCACGACGGCCATTACCGTTACATGAACCTCGATTTGTCCAGGTAATGCGTAGGGCTTCCTAAGCCCTAAACCCTAAACCCTAAACCCTAAACTCTAAACCCTAAACCCTGTACCCACTGTACTGCTCTATGAATCGGAGATCGCAGCATTTTGGTCTTTTCGGTGTTCGTGTGCTCAGTCCTTCAGCGCTCTGCTCACTTCGGCCGGGAGCCGGAAGAGGAGCAGCTGGTCCTTTGCTAGGGACGCGTAGTAGATGTAGTATATGTGCCAGATGTAGTGGATGTAGATGTCGATGTCGATGTAGATGTAGATGAAAATGTAGATGTAGATGTAGATGTAGGTGCAGATTAGATGTTGGTGCGATGTAGTAGTGGTGGTAGTGGTAGTGGTAGTGGTGGTGGTGGTGGTGGTGGTGGTCGTCGTCGTTGTCGTCGTCGTCGTAGTAGTAGTAGTAGTAGTAGTAGTAGTAGTAGTAGTAGTAGTAGTAGTAGTAGTAGTAGTAGTAGTAGTAGTAGTAGTAGTAGTAGTAGTAGTAGTAGTAGTAGTAGTAGTAGTAGTAGTAGTAGTAGTAGGAGTAGCAGTAGTAGTAGTAGGAGTAGCAGCGGTAGTACACTATTCATTTCCGTGGTTTTGTTGATGGCGTTGTTGTTCTGAACATCTCGGTTTTGATTTGGGTGATCGTGTTTCAATTGTTCTTGAGCTGCGCCTTGGGTGCCGCCGCGATGATCCTTTCGTGCTTTTTCTTCGTTCCTTTGCTCGAACATGTCACCGGGTGTTGGGTGCCTTCGAACGTGGTCCAGCTTTCAAGCCCAGCAGATTGCACAACAGCGGGTACAACCTTTCGTGGGGTGTGCTGCTCTCAAACGAAAGGGCCTCAGTTTTCTTTCATGACACTCAATGAAGTGGAGCCCGTGGTGGAGTTCCAGAATTGGTTCGGCTAAGTCAGTGCAAGGAGCTTTCGCGGCTACCCTCTTCACCTCCTCACTGTCCTTCTTCCTCTTCGCATTCCAGGCCGAGCTTGGGTCACTCGAAATACTGCACAGATCCTTCGAGAATTGTGCCGAAGAGTCTCATTAGTCAGCAAGTGAGCACATGAAGTGCCAACATGCAAAGAAGTCGTGCACAGGTACATGAGAAAGGCATCCTCTTCCCTGCCGCAGCCGCGGCACTGCTGCCCATGGCTCTGCCTTCGAGGCATGTGGCCATGGCCGTGCTGGCAGCGAGGCACTTCCAGCTCGTGGCCCTCTTCTCCATGCAGCTGGGCAAAGAGAGGCTGCCAGGTATTGCCAGGTCTTAGTCTGCGGCGCTGTGTCACCAGTGCCAGTGAAGACCAATGCGTGTCAGTGCGTAACCCTTGCGGGGGGCTGAGGTATCCCTTGATGGTCAAGGACGCTCTTGTTCTCCCATACGCCCTGGCATGCTTGGCGCTGGTGGCAGTCTGTGAGGTGGAAGGGCTTGCAAAGGGCCTCATGCTGTTGTTTCCTGGAGAATTTGAGGATGGCCGAGCTAGCTGGTGCTCAAAGTACCGAGAGCCGCTAGCACAGCGCTTCTCTGGAACACCTCTCGCTAGAACTTGCAAAGCTCGCCCTTGGGGATCTAGGGCATATGCCGTGACTGCCCTCGTGCAAGAGCCAGATCCGCCTTTTTGGGAGTTCACTGAGCCAGTTTTTTGATGCGCTTGGAGTCGCCTGTGGAGGCGGATCTTCCTCCCTGCGGTGGAGCCGTCAGAGCCTTGCTCAGGCCGGGGCTTCTCTCGGATTCTCTCCTATATCTCTTGTTTGTTCACGTTACTCTGATGGACTCTACAAGACTCTGCAGTCTTTTGCCTTGGAGGACCTCGTACCTCTTGGGGCTCCTCCTTCATGGCATCCATGCCTTCGCACCGGTCCCTGCGCGGTACCCGGACCTCTGGACGCTGCTGATTACCAGTGCCAGCTGTGGTGACCTCCGTTGCACAGAGAAATCTGTCGTAATCTGGCCATGCCACAGGATGCTGGCTTTTCCTGTCTTTCACATGGTGCAGCTCTCTGGCTCTTTAGCTTCCTTTGCAGCCGAGGTTACTTCCTGTGTTCCCTCATTGTGGTGAGTGTGGCTCAGATGAGGGGCCTCTTCAGTGCCACTGAAGCGGAAGACACAGCAAAGCAGAAAGAGCAGTGACGGACAAATGAGCCCGCAACTTGCTGCAAGTGTCCGAAGCTGCCCACACTATGGAGCCAAGAACGTGTCGAAGCCTTCTCGAGCGCAGACCGAGCTCGGAAACCTGAAACAGGCACGCGAAACTCAACAGTGCCTTCCCCAGATCTCCTCAGGAGCGAGCCCTTCGAGCTGCAGTGGAGACGCCCCTTGGCCAAATCCCTTGGAAGCATTTTAACAGTCTGAATGCCTCTAATTCAAGGCTGCTGCGCAGCTTTTTGCTGAGGCTTCCTGAGTCACCGAGTGACCTAGATCCCAGTTGCCGCAGGCTCGGCTTGAACTTGAACCCCGCCAAGCTCTTCTCTTTCCTGCGCAGCCCGGCATCATCGCAGGTGCGGGACGACGAGAAGAAAGGGGAGAGAGAGAGAGAGTAGCGGGAGGGTTAGGTGAGCAGAAAGAAACAAAGAGTGTTTGTTTGTTTGTTTGCTTGCTTGTCTGTTTGTTTTTTGTTTGTTTGTTTGTGTGGGCAAGTCTCACAACCTGGACTGCTCGACAAGGGGGTGCCCTGTGCGGGGAGGTTCGCCTCCCTATGCCCGGTGTCGAAACATGGTTGAGTTCATGTAGGAATTCTGAGAGTCGGGGCTGTGAAAGCCCAGAAAGTCTTTCCTGCAGAGGTTAGAAGACGGCGAGAACGCCTGAAATTTCGGGAGCTCCCGATCTACTGTTGAGAGTCTTTGCCAGGAGGGTGTGACCTTCCAAGAGTTTGATCCAGAAGCATGGCCGACACCTCAGGGGGGAGGATAGAGGGGCTTCAACGCCCAACGCGGCGGGAGCTGCTGCGACGACCGCACGATAGTCATATAGCATGATATCACACGTAGGGGGATTTGGATTCGGAAGCTGGTGCTTCGCTAGTCTTCGCTGCCCAAAGCTCAGGAAGAAGTACATGTCTGGGGACTACGGCAACCTCGTCCTTCCGGATAGCCGCGAGTTCCTGGATGACCTGCACATGCCTTTGATGTGTTGTTGCTTGGGTAACAGAACTCTCGATTCTCTCAACTTTGCACTTTCTTAGAGAAGATCGTTGATTTCGTATCCCAGGCCCGAAGCCTGTGGCAACATGCCTGAGTCTGTGACTGACCGAAGACAGGGCGGCGTGGAGTCTGACCCCTAGAGTACTTGTTGGCGTATGAGTGCTTCTGAACTGAAAAGAGGCTCATTTCACAGTTTGGAAGGCGCCCGAGACAGTGAACATGCTTACTAAGGCAGATGCGGAGGAGCATGAACAAAGATGCACAGGATCAGAGGAAGCAGGACCGAAATGTGAGAGATCAACGGATTTTTGTAGCCAGCAGGTCTTCTGTTCTTCTGATGGTGCTTCAGGAGCATGAGCAGATGGAGAAGTTCAAAGTCGGCCTCCGGAGCGCAGATGGCTTTCGCCAGGTGGGCCATTGAAGTGCGGAGACTTTGCTTGCGGATTTCCAAGTGCCGTGTCCTGTCCTGCTCACATTGCACCCAGTAAGCTCAGTATGCCCTTCTCGCAGCCAGTGGCTCCACTGACAGGCGCTGGCTCATCGCTTCGGCTCCTTGTTAGGAGCCTGGCGGGAGGCAGCTTGGCATCACAAGCTATGCCTGGAAATTGGTCGAGCCTGTGCCGCTCACAGAGTGCATGGCCCAGGCACTCGACTACGATGGGAACAACCGCTTGACTTTTGGTGAGCCGGCCCGCCTTGTGTTAAACGCTAGCACCAGCACACTGCTGTTTGCCTCGGCATGCACAGGTGCTCCACAAGTGCTGTGTTGGACATTGTTGGACCGTGAGTCGCCAGGTTTTGCCTGGCATTGAACCGGCTTGGCATGCACGGTGAAGTCAGGAGCGCAATCGAAGAGTGCTGAGGGTGCCCCGTGAAACCGTTTTGAAGTCTTTGCTTCCAGGAAGCTGTGGTGCCAGCTCACGAAGCGGAGTGACGAGTCGGGCTTCTTGTTCTTCAGGTCGAGGGCATGTAACGCGTCACACAACGCTGGGCGCACTGATGCACAGCTTGAGCGGTGCAGTAGGTGCTAGGGCATGCAACGCATGTAGAACCCGAAATAAACACTATTTTGTGTATGTGAACGGGCCATGGCAGGGACCTGGATCAGCAGACGGATGGCATGCTGACAGAGTTGCGGACGAAGCTGGCGCAGGTCCTTAAGCCTCCTTCAAAATTAGCAAAAAATGGGCTGAGCTTGCAGCATAGATGGTGAGACGGAGAGGAGTATGAGAACATGCTCATGGCTTGGATCAAGGGCCTTGACACACGAGCCCCATGCTCAGCCTTTGCTGTCGTTAAGTCTCAGCTGCTGGCAAAATCCGCTCTGCTCCAAAGGGGACCGGTCTGGTCAGCGAGAAGCAGTTCGTGCAGTGCTGCCGGAAGATCGGCGCCGGACTCAGGAAGTGACCGGGCAGAAGGCCTCTCCTTCGTCGGCATTTTTTGGTTGCTTTTTGGGTCTTTGCCATGAGCGCAGCCCGTCGCAGGATTCAGTGGGAATGCCAAAGACCTGTTCAAGAGAATGCAGCCCGATGCAGGCGAGGTGCCTGCCACGGGGAGCTGGGGTGTGGGGTTGAGACATAGGTGCAAGACCTCAACGGGATTTAGAGGCCTTGTGACTGTTGTGACTGTCGGGCCGTGGCATCCGGGTCCTTGTGTCGTCCCTTGTTTTTGCGAACCTCTGTGACGGAGGGGGTCGCCATGAGATGCCAGAAGAGCCGGCATCGTTTCGCGTTTCGCAGTTTTTGCTCTGGGTTGGCTCTCGGCGACGGTTGCTGGCTGGGAACCAGAATTGGGCAGCAGAGAGCAGTTGTTGTGCCAAGGGGATGTACTGGCAAGTTTTCCTTTTTTGGTTTGACAGGTCGGGGAGGCAATTGGCTTGTAGTGGGACTGGGTGCGCCATGGTGTGCCGGGCATCCTTGAAGTTAGAGTGAAGCAAGTGAGAAGGTGTGTGTGTGTGTGTGGGTAGCTGTTCTTTGGCACAATGACAATGAGTGACAGGCAGAACACTGATGACAATCAGGGACTTCGACACCAAGGCATTTCATGCCCTCAGCCCGCCACCCGGTTCTCTGTGGGTTCAGACACTTTGGACAAAATTTGACGACGGAGTCCCCATAAGGTCGTGGCGACTTCCGCATGCTCAGCGAACCAGGTCAAGGCTTGGACTGACTTCAGCTGTGGGTCCTGATGTAAGGTGTTTGTGAGTTTGTGACGTCCGCAGGCTACCACGGAAAGTCGCCCCTGGAGCTCACTTTCCTGCAGCGCAACGAGGCTTGCGCATCACGGTCATAGATGCTCCCTCAAGCCCTTGTCCCCTTGGAGAATCTTGGAGAGATTGCACTGATACCCCGAAACCCTCAAGCCGGTGCATCCCTGTGCACCGACAGCACTTGGTGGAGGCTGGCTTCTTCTACCAGATCCGGAGGGCAGCAGATGCGTCACGCAGGCTTGCCTAGCTTGGCTGCTGTGCAATGGCTACCGCTCTTGCGCTGCATCATGGGACCCTCACGTCCTCAAGTGTCGACCAGGAGAGAGTTCGCAAAGGCTTGCAGAGTTGCAAATCCGCCTGGGGCTCGCAAACTCTCAAAGTCCACCCGTTCTCGGATGCTCCGCCTAATGCTACGCTTAATGCTCCGTCTCTCTTAGGTCGCAATACTGCATCAACACGATTGAGGACTTTCAAGACCTTTGTGTCCGAGCAAGCCTCAGCAGGGCAGAACTTTGGCCTGCGGACGGACGGAAGCCTGAGACTGTGAGTCTCTGCAGGCGCTGCTCTTGCCAAACGCATCCGCTAAGGCAAGTATGGATCCCTCATAGCAGCATGGCGGCAGTGTCTGGACAACCACGCCAATGGCAAGTCCCAAGCTCGGGTTTTGCCGGACCTTGCGCATGTTTGAATATCAGAGCCTTCACGAGTTGATGAACGTTGCTTTTCGTCTCTATGTTCTTCATTTCACTGCGACGCGGCTGCACTTTCGTTCGCAGCCGCATACGGTGCAACTACATGCAAAGCACCCCTTGTGCCAGTATCAACAGCCCTGAGAACTTGCATGTAAGTTCAGCACTCTACACACAGCCACAGCTCCTGTAGGACGTGTTCGGATACGTCCGATATGGTTCGATAGTGCGTGCAAGCCTGCGGGACATGGGCCGAGCAGATGCTCGGGATCCGAGTGAGGGCACTTCCCAGCGTTCCAGCAAGTCGACCATGGCAGGACTCGGTGCCATGAGGTTCGTCACTAGGCTTTTCGTGCAGTGCTTGCTGTGGCCTGCAGGGCAGAAGATCGGAGCCGGAGTGGCAGATGAGGAGGATTTGACATCCACGGCAGTTGAGGCCAGCTGTCGCATGGTTTCGCTTTGGATGCTGACAACTAACCTTCTTTTCCGAGGAGGAGGAGGAAGATCCCCTTCTTTCGACGATGCCGCCGCAGCCAACACCACCGCCGAAGGAGGTCTCCCCACAGGACGTTCTGCTTCCTCGTATCTTTTTGTCTGCTTGTCTGTATGGCAGCACCGTTTCCTTAAAAAGAGAGCCAACCGACAAGAGCCCTGCGGTGCAGATGGTGGCGTGATGTGCCCGTGTGAAGCCCCAGCTTTCCTGAAGGAGCCCTCACTCTGCGGCTTTCCGATGAAGTGGCTTTCCTTGGTTTCCCTGACGCCGCTCGGACATGACGGCTGGTGACGGCTTGGCTGGACTGTTTGGGTTTGGGTCGTCCCTGGTTGTCCCTGCCCCAGAGGTTTCAAACCACTGGTCAAGCCTTGCTCATCAAATGGGCGGATGCGCAAGGGCGGAAGGAGCCACACCTCCGGGGCTGACCCACCTGAAGGGCGTAGAAAGACCTCGAATCAAGGCAAAGATAAACAAAGGGGTTATTGCATGTTGTTGCGGTTCCAGTTTTGTTGCGATATGTTGACGGGCCAGAACTCCACAAGCCACCATCCGAAAGCACCACAAAGTTCACCCGTTCCGCTATGGATTTGACTTACCAGGCATAAATTCCGCCTTTCCAATCCCAAGACATTAAGCCATCCATGCAATGAAGTTGAGTTGAGGGTCCAGGCCTAAGGAATCGGGTTTGAAACCTTGAAGCCTTCAAAGCCTCCACAGCAGCACGACAGTCAATGCACTTTTTGCAAAAGCTGAAAGCGTGAAGGAGTACTTGCCCAGCACGGTGGTGTTTTGGACCGAAGTGCTAAAGCTCGTTACCAGCCTCATTCTGGTCTTTCATGAGAGCGGAGCCTTGGGCCGCATTGCTGCAGTTGGGCTTTCGGGTCGTTTGCCGACAAAGCCCAGCCCGGGAGTTCAGGGCATCACTGTGGGCTAGCTTGTTGAGATGTGAGAATGGCACGGTTCGAAACTCATGCCAGACACTGGCTGCCGGCGCACGTGGGAGGCCGCTGAAACCAAAGACATCCCATCAGCACAAGGGGGGAGGGGGGGGCGGGGAGGGGGGTGGGCGGGGGGCACGCTGGCAGCCCAATGGCCAAAAAGGCCTTCGCGAAGGACAAAAGCCACAAAAGCCTGGGAGGTTTTCCGGGGTCTTCGTGCGTGTTTGATGTTGCTCTGTGACTAGCACTTACTGTGCACTACCTTCGTGAATCTCGCATTTCTGCAACCATGTAAAGGCTGTAATCTGAAGGTGTACAGAGAGAGCTGGCCTCGTGCTTTTGCCGAGGTGATGTGCTCAAGGGGTCCCGCGACATCGCTGAGCCTTTGCCCGCTTGGAAGTTGCGAGGATGGTGTAAACCCTAACCCCTAAACCCTAAACCCCAAACCCGAAACCCTAAACCCTGGACCCTAAACCCTAAACCCTGAACCCTCAACCCTAAACCCTAAACCCTAAACTCTAACCCCGTATCCCCTAAACCCCTCAGACAACTGGAGAAGCTTTGTCGACTCTCAGGAGCACTTTACGCAATCCCCCCAAGAGTTGGCCAAAGCAGCAGCGGCCCGGCAGAGTCTGCTAGTTTTTTTGTATTTAAACTAAAGAGATACATAGAAATATGGTTTATGTAAATCTGTATTTATGTATATGTATATGTATGTGTGTTTTTTGATGGATCTGTGTGATATTATATGTGAGTTCTGTGGCTCCATTCGCAAATGCTGTGGGTTGCAAAGTGGAGCGAAGCTCACCTTTAAATCCTGTGCCTCCCGGCAAGGCTGAAGCCAAGCCTTGTGCTCATGATCCATGTTGCAAGGTGCCATCGCTGGTGTATACTTTTCAGACCCTGGCCTTCAATAGGTTTGCTGGGATTCCCTGCAGTGCATGCAGTCGCGACGTAGCAGTGCAGACAAGCCACCCCAAAGTGCACTTGAAATCCAGCTCAGGAACAACCTCATGTTCTACAGCCTCACAAAGTTGAGCGCGCCTGTCCAACAAGTCCTGTACCAGATGAAGATCATCACCACGGCAGGCTGCAGAGGGCCAATAAGCACTTGGATTAGAGCACCCGACGCGAGCTAAAGGGCCGAAGTTCTGGACGCCCTTGCGTATCTGCTCATTAGCTTCAGCGCGTGCTACAAAGGTTCTGTTTAGAGTGCCGAATGCGTTCTTGAGCCTGGATCTGCCGTCTTTGGCTGCCTCTGAAGAGACTCCTCGCTGCTGCTTGTGACACGTGTGACCACTTTTGGCCATTATCATGACACAGCCCGTCATCGCTCATGTTGACGTCAAGGTTTCATGAAGAAGTGGGCTAAGCCTAGGTTGTATCACTTTCACGCTTGCAGGGCTTGGTGTACTGATGCTGGGAAAGAGCACCTTGGCACTGGGTTGGTGCTCTTGGGAAGTTTCGTGCATCGTGGCACATCGTGGCGCATCCTGACACACGTACCAAGGTTTGGGTCCCGTGAAGTGGAGTGCCTGCTTCCTCCTGGCCTTCGGGATTATGGTAGTGCAGGCTCCTTCGTAAAGTGAGATTCTGCTCGTGGTGTTGATGCCTTGAGCAAGATGTCAAGAGATGCCAGTTGTTGGGTAAGGTCAGCCGCAATTCCCAAAGCAGGGCTGGTGACCTGCTGGACTGGAACCTCGGGCACAGCCTCGAGAGCGACCAAATGAAAGGCCCCCAGGCTTGGATTAGAAGCTTGGAGCTTTCACGGACAGCCACATCGAGTGAGTGAGTGAGAGAGAGAGAGAGAGAGAGAGAGAGAGAGAGAGCATAGCCAGGCCGCCCCTACGCCCCCAAGAAAGAAAGAGAGAGGGCGAGGGCGAGGGCGAGGGCGAGGGCGAGGGCGAGGGCGAGGGCGAGGGCGAGGGCGAGGGCGAGGGCGAGGGCGAGGGCGAGGGCGAGGGCGAGGGCGAGGGCGAGGGCGAGGGCGAGGGCGAGGGCGAGGGCGAGGGCGAGGGCGAGGGCGAGAGCGAAGCCTGCAGAAACAGAAGAGAAAGAGAAAGCAGCAACAGAAGAAGAAAGAGAAAGACGAAGAATAAGAAGAATAAGAAGAAGAAGACGAAGAAGAAGAATAAGAAGAAGAATAAGAAGAATAAGAAGAATAAGAAGAATAAGAAGAATAAGAAGAATAAGAAGAATAAGAAGAATAAGAAGAATAAGAAGAATAAGAAGAATAAGAATAAGAAGAATAAGAATAAGAAGAATAAGAAGAATAAGAAGAATAAGAAGAATAAGAAGAATAAGAAGAATAAGAAGAATAAGAAGAATAAGAAGAATAAGAAGAATAAGAAGAATAAGAAGAAGAAGAAGAATAAGAAAACACAGGGGGCTGATGAGACTTGTCACATGCGTCATCTCGACCCCCCTCGGCCCCCCGAAAGGTTATGCGTGCAGGAAGGAAGGAGAAGCATGAAGGAAGGAAGGAAGGAAGGAAGGAAGGAAGGAAGGAAGGAAGGAAGGAAGGAAGGAAGGAAGGAAGGAAGGAAGGAAGGAGAGGGAACTGGTGCCAGACCGCCCTAATGGCCTGAGCGGCCCTGTTAGCAGAACGAGGCGAAAGCATGGAATGCGCCGCAGCACAAGGGACAAAGCATCACGGGCCCACCCTGCCCCCCCCCCCCCCCCCCCCCCCCCCCCCCCCCCCCCCCCCCCCCCCCCCCCCCCCCCCCCCCCCCCCTTGGGCCTCCCCGGAGAAAGGCCACCGTTGATGGGACTTGAAGTCAGGTCCTCGGGCATGCTGGCGTGCGGGGGCAAGCCCCACCCCCTCTGGGAAGAAGAAGAAGGAGGACTCTTTTTGCAGTTCCTGTCCGAAAATAACTCTCGAACTCTTGGAGCAGCGGGCCGGCGCATGCCGGCGCGGGGCCCCCTCGAAGGTGAGAAGAAGAGAGAGGGACTGGGGTGGATGGGGAGTGCTAGGTTCCTCTGCCCGCCAGAGAAGACCAGGTTTTGGGGCGGTCCTCTGCGCTTGCCTCACCAGCGGTTTTGCAGGGGTTTGGATCCAGAAGCCTGGCATCAAGACATTTGCGGGGGGCAGTTCGTTGACTTGGCCAAGTTTGCAGCTTGGGTCTCGGGGGTCCAAGGCGGCTGCGGAGAAAAAGTTCTGTTGACAGTTGATACCTGTTGGGATCGGTTGTGGACATGTTGAGAAAAGATGCTTAAGTAGTATAGGTTGCAGGCGCTAGGACTTGGATCGCCAAGGAAGATGCTGCAGCAGACGCAGGCCTCGGAGTCTTAGCCGCACTTTGGAAAGGAGGCTCAGATTTCGAAGCACATCATTGATCACACGGCTGCCATGGCTTCCTGTTCTAAGTTCAGGGTCAATGCACGTGGCCCTGAACGAATGCCGGCCCTCAAAATGCCTGCACATGGCCTCATGGGATTGAAACATAATGACATGTTAGACATATGAACACCAGTGTCCCAAGCTTCGCCTTCTGAGATCTGGATGCGAAACATCCAGCTCGGCCTTTTCGGTGCGTGCAGCAGCCTCCTTGTGGCGGCCCCTTGGAAGATGGCACTTAGCCGTATGGGTTCCGGTAGGCCATTCCGAGCCCAAGGGTCCCTGCACACTGAGCATGCCGAAGCTCAGGTCGCCCAGGATGGTGAGATCATTGTGAACAACGGGTTCAATGCAGGAAGCCGCCTTCTTCTCGTCCTGCCATGTCTCACTGTTTTCTTCATACATTGGCATGAGGTTTGCAAAGGAAACTAGCGCTCAGCTGCAGGATATAACATCCGAGTTCTCCTGGTTATTGCAATGAATGCCTTCGGTGGCCTGCTGTGTGCCGTGATGCTAAAATACGCAGGACGTTTGGGAGACTGCTTGCATTGAAATGCTGACAGCTTGCTTGCTCAAGGCTTGTCTCTGCATCCTCGCAGGTCAGGCTTAGTTCTGGTTCCACATTCCGGGGGCTGGTCGCATTTTGCGGTGGCTTTGGATAGCGTTTATTGGCACGGTTCCGTGGTTCACCTGAGCAGCCATCCGAACTTAGAAGCCGAGAAAGTCTTCATTTTGTCAGGAGCGACGCATGGATGCTTCAGCACCGCTCTCTCCATCATCCTCACATGCCTCACGTGCATCGCTTGGTTTTTTGCGAGCACTGTGGGAGTTAGGCTCGTAGTGGCTGTAAGTTCTACCTCCAAACAGCCGAGGTCGTCCATCCTGCTGCACGACTTTACTCCAGACTTGTTGTTTATGGTTGGGACATCTATCTCCGTTGCGGCATCATTCCTTTTCGCAATGGGCCTGCCTTCGTGGTGCGGTGGAGCTTGAGCACAAGCATGCTCGGACATAGTTGGAGAATGCCCCAGGAAGCTTCTCCGGAAAGACTTCGGAGATGCAGAGGCAGAGTGGACAAAGTGCCCTCAGAAATGTCAAGGGCCGAGAAGTGCCCCGGTCCTGAGCCATGGTCTCATCATGTCTCATCCGACCAAAGGTGCATCCCAGTCCGCTGCCGTTCTTTTCAGTGTTTCCAGTGTTTCTGGGTTGCCATCACATGAACCCTCGAACCTCAAGTTGGAGCTAGAAGCTTGGCTTGCAAGGTTGGCGTTCGGTGAGTTCTGCGATGCCCTCCGTCGCTGGGTTCCCCAGGGCACGACCGAACACTAGGTTCGCAGGTCGAGATCTGACCCTGCATCGAGGCCTTGGCTATGCCGGAGAATTCAGATCGCTTTTCAAGGAGTATGACAGGGACCAGAAAGGCCACCCTTGAACAGCAAAGTCGAAAGGAGACAAGGTCTAGATTCTCTAGATGCAGGCACAGACGTTAAGCCACTGCAAGCGTGTGACAGATGAGATGTGCATTGCTCCACCCTGCTCTTCCCTTTTCGATACATTTCCTGCAGCGGCACCGGCACGGCACGGAGGCTACATCTGCCTGGCCGACCTGGACCCGGAAGCGGACCAGCTGGCACTGGCCCTGGTCATCCCCCATAGGGTTTTCCCAGCTGCGCGGACCCGTTCCCTCATTGCACTTCTCACATCGATGCCTGCTCTCTCTCATGGCTCGTCGTTTCCGATGAGGTCTCTGACTTCCTGGAGCTGCTCGGAGAGCGCTTTGGCACCCTGGACATTGCCTGGCGGGAGCTCCGGGGGGGGAAGGAAGTCTCAGGGAATTTTGCAACAGGCTTGATACACCACAACTCAAATGCTCCGAAGCTTGGGGACCGCATTCGTGTGAGAGGACGGCTTCCACCAGGATCCCCATGGAAGCATCACGAAGAAGGACATCGTGGAGGCACTCGGACTTTCAAACTTTCCCGGGCTTCAGGTGAGCTAAGATTTGCTTTCCCCCGGGTTTCAGGTAAGTTTTAAGCTAAGATTTGGGGGAGGTCCTCTCTGGCTGGCTCCTCTGAGGCATGCTCTGCTCTGGGCTACGCGCATGACACAGAGAAGTTGTTCAAGTGCTTGCGCTTGCCTCAGACTTAGAGGACTCGCCTTTTTCGTCTCCTGCCATGGCAGACTTCAGGCAGACTGCTCCGGGAAAGCAGCTCATCACAATCTGGGATATTGATCCAGCCTGTAGCCAGGGCCTTACTCCATGGAGCACTCCCTGTATTCACTCTGTGTTGCCATGCGTTGCTGTTGTTGATTTACGGAGCGGGCTCTGGGAACCATGAGCTCATCAGTGCAAGCTCTCTTGACTGAGCGGCTGCGTTGGGAGGCCGAACCCGCAAGCGAGGGCTGGAGGTGTGAGCCCAAGTCTCTTTTTTGCCATGTTGGGCACTGGCATCAGGATTCTCAGAGCGTTTTAATCTGTTCGGGCGTGCCGAGGCGGTCATCCCAAGCGACCCTGTCGAAGTTCCAAGGGGGGGCGGGGGGTTGGGAGTTGAAAGTAATGTTGAGAGGACACTGGCCCCTCTCTCGTGTCTTTTTTCAGAGAGGGGGGGGGGCACTTTGGAGCGCCTGTGCTGAAGACACATTGCAGTGTGGAAGCTCCCTGAACCCTTATGATTATGATTATGATTATGATTATGATTATTATGACCGAAAGCAACAAAACAAGAACCTTGAAGAAGCCAAACTTGGGATGTTCCCCCTTTTACTAGCAGTCCTTAATGGGGATTATAGTACTCCCTATTATATTCCCTACAAAGGACTCTTCGTATAAGGGGGGAACAGCCCAAAGCCAAACCGTTCATCCCCAATCGTCAGCTCTGCCAGGCGCACCCAGGCCCCTGAGCCCCACTGCTCGAAACAACGAGGCCCACACCTTCTTCCTGGAGGCCGGGGGGGTCAGGCACAACTCTCGTTGAGGGAGTCTATCTATCTGTCTATCTGTCCATCTGTCTATCTGTCTCTCTCTCTCTCTCTCTATATGTATATATAAATAAATACATAAATAACATGTAGATGCTTTTATGACAACCTGCACTACATACCTCTATGTGTTGTACATTCATCTAGACTGCACAATGTAAGCTCATGCCTGCGCATTCAGAGGATGGCTCGCCGTCATCCAGGACAAGGTGCGACGAATGCCTCAAGAAGACTTCAATACTGTTGAGAGACATGTGAAAGAACTCCTTCCGCTGCATGAAGCTTCGGTGCAACGTGTGACTGCTTGTCAGTGACCTCAAGTCTTCCTACCATCCCTGCCTTGCCATTGCGGCCTAGCAACTCACACAGGAACACCATGAGGAAGACGTTTCACACCTTCAACAGAACCGCGCCCAGTTCCTTTTGAAATTCGGGGGGGAGCACAGAATTTGTGATCAGAGGGGTGAAGGGCAGCGTGTTAAGCCGCCCGACCCCAGGCCCACCGCTGCTGCAGCAACTCCGGCGATGTCTCCGTGTCCGATGGGGATCCACGGTCCGGCTGCGAAAGGGATCTCGGTTTGTCTGGATCGTCGAAGTATTGTAGAGCTGCCCCATTTTGTGTTTGTTCTTGTCATCGGTGCATCGATGCGAAGTTCTGAAGCGGGGTGTAGGATAACTTCAAGCTGCAGTTGCAAACATGTGGTGCAGGCGGCGGGGTGGAGATACTCTCTGGATCCGCAGCTCCACGTGGTACCCTAAGCTTTGGCAATTTGGGTACTCCACGCAGTCGCTTTCATTGGGTCTGGAAGCATTCCGTGTCTAGGGCAGTTGTGGCTTTGGGATGTTCATGAAGGCCTTGGAGGACAAGTGGCAGTTGAGAGTGAAGCAGACAAAGATGTAGCCAGCCCGTCTCGCAACCTCTTGCAGGAGTGTGCTTTCGGAGGGAAGCCCCGGGCGCTATGGGATGAACTCAGTGCCCTACTCAAGCGTGCTTAAAGGTTGCGACCTGCGCGAGCTCGACAGTATGCCTAGAGCGTGAGGCGGTGAGAACAACTTGGTGACTTTCCGTGACGTCGACGAACAAGCAGCAAGGCATTGGGGCTAGGGACAAGTCGAGCAGTGTTTCGCTGGCTTTCAATGGGGAGATCCCGAAACCCAAAACCCTAAACCCTAAACCCTGGCCCTAGCCCGAGATGTGTATCCTTTGCCCTTGCGTGCCTGTGCCAGCCTCTTGGACTCCTTCCGCGAGCAAGTCGTGGACCACTATGGGTCCATCATGGATGCCTTGGGCTCAGACAAATTGTACATAGATAAATAATATATGATGTAGGTATGTAGGTATGTAGGTATGTGGGTATGTAGGTATGTGGGTATGTAGGTATGTAGGTATGTATGTATGTATGTATGTATGTATGTATGTATGTATGTATGTATGTATGTATGTATGATGTATGTATGTATCAGCCAGAAGACGTTCGAACTCCGTCGAAGACAGGCATGGTCGGAGCTGGAAGCAGCAGGACGAGGCTTGCTTGATGAGGAGCTCCGCAACAACGACGTCTTGCGTATACATATATACAAAAATGTAAATATATAATTATATAAGTAAAAAATGAATAAAGCAATAAAAATAACAAACATATATATATATATATGTAGTGGTTTCCTCTAGGTTGCCTCGCATGGGGAGTTGTTCTGAATTGGTGTTCTTGTAGGCTTCATTCTGCTAGAATTCGTGAAATGGACCCCGCAAAAAGCGTCTTTTATGAAGCCAGGAAACATTCGTCAGCATCCTCCCGGAGATGGGTATTGCCATCAAGTCCCCCAAGAAGCTCTTCAAGGTCGCGCAGTTCCAACAGGGCCTTGCAGTTCTTCAAAAGTCCAGTTTTGGCGAGGCCATGCAAAGCTTGAATCCTCACTTGTGAACGCCGCGAGAATGTACATTATTATTTTTCTTCTTCTGATTGTCAGTATTGTTCTTATTATTGTTACAATTCTTACTATACATCCAACAGCCCAAGCGTGTACCCCGAGAGCCACCCTGGAGATGCTGCTGTCGCGGCACGGGCAGCGGTCGCTGGCACATGAGGCATCGCCTTGCCAGGAATGTCCAGATGTGTCGTTGGTTCGTCAATGTTCGTCACAGATGCAATTACTGTACAGGAAGACTTTCTCAGCCTGAGCTACTAGAGTTACTAGAGACTTCTCCTACTTCGCCCTGTTTCACTGCGGAAGTTCGGCCCGGCAAATTTTGCAGGGCCTCCAGGCGTTGCTGATCGGCGTGCCTCAGACGGAGCAGCGTGACCTCTGGGCCTCTCGCAAGCCGAGGCGTTGTTCAGAGTGTTTTGGACCTCTCGAAGTTCCCGAACGTGCAGGAAGGAAGCCACGCCAACGGGACAGGCTTCACCGGCTTCACCCAAGCGCAAGGCACTGCAGCATGTCATGCAGTCACTTCAGCGCCCTAAACCCTAAACACTGAACTCATTGCAAAGAAGAAATCAGGCGTCTCCTTCCAAGGCACCGGGTCCGGCTAGGCCCGCAGCCTGCCTGGCCTGCCTGATGACGAGTTTTGCAGGGGATTCTTTGCCAGGCCGGCCGAGAGACCTGCGCCTGCGCAGCCACCCAAAAAGGCCCACGCCGCCTTGTTTGCAAAGTTGTTGTTGCAGGCCTTCCTTAGTGTTGCTTACGTTCCTCTTGGCTCACTTGGGGTTACGTTCTTGGGGGCTTTTGGGGGGATCTTTAGAGCCGATCAGGGCCTTCTGAAGCCACGGTGTGCAGGCGGAGTGTCCGGCTCCATCGCCAGCAGCGAACTCGGTGCCAGCCCCCCCGAGGCCATGGCAAGGACACTATGTCAAGTGGTTTGGCCGTGGTCGTGAAGTTGGGTTCGCGGTGGGGGTCGGAGTGGAGAGTTTTTCAAAGAGGCGCCCCCCTTTCTTTTTTCGCATGTGCGAGGGAGAATGGACATGTTGAGAGGCTTTTGTGGATGCTTTGGGGGCTTTCGGGGTCCTTAAACCGCTTGGAAATGTGGGAACTTCCGATTGTTAAGGGGGCGAGGGCGCATTGTTAGGGGGGGATGCGTGGGGGGGAGGATGTGGGGGCCCGACAGGCACGAGCGGAGCGAGTTGAAGGCGGGCCGGCTTGTTCGTGCAGGCTTCAGGGCTTCCTGGCCCGAACGACGGCGACCCCTGTGATGCCTGCTCTCTTTTTGGGACTTTTGTAAATGGATGTTTCAACATTGACTCTGAGAGGTGCAGGTCCTGGTTCCAGAGAAGGCTGAAGCGACCGAGGCCAAGGCTGAGAAGGCGCCCCCCCCCTGCCTTTAGAACGTTCTCGAGCTCTGAGGTGAGAGACTCGGGACCCGAGGCTTCAAAAGTGGGAGATCATAATGCCCAGGTAGAGGCGAGAGAGCCTGAGGCTGAGGCCGAAGCTGAGCCCAGAGAGATAGCCAGCGCCCCAGGTGCGGGGGAACATGGGCGAACACAGCAGGGAATATAGAGGATGCAGGAGATGACAGTGAATAGCTTTGCAGATCATTGGACCATTCTTCCTCGACGGATGGCTGCGATGTGGCTCTGATCTGCCAAGGCCCATTCGGTCGCCGTGCGCGCGGTCAGCTCGACTGTGGCCAGAGTCGTTGGAGCCTCAACCAATTTTTTTGTCTCAGAAGCTCGGGCGCTCCTTTGTCTGAGTCGAGATAGCAACGCGCCATGCAACATCCTGTAATTAAATTTTGTAGGGACCTCTGGCAGCCAAGGCCGAGAAGCTGAATGCGCAAAAGGCCCAAGAGGCGCAGCTTTGACATGTTACTCTGTCGGGCATATGGCTCTAGGGCGTAATGGCGTAGCACTGTAGCACAGGGCGTCGAGACTCCAGTTGAGTGACTCGAACGGAATGCCGGCAAGGCCCCGCGCGCGAAGGTCCTGGACAAGGCGGCGAGGAAGAAAGCCATTGGCGGGCTCCTGCAGGCAGCGTCTGAGTAAGAGCGACGGCGCTGTGACTGTTGTCAGAACTGCTGGCTTCGGGAGCCCGGCAACATCCGGCAACCAAAGCTGGTGCTTGCAACCCCAAGTGGGATCAAATCGCGACCCCACAGTCCTTTGTCCATCTCATGCAGAAGAGGCGGCCAAGTCCGGGCACCTGGAGAAGTCACTTCGCCAATTCGAGGAGAAGGAGGCGGCGGCCCAGGTGGGTGACCTGTCAACTGAGTCGTGTCACCTGTGGTCTGGCGTCGGTTTGATAGCACTTTTGTCAGGCTGCAGGGCTTTTGTGGAATGTGAGGGTAAGGAGCGTTTCCGAGCTCACTCAGAGGAGCCGGCGATGACGCTGGAAGACCTGAGGAGGTGAGCGTTTTTGGGTCTGCGAACGGGGGGTGAGCGGGAGAGAGCGGGTTAGCGGCAAGCGGTTAATTGCAGTCTGCGAGCTCCATTCAGTCTCAGATGATAGGTCCTCCGGGAATCCTGCAGGTAATCGTTTTCACTCGTAGTTTCTGTTTCGTTATAAACGCTTGCGCGAACGCGGGGTGTAGCGTGTGCATGGCTTCGTCAAGTCCGCCGTCAACATGGTGCAGCGCCACAGAGGTGGTTAGAAGGGGATTCAGGGTCCCACAACGGTCCCAGGAGGGGTCCCAGAGGGGGTCGCAGGGCGGTCCCACTCCCAGCAAGTTCTGTAGAGGGGGGCTTTAAAGGTGGTTGCTTGTTCTCGACGCCTCTCGGCCAGAAGCCGAGGCGAAGTCAGTTTGCTTCTAGTCTTCTCACGGGCATGGGGAACCCTAAACCCTAAACCCTAAACCCTAAACCCTAAACCCTAAACCCTAAACCCTAAACCCTCAACCCTCAACCCTAAACCCGAAACCCTGAAGCCGTTGCAGGGCTCTGCTTGAGAAGTATGGCTCCATCGAGGCAGCTTGGAGTCAAGGCAGGCCGGCATTAATCCCCAACACCTGAGCCCAAAACCTGAGAACCAAGGTGATGAAGTGTGACTGGGGCCCAATATCGCCAGCGTGATGTTTCTTAAACCCTGGCCCCTTTTTGGCTCGAGCCCCTTGGCTTAACATGTGTAACAATGACTCGCCGAGCCATCTAGTTCCTTTAGCAAACAAGTATTCAAAATTAACAATGATTTTTCAATTTTTAAACATAATTGATAATACTAAATAATATCTAATAGCGATCCCCCCCCTTCGCAAACTGGACGAGTAGGTTGTCACTCTGTGCAAGGGGCACCCGGTTCGCTCGGTTTCACACATTTAGAAAGCTGCCATGGGTACTCCCTGCAGGAGCGTAAAGCTCAGGCCGAGAGTTCTTAAGTTTGGGTGGATTCCGGTGAACTTTGTAGTTCTGGGCCATGGGCCCAAGGATGGTTCCCTGCACTGTAGCGACTCTGCAATTTTGTCTGGAGCTACCGTGACCTACTTTGCTTGCAACGCGCACGCCACGCCTCAGGATGCCACCCTGGACAAGCCTCGAGGGAGGACCGGGGGGGGACTTGTTGAATACTGTCCCGCCACAGCGTGTGGCCACCTCTGCCCAGACTTCGACGATGATGTGGTTCCCTTCCGCGTGTGGCCGGACGAAGTTGCTGCCGCCGACGGCAGCCTCGAGGAAGAGTCTTTTGGCGGGCTGCTCTGCTTAAGCAGCCCCTGAATGTCCTTAGTGTGGCACAATACCAAACCAACCGAAGACAGAGATAGAACCGAAGCCATCGCTAGTTTGCCTGCTCATCTCCATTCCTTGCCCTCGCCATCCTAAGGCTGACTCAGTTGCCCCTGATCCCCATGCGATCGGTGGCCAAACCTGTGCCGCTCAGCCCGCGGCCGCTTGGTAAGATGACGCGGTTCTGAAGCGCAGAGATTTAGGAAATTTAAGGGTATTCAAGAGGTCCCCGAATTTCAGGGTGATCATCAGTTCGTGAAGACACGGGGAGGTTGACAGGCCGCTTCTGTCTTCGGAGCTCAGGTCGCTCTAGGCGTGTCGTCCCGTCTCGCAACCCCATTTCGCTTCTGAATTATGCCTCGCGAAGCTGCTAGAGCTTTCTGCCAGGATGCAGCGGCGGGCTTTGCCGAGCGTGGCTGAAGGCTGCGCAAGTGCCCCTTGCAGATGTCCGGTTGTGCTGAGAGGGATTGCGTGGCTTCTTCAGTTAACCTAGATGCCAAACCAAGCCAAACCACAAGAGTTTGTGGCCTTGCCGTCTGCAGGTCCGTGCAACAACAACACTCCCTTGTGCCCTGGCATGAGTTTCAAAGCAGGACCGTTGCATCACACTTCGGCGGTTGCGGCTGCCAAAGCTGCCAAGCTCTGCCAAGACTGCAGATCTGAGGCGCCTGCGCACCCTATCAGGGGAGGCTGGATGCGGGGCTTGGGTGAAGCTGTTGCTGAGTGCTCTGTTTGCGAGACGGGTCAATGAAGCGGTACTCCAAGGGTTGCGAGAAACGGGTGTCGGAGCTGCTCCTTCTGCTGATAGTTTTAGACCTTGCCCTATTTGGCTTGTCAGGTTCTTCTCGATACCAAGATTGGCAACTCAACTCTTATGCAAACCCATGGCACATGTTGCGGATCGTGGTTGAAAGTTGTGCAGGCACCATATCGCATCCGTGACTTTTTCCGCTTTGTCTTAAAAGGCGTCAGTGCTGTGCGGGAATTTACATAGGGATCCTAAGAGACTCCCGATCCGATCTTGAACTCAGGCTCCTGGCATGTCTTGACGCTTCCGCTGAAATACTTTGTTTGTGGACGACCGCTCCTTAGCATCTGCGGGATGAAGCATATGAAGCGTTGGACCTTTGCAGGGCTGTGATGACTAAAGTCGTTCTGACCAAGCCCCTGCAAGCCCCGCGTCACGTTGTAATGACATCATTGAGGTGGTGTTGAGCCACCTGCACGACGTCTGTTTTCTTAAGCTTTTGCATCGTTGAGACCCTCATCCTCTTCGTCTAGCCTGGCTGACTCACGCAACCTACGTGGACATACGTGGGCCGTATTCTACACGGGGTACTTGCAAGAGCTTCTTAGCTTTTCCCAAGGCAAACTCCTGGGCCCTACTGGAAGCCTTGTAAACGGCACTCTCGCATGGGGAGAGAGGTGCTAGTTGCCTTCCCACCCCCCCTAAAGCCTTCGCGTGCTCATCCCAGAAGATGCTCCCAAGACACCACCTTGATCAAGGATTGCACTTGAAGCACACGGATGTGGACGTCATCTTCGAGAATCATGTGTTGGGCTTGGACGACAAGCTGAGCAGCCTGGATGCAAAAGCGCAGCATCCCGTTGGCTGCCTTTTTGCAGCTACTTGTAGTTAGAATCTGCGCCATGCCTGCCCCACCATGCTGCCCTCCAGGATGCCCCTCGCCCGAGACACGAGGAAACCTTCTCCTATGACCCGTTGCAGAAAGTGCTGTCGCAAGCCCAAGGCAAATTAGTGCTGAGGGTTCCCCCGAATGGCATCGAGCTCTTATTGGTTCGGCGACTGGGCCTCGACGCATCCTTGCAGGATGTCCGTTTTTCTAGGAGTTCAGAAAATCGAGTGTTGTTCAGCTTGGCCTGGCTCTCATACTGTATAGGCGACCGGGCGCGGAGGACGAGGAGGAGGGTATGGCCATGATGTCATCCGACGAGTTCGAAGACAACCTTCTGGAGAAGATAGGACCGTTGTGGACTTTCAGAGCAAATTGCAAGGCATTACCGGCATTACCCGTCTTATCTTGCTCTGGCCACCGCGGACAGACTAGCATCCTTCAGGCATGAAGCATGTTCACCGCGCTTGATTTTGAATGGAGGACACCCGCCACTCGTGCGTCGGGGAGTGAGGCCAGTAGGCATTGCTGTGATATTTGAAAGCCAGCTCTCAGGCTCTGCTCTCGAGTCCGAAACCTCCCTGGACAGGACCAGTCTCCGCAGAGATTTGACCGCAAATCGACTGGCAGAGGCTGTTGTCGACTAGAGGAGCAGGACGGGGGGGGATGAAGTTCAGGACGTTGTTGTCGCCGCAGAGGGGTGCAAGGGCACTGTGGGCTGATGGTTTGGGAGGTGATGCACTTGCGGCCATGGGAATGGGATGGAATGGGCAACAAAGGTCACAAAGGTACCTGTACTTGAAGGATCGAAGAAAATTTGAAAAGTCCCCAGTGTCCCTGGTCTGGCAGGATTGCAGGCGCGTCGTGGCAACTCCTGTCGGCGCTCTTCCGACCTGATCGACTTCTTTTTGGCTAGTGGCTTCTTTCGGGATGATGTCTACCCATCATTGCACGAAACTGCCGCAAGCCTGGCATAAGTCGTTCCACGCACAGTTCATTTTAAATCGGACAAAGTGCCCCAGCTTGGAGACTGTTTCAAGTTCCACATATACAGAGATATCGCAACTCCTGTACAAAGCAAGACCAGGAGGGGTATACGCAGGGACAAAAGGCCCTTGTTGCCCAAATCGCTCAGACCTCGGAGGCTGCAAATCCTGGGGAGGTAAAGATTCGGGAAGTCTTCGGATCGTCAACTCTGCAGGCTCGTCTACGGAGGCGGAGGCGATGACCCAGGCCCATTGGGGGAAGAAAGCAGCTGGGGGAGTCTGGGGGAGGGGGTGGGAGTGCGGCATCATTTGGAATGTGGTCATGTTGGTGTATTTTCCAGAAGAATACAAAGACGAAGACGAAGACGAACAAGATCGAACAAGAAGAGGACATGCATCACTTGTACAACCCAAAGATTTCACTTCTCGGAGGTGCCAAGCGTGCACGAGCAGTCGCCCAACGGTTCACGCGGATATTGCATGAAACTCAAGCACAGTCAGGTGACCTACGAAAGGGTCAAAGTGTCCAGGTACCGGGCCGAGGCCATCCACGTGAAGGGACAAGGGAGACAAGCGCAGAGAAGGCCACCCACATGAAGGGGACAAGAAGAGGCAAGCGGAGACATGGAGTTGGCAGACAAGTGGCGACGAGGAGTGGGAGTCCGGCTGAGGCCACCCACATGAAGCGGGACAAGGCGTGACAAGCGGAGTGGAGACAAAGTGTCCCCACAGAACAAAGATAACATGGGAGACAGAGAGCACAGGGCGCGAAACCGGAGAGACAAGCGGAGACAAGCAGCCGAGGCTACCCACATCAAGGCAAGGGACAACAAGGAGACAAGCGGAGTCTTGAGGCCATCCACATGAAGGGTGAGAACAGGAGTCCACGGACCCAGGAAGAAAGCAGGGAGACGCGAGGAGACGAGGAGCGGCCGACGCCGCCCTCTTTTGAAAGGGGAGGCAGACAAAGAGTCCAGGTCCCCAGCCGAGGCCAGCTCCAGAGCCACTTAGAGGGGGACAAAAGGGAGACGAGCAGAGACGAGGAGAGCCCCTTTCGAGGCCACATGAAGAGGGACAACAGGAGACAAAAGCAACCAAGCAAGCAGAGCATCGGGCTAGGTTGGAATTCTGAGAAAGAAACAAGAACCCCTGCAGAAAAGCAATTGGGGAAAGCCTATGCTTGGGTGATGCAATTTCTTGAGCAAAAGGCTTGAGCTATTGTCGGCTCCGCTGCAATCCAATGGCTCCGCTGCTCCCATGGCATTTCTGCTTCGAGAGGCAGAGTTCGAGGCTGCACTTGTGATCTGGGAGCTGAAGGCCTGAGTCGCACATGGGGGTTTACGATATTCGGGGTGCCCTGCTTATACCCCAATAAGAGTAGAAGTCTCTTGAAGGGACCCCCAAAAGGCGTACCCCTAGTTTCGGAAACCCCCGCTCTGTACGACTGATGTTCTGGCTCAGCATGTTTCTGGCTCAGCATGTTGCGTACACGAGCGAGTCTGTCATGCAGACGAAGCCCCAAAGCCTCTAGCCCATAGCAAATCACGTGGGACACCTTAGAAGGCTCACACCCTCGCAAGGACCGAGCCTCCGGCGTCTGGCAGCAGCTGGACGTCCAGTCGACAGGCTACGGATTTGCATCCGGACAAGAACCAACGTAACGACCTTCGATGCACTAGCTGCACCCGTAAACCACTTGAAGGCGCGTCCTACTCCCCTTAGGACGGGAGAACAACGTCAGATGTGAACTTGTGTTGGTCCCGCATTTAGAGTGCTAGTAGATGCCGTCGAAGATCCGCACTTTTGGAGTGGGTTTCAGGCCGCATCACCCTGCACCAGCTTCAAGCCAACGCCGCTGCCCCAGCGTCTACTTTCCTGCTTCGGTGAAGCTTCAGGGCATCGGAAGCAACTGGAGATGTCCGAGCTGAGCACAGGCCCTCGCCTAGCCCAGGAGCTCTGAGTGAAGGAGTGGTCGTCTGCAGTCCAGCGAGTCCTTCCCGGATTCTTAGGCCCACCCCAGTGTTGTGCAGAGTTCTGTTTTGCCATCGCCACTGCAGGGAACTCGAATTCACCATGCGCGTCTCACCAAAAGCCCGTGCGGAAACACGGAAGCTGTTTCTCAGGATAGTATGCTATTACGCAGCAGGATCCTCTCTTGCAGGACACAGTCTGATAATCTTCGACCCTGTGGGTTAGAGTGAGAAACAGCAGCGGTTGTAAATACATTTTAATGCCAAGGTGGCCAAGGTGGCCAGCCCAAAGTACCCTTTAAGGGAGCAGGCTGTGTGCAGCAAGATGCCTTTTCTTTCACGTCTTTTATATACATATTAGTTAGTTTTCTCGTGATATCGAGTGATTGTCTGTCTGTCTGTATCTGTCTGTCTGTCTGTCCGCCTGTCTGTCTGTCTGTCTGTCCTGTCTGTCTCTCTCTCTCTCGCTCTCTCCCTCTCTCTGCCTGCGCTCGTACGCTCCATGCCCCACGCAGGCGGGGTGGACCTCTGAGCCACAGCGCCGGAACGAGGTGCGATCTCATTTCTCTCTCTTGTCTCTCTGTCTCTTTCTCTCTCTCTGTCACTCTCTCTCTCTCTCTTTCTACCGAGTGTGCAGATGCTCGAGATGGTGATGCAAGTCCTGCAGCCTCAATCAAACCTCAACCCGAACCCTCCCACACCCTAACTGCCTCATCGAGAGCGCAACTCCCTTCGTGTGGCCTTGTCCCAGGCCGAGAGGTCGGAAACCCTGAACCCGACCGTCCATGCTATTTGCTCCAAGGCGAAGACAGACGTTTCGGACTTGAAGTGCGGGTTCTCGATGGTGGGTTTAGGTTTCGCAGGGTTTCGCCGTGCCGCGTGGTTTCTGGATTCTGGATTTCTTAGGTCTAAGGGTTTTGGATGGTGAGGTGAGAGCTGCAATTGCAGCTGTGGCCTTTCCAGTGATCCAGTTTCTGGAGCGCACTCTGTTTTGAGATCTGCCAGGCCAGCCAGTGCCCAGGAAAAGCTGGCCGCAGGCACGCCTTGCGGTTTCCACAATTCCAAAATTTAGGTTTTGTCGAGGGCCGGCCGGTGCAGGCATTGGATTCATGCATGTTTGTTGCATGCCATGAAAACGTTCTTGTCTTACCGCTCGTACAAGAGCATTCGCAGTAGTAGCAGACTGACCGAAACACAAAACTGATAATGCGAAAGCTCGTCGAAAGGAGGTTGCCGTAAACATGTCTGTCGCTACTGACCGTGACGTGGCCACGGCTCGACATGCTTGCAGGTTGGTCTACCCGCGGCAGCGGCCTGGCTCGCTGCGGCCGCGGCCACCACCGGCGCGGCCCGACCGGCGGAGCGGAGGCATCAGCACCTTCCAAAGTCGGTAGCCGGCATGGGCTGCCATGCTTCGCAGATGTAGCCGAAGACAGGTCCGCGGTTCTCCCGCCCTCAGGCTGCCGCGAAAGGAGGCTAGGGCGGCTCGGGCTGGTGTTCTCTTGGCTGTTTGGAAGGGTGGTTTGGCGGATAGCATTGGACAGCAGAAGTCTGGAGGTTCTGCTATTGGCCATGTATCGCTGAATTGCATTGGAGGATCGGGCCGTTGTGCCGAGGATCCCTAGCAGATGCTTGAGCGAGGGCTTCGATCTAGGCAGCTCGTTGATGCCCGTGTTCCATTTCAGACTAGGCTTGTGTGAATGCTCCGCTGTGTCTCTGCCCTGTGACGTGGGAAGACTACAATTTTGCTCCATTCAGCTGACTCAGTAGCATGGAAATCTCGATAAAACAACAAATCTCCAGCGAAACTTCTTTTGGTGATCAGGAGGAGCAAGTTTTTGTGCAGCCAGTTCCCAGCTCACAACAGAATGTGTAGCTTACAAGGGACCTTCACTTGGAAGAACCCGCGGTACATGTTCGGGCAGCAACAGTATGCCGCAGCTCCCTGATGGCACCTTTGCGTCGGGTGCGAGATGGTTCGCCTTGCGGGGCCGGCCGAAGAACCACACCGAGGCTCCCACGCCTCGTTTGAGGAATCGTTCCTGCCTGTTTTTCTTGATTTTCTCATGCTGAAGACTTGTTCTGCCCTACTGATGATGGCAACACGCAATCATGAAGGGGCTCTTTCGAAGTATGCTCAAGCAAGACACCAGGGTTCAACTACAAGCGCTTTAGTTCCAGGTTTGGTCAGTTGTTACTTGTCCATACTCTGAGGAATTCTGGGCCACGTATGACGGCTTTGGTGGCGTTGCCATAGCCTTCCAGGCTGGACCAGCACTGCAAGCCTCCGAAGTTTGAGAGATGGGCAGCATGTGCTGCAGACGTAGTGCTATAAGCTTTCAGCTTTGAGTGCTCTCTCTACCTAAGCGCTCAGGAGCAGGAAACCGGGATCACACCGCTGCACCGCGCAGCTGCCTTTGGCTGGCCACAGCAGGCTGGGCCTGGATATCTCTTCACCCGCACAGCTTGTTGAAGCTTGATTCCTTTAGATGCTTCCTTTTCTCTCGGCCATCTGCCGAAGGCGCAGTTTCTCCTGGCACGAGATCCGGCATGCGCCAGAAGCAGGCAACAGCAAGGGATGCACTCAATAGACAGGCCGTGCCAGCACCAAGACTAACATGCCGGTGCGAATCATTGCCCCAAAAGAAGCAATGAAAGTGCGTCATGTCGGTATGCTTCGCTGTTCTTGGCTGATGCAGCCGGAGGACTTCCATGGGCCAGTCTGCCGCAGAGGTTGCCGAACGCCGGGCATCACGGTGGGGCTGGGGATTTCATTGCATGTTGTGGCGGGGGGGGGCGGGGGGGAAGGAGGGGGGGAAAGACCGCAAAGCACAAAGGACAAAGGCTTAAGAGCCAGAGGCCCCCCCCTCCCCCGCCGCATCCGGGTTTCCAAGGCGCCATGGCCTGGTGCCAAGAGAAAGGCCGCTCCGGACAGGAGCTCCGGATGCACCAGGAGGTGGCATGTCTCACGTTTTGCAGATGTTTGCAGGTGCAGTTGTGATGTAGCTGTGGTGCCAAGAGTGCGTTTTGGTTGCATGCGTGCTCAAATTTTCCGAACGCTTGTGACGCTTGTGACATTGCGCCCGGTGCTGCAGTTCCCAAGTCGTGGCCCAAGATCTGCCAAATTTTGAATGTTCCTGGCTTACAAGCGCCTGAACCTATGAACGAGTCGCTGCTCACCGGCAGCAAGGACTGCAATCTTGGTGAGGGGGCTGGCATCATCAATTTTGCTTCCGTTCCGCTGGATGATGATGCGTGGAAGCGGACAAGCCTTCGAGACCGACTGAGACTCACGAGCCTGAAGATCCTACGAGACAATGCCTTCTTGCCTATTCCGGCTGTGATCAGCACATACGTGCCAATCGGCCTCATTTGGTGGTTTGGCTTCCAATGTATATTCATGGACACCTCTACGTCTCTTCTGACTGATTTGAACATGAAGAGGCTCCTTGTCTACCAAGTCCTGCATGGCCTTTTGGGCCTTGGAGCGACCTCGTCCCTGCTGGGCTTCCGTTTTAAGTGGCACCTGGGAAGTACCGCGATCCACTTCCTGACGCCAGGGACGCTCTGCTCCCCTCTGCTGCCCCAGGTGGCGAACCTGCTGAACTTTGGCCGCGGAGTACCTCGGAGATGTTTTTGTTCCTCTCTTTCTCCTCACTGGAGGATACAGCAGGGGTCTTAGAATGTCTTAAATGGGTCTTATTTGGCAACATTGACTTCGAGAGCTGCATCTCGGGGCTCCTAGGCTTAGCCGAGGTTCCCGGGCAGCGCTCCATCTTGGCCGTCGTGAGCTTCGCAGCCTACATCGCCTTGCTGCTGCGGGCGCTGCTGGCCCCTGAGCTAGGGGCATCGCAGCTGCTGCCGATCTACTTGGCACTTGCCCTCTGCACCGTCTTCGACTTTACCATCTACCTGGCCAGCCGAGGAGAGCACTACGTGTACATGCTGGTTTGCCTGATGTTCCCAGACTGGCGCAATGGCATGCAGTGCGTGCAGTTGGCACTTTGGTCCTGGGCAGGTGTCTCCAAGATGGGCCCTTGGTTCCAGTATGTGCTTCCCTTCATTACGAAGGATTCTGCAGTCGCCAATCTCCTTCCAAGGGGCTTCCTTGCCAAGATCATGCTGGCAGACTTTCCGAGAGACGTGAACCCGAGTATGTTCACCACTGTTCTGGCCTGGACGGGCGCGCTGCTGGAAATAGTCTTCCCCGCCCTCTGCTGTTGCTCGGTGCCGCTGCGATATGTCGGTGCTTACGGAATGATCGCCTACCACTTCTTTATTGGGGTGTGCATGCCGTTCGCGTCGGTGTTCGAGTGGAACTTCTTCTGTATGATCTTGGCATACTACCTCTTTGTCGTGAACCAGCTCCTCGAACTGCCTTGACAGTCTTGAACAATGTCAGAACGTGGTCTCAGCTTGTCACGATTCGAGGTTTCAGAGGCTGTGAGGGGAGTCAAAATCGTGAATGGAAGCTGAGGCTCTCACTGCCATCTTCCCTGTTCCTGCAGTCGTTCCTTGTGCTGGTCCTTGTTCTCATCCCTTTGTTTGGGCGCCTCGGCTGAAGGTGTGAAAAAAACTGAAGCGGGATCTCCACCTAGCCGCTGATCGCCTCAAATCCCCTGACCAGGGTGTTGCTGCAATGGACGTCCCAAAGCTCCGGGGCCTTAAGACCGAAGAACACAACCGTCTGACTCGCGGCGCCTCGAAGCTTATTGCCATGCCTGTAGCCGAAGGAAGATGCTAGACTCCCCGTTCCCGCAAGTGCAACTCACTGCTGCAGAATCTGGAAACCGAAGGGCTTGCAGCCTTGAGCCTCAACCAGCATATCTCTTTGCAGAAGAGGCAGCCAACAAGGCCAACTAGTAGAAGCGCACAGCAGCTCAGGAGCAACGCGAGTTCTCGAGCTGTAGACAAACAGAGAGGTGTTAATAAACAGGTTCGTGGAACCTCCCACTCGAAGGCCTAAAGTAACTCTTGCGTCACTGACAATGGGGCGCACAACCCAGGGCTTTGAACCCAAGCCCTCAGAAAGCAAGAAAGGGAGAAAGGAAGAAAGAAAGAAACAACAAAACTAACAAATAAAGAAAGACAGACAGAAAGAAAGACATAAAGAAAAAAAGAAAGAAGACAGAACGAAACAAAAAGGAACGAAACAAAGGAACGGAATAAAGGAATACATAAAGCATGAAATACAGAAAAAGAAATACCGGAAGAAAGAAAGCAAGGGAGGAAGGAAGGAAGCAAGGAAGGCAGGAAGGAAGGAAGGAATAAAGAAAGAATGCAGAAAGAAAGAAAGAAAGAAAGAAAGAAAGAAAGAAGGAGATAACAAGAATAGCAAAATTAAGAAATGCAGGAAAGCAAAGAAGGAGAGACAGAGCACGTCGGACAGGCAGCTTTACCCCACTCTCGTGCCATTCCTTATCGCCTACCGCCCCTACGCGGGGAACTGGAGATTCCAGTGGTGCCCTGGCCAAGCTTGAGCTGCCTTGCTATTGCTTTCAGTTTATCCGCGTTTAGTCTTATGCGGCAATCTCAAATCCATCTCAGCAAGTCGTTCGAAGGTATATTGTCCACAAGAAGGCGCTGCCCAAACATCAGAAGCTGAAGACCTTGGAAGACCCATTCACAGGAAACAACCTGGGCTGGATGTACAGGATGCTGTTCGGAAAGTGGGGAGTCTCAGCCCAACAGGCATTTCTTTGTGCCGTACCCTAAACTCTAAGCCCTAAGCCCTAAGCCCTAAGCCTTAAGCCCTAAGCCCTAAACCCTCAACCTTCAACCCGAAACCCTGCTGGGCACCCTGAGTCGTTGCCCTTGGTGACACTCAGGCGCGGCCAGCAAAAGTGCCATCGAACGATGGGACTGGTTCCTCACTGCCAGCATCATCTACGTGCCGGCTTACCGCCCTCTGGTATCCATCTTGGCTTCTTCGGCTGGATTTCAAGTAGTCCCAACCTCCACCCAGCTCCGCCTTAAAGGTTTGATTCACGTAACTCCTGTATCTCTACCACATTGCACAAAAACCCGCCGGAAGTGGGGCCCTTCAAGGAGAAACTTTGCGAAGAGAACGGCTGGGACATCGATGACGTGCCCTGTCGCAAGCACTCGTAGCGTCAGCTGGGGCCAGTTTCTTTTTCCCAATCCCAGGTGCTTTTTTCCCACAGCGAGGCCTACCAAAACCAGGCTCGCGAATGCCAGGTGTTTTTTTTTCGCGCTGTGAGCCGGCCCGGCTTGCTTTCAAGACCTATGTGGGGGTCTACGAAATTCGGGGTACCCTATTGGGTCCTTCTTATAAGGGGATCCTACTATTTGGGGGCTCTCTTTTAGGGGTCCTGTTTGTCAAAATTATGGTCCCTTTTTTGGATCCCTATTGTACTACGGCACCTAATATTTAGGGTACCCCCAAAAGGGATCATAATATTGACAGCCGCCCATGTGAGATTCTCTTTCTTGCTGAGCTGACAGGTCTTTGGCTGGTCTCTTGGCACCGGATGGATCGCCGCCCGCGAGTGCACGCGGGAAGCCTTCAACGCCATCTGCCAGTTTGGGAAGGCCAGGGGGATCACTCCTCAACCCAACGGGCTGACAGTGCGGAGTTCATCTGGGCCACTCCTTGTAGGGTTCATGGCTTCCTTCAAGGATCCCTTAGCCGTTGCGTTCGACTTCGAGTCGAAGAAGGGCTTTTACTCCGTTCAGGGGTTGAGGGATGGGCTTCCCTGGCGGTCTTCGACCACATCATAGGGCGTCAAAGAGGGCCTTCCTTACCCGAACTTCCAGCCTTGAGGGCGCGGGGCAGGTTCCAGCTGCAGGTTTCTGTTTAGTTGGAGGTGTGAATATTGAGCCTCGTGCAGCTGCCAGATGTCCTGGCTTGATGGGACCGCTCTCGTTGATGGCCAAAGTTTACGTATGAGAGTTGCAGTGCGCAGCTAACAGCTCTGTGCCTTGTTTGACTGGTCCTCCTCATCGCTACACGCATCTACACGCATCAAAGCGCCTATACTCTTTCGCTGGTTAGTGCGTAGCGAAGCGAAGCACGGTAAGCGTCTCGTTGTTGCCTTGAACACAGTTTGCAGCGTCGAAGCCTTTGCAGTTCGAAGGGTCTGCAAAGGGTAGAGGTCTGTTCTTGCTAGGTTGCGTTTTAGACTTGGTAGTTCCATGCTAGGATGGCTGAAATCAGCTGAACTGCAGCTGAACTGCTCGATTTGCGCATCCCAGGAAAATGATGCGCAGGGTGTCACGGAGTCGTGAGGGCTGGCGGGTGGGACTTTTGTGTGAATACAACTCTAGAGACAAACATCTCCAAACTTCATGGAAGGCAGAGATGTACTTCGTGCAGTTCGAGCCTTGCAAGCCTCTTCCCTATGGTACGGACCCCAGCCGCCGCAAGTCCGATGAAGCGACCCAAATCACAAGCTTGCGTGTTTGCAACTGCTTGTATGCTCCTGCATGTAGGCCATGTCCGCCTCGGCATTGGCGCAAATGTAGGTGAAGTGTGCGCAATGGCGAGCAGACCCCGGGACTGAGGCAGGGAAAACCACGTGATACAGTTTCGGTGCTTTGACGTCACAGAAGGCCCAGAAAATGCCCAGATCCACGGCGCAGTTGCTTGGACGAAAAGAAAGGCTGCAGCACACGTGGCAGCCCACGTGCAGAACCGAGCAGTCGGGAAAAGGGCTGTCGTGGACCCCTCACCCACAAATATTGTACAGCGAGACTTAGACATGTACCCCAGTCTCTGCAGGGAAGTGGGCCGCTGCGTTTGCCCAGGTGCCCTATGCGCAGCTGGCTGCCTCCCAGCCGGCGGACCTCTACTTGAGCGAGGCGCAGACACAGCGAGGCAGGTCCATCCGTGGGACCTTCCTCAGCACCTACTACTGAGGCCAAAACGGGGCCCCTCAGGGGCAGAGCGGTGACGACTTGGTGGAGACTTGGGAAACAGGGGAAGCTTGCTGGAGCTTGGACAAATGCGCGGCAGGGCCAAACAGCTCCGTGACTTCGGGTTTGGGGGGGGCGTGAGCTCACTGCCTTTGACGTAGAACATCGTAGAATGACATGTTTGTGGTTGTCCCACAGCTTTGTGGCAAAAGAGTGCCAATTTGGCAGCCAGCTCTGCATCGACAGGTCCATTGGCAAAAAGACTCGGCATGTGATGCCAACGGTTTGCATCTTCGCATGCTTCTGCACAGCGGTGTGATTCCACAGAGTATTCCACCGGAGCTCTTGCACCAGCACCATGCCATACTGGTGCCATTTGTAAGTGACCGCATCCGGCTCACCCCAGTGGGTAGACACCCTGACGTGGTGGATGGTACATCGCGGTCCCATTGTTGGGTCTTGCTTTGTGATCTTACATGTTTAGCGCTTAAAGCGAAGATGTTTACCCAGTTTACCCGTCGCAGTGCCTGTGCTGAGGGGCCTCCGGAGAACTCATCACATGGCAGCACTTGAGAGAGTCAGGATGTTGATACCTTCACTTTGCTTCCCTGATGCATGGGGGTAGATGGCCATGCGACCGGGTGATGAATGTTTCATCAGATGGCCCTTTGTAGCTCGGCGACTGGAGTCACGATGTGCTTGAGGTACTAGACTGCTGGGTACATTGGCTCATTTTTTTTCAACTCCAGGCAGGGTAGTGATGGAGATTCTGTCTCCAAGCTTCGGGCCCCTTTACAGACAGCTTGATTATGAGTTTTGAAGCCTGGTCGTGCCACAATCTTCCTCGGCAGTTTAGACACGCTGGGCAGATTGAGGTCAGGACCCTTTATGGCGACCGATCTCGGTGATGGATCCGGATCTCCCGCATCTCCCACGTCCCCCACATCTCCAGGCGTGTCAAGTGGACTAGCAGAGTGCCAGTTTGTTGTCATGGATGCCAAGATACATGAGCTGATATCCAGCAATAAATTGGTCTTGGCTTTGTAAAACCTTGCCAGCTGTACTTTGCCAGAGCCGAGGGACCCTGTCAGCGGTGCCTTCAGAATCGATTCGGCAGCTCGTGGCCCGGACTTTCAAGTCAGATGTCCGGAAGTTCTTGAAGCGACTGGGCTGTCGGTGTTCTTCAGCAGCGCCATTCCTCCAGAGCTCGAAGGTCACGCCGATAACCCGAAAACAATTCTAACAAGAGAGAAGTGAGCCATTGGTTAGGAGAAAGGTTCCTACCCTGCCCTGCAATGCCCTGCAAACTTTGCGGCTCTAGCAAACGGGCGCTGGCACAACCCTTCGGCGCTTGAAACGTTGCCTCTGCAGGCCAATAGTAGGCGTAGTAGTGGAAGTAGCAGTAGAAGTAGTCGTCGCTGTCGTCGTAGTAGTTGTACCGTGCTGTTGTTAAACGGAAGAGCAAGCGGAGAAAAAGGCAACTGGACAATTGTGTCCAAAGTGAGCAAAACCTAGGTGTGAGCAGGGTAGAGTGAGGGAACACACAGCGTCACGTGCCTGACCTTCCCCTAGCAGTAGCAGCAGTGTCAGCAGTGTCAGCAGTGTCAGCAGTATCAGCAGTGTCAGCAGTATCAGCAGTATCAGCAGCATCAGCAGCATCAGCAGTATCAGCAGCAGCAGGAGGAGGAGCAGCAGCAGGAGGAGCAGGAGCAGGAGTTGGAGTTGGAGTCGGAGTAGGAGTTGGCGGTAGGAGTTAGGACTTAGGAGTAGGAGGAGGAGGAGGAGCAGTAGCAGCAACGCAGCAGTAGTCGTCACTCAAAACTTAAGACCCACCAGCCTTCACTTCGACGCGTCAAGCTCAGGGGCGTAGAGCCGCCTCCCCAGACAGTTCTACGCCATTGTCAAGAGTGTCGGCGTCAAAGTCAAGCAGAAGGGCGCAGATAGAGGCCCAGGGGAATGGATGGAAAGAGTGGGTTGTCTTCCAGCCATCTGCACTTTCTGGAGGGATTCCAGAGAGCGCAGGAATTTGCATGCAAACGCAGTCGCGCCCATTCTATGGCTATCTGAAGCAATATGGCCCCACAGGTTTAGGCTTTCCCCCCAAAGGAACTCTGTAATAACCAGCGAGTTGGAGGAGTTTACACTGCACATGGCCCTGGAGCGCCTTCGTGTCTTCTATGCCGTGCTTCAAGTGGGGTGACTTGGATCACGGTGTGATGTTTGAGAGAGTCAGAAAGAGAGAAAACAAGATGAAAAAAGAGGGAAGTAGAGGGGGCAGTGATCCCGGCGTGATGTTTGGCCTGATTTGAGCAGGGGCGAGTCTGTTTCTTTGAGATGCAGATGCTTGGAGATGTAAAGGTTGATTCTGCTTGCCTGTGGCATGCTCTTTACTGCTGCGGCAGAGCTTCTTTGGCGAGTCCTTCCTCCTGGACGGTGCCCCGCCTGCCGAACTGTTTTTTGGAGTAGCTTTGTGCTTGTACACGCAAAGCTTTGAGCATTCTTTACCTAGAAGGCCATGGCCGGTGTCTTGGTTTTCCACTTGGTCTGGCTCGAGCCGGGCAGTTTTTCGATTCAGACTGCGTCTCAGGACTGCTGAGTGGGTGGTCTCGGCAATATCAGTGTGCTCATGGCTGCTGACCTCCTTGACCGTTTCAATCGCTCCGCGGCGCACAGAGGTTTCATGGTTTTTCGGACTCTTACATTTCCATAATCTGATATAGACCTTATGTACATTGTTTTGATACGGTGCAGGTGCAAGGGGTTTAAAAAGCTGAAAGGTGGAAGAGGCAGACAGGCCAGGAAAATCGCGAGCCTCAGACCTGTTGCCTCAGCGACGACCGCAGCAAGAAAGCATGTCAAGGCGTCATTCTACATGCGAATTCATCCCACAGCTTGTACGAGCACTTGCAGGCATCGACATGTCCCATCGAAGAGCTGGACCTTGCCAGCTTCATCGAGGCCAGACCGAATCTGTGCTTCTTCATGGCCCTGCCTCCAGCCGCTGTGCCAGCAAATGTAAAAGGCATGCTCTTGTAGCTTCTGAAGCGAGAGGGTAGCTATCGTGACTCCAATATTTTGTGACACTGCATATGTTCTCGAACGACCTGGGGCTTGGGGGATGGTGTACATCCGTCAACTCAGGCTCTGACAGCTGCTGCACGGGTTTCGGAGCTCCCGATGCCGCGAGCCCTCTCCCTCATCACCGTTCTCGGACTGGTGGGCAGAGGACTCCTTGCAGGGAAATCATGAGAAACCCCAAAAGCCCTGTGAGAACCTTCCGGAACGGAGGATGCTTCGGCCTATGTCGTCGCTTTCATCTTCCCCTTCCGGGCGCCGTCTTCTTGCTGGAGCTGCTCGGATTCAGATGCGTGTAAGTGGTTTTTTTTCGGCTCTAAGACATCTGAGGCAGGAAGATGGTGAACATAAGGCAACAAGGTCAACACAACGCACCGTGAACCCTGAACCCTCCGAGAGGAACCCGCAGCACCAAGGCTCTGGTGTCTCGACATGATGGTCTCACCCAGTGTTAATGGAATGGCAAGGCCGGGTCTGTAGCTCTTGCTTGTTTGTTTGGGAGTTTAGGATGGTTCAATGGTTCAGGGCCGCCTCGTGCTGGCTAGGATGGTTTATGCCTGAGTTTCCAAAAACCTCCGGGTTCGGGTTCTTTTCGGTCTGGCAAATTTGCGAATCAGCGCCGGATAAGCCAACATGCTGACGCCCCAAACCTCCCGGAGCTGGCCCAGGCAGCACATAGATCGTCAAATGCTTGGTAAGAGAGCTCAGTCCCAGCTCTTTTCTTGTGCCCAGCCGGGACGTCACCTGGAGTTTGGATTGGTTTGTTGCAGTTGAAGGGGTATCGACCGCAGGCATGCTCAGCATCATGACTTGTGGATGATTCTGCCCCCAGCTTGAATTTAGCCCACCTGAACCTTGAAAGCGAAACCTATTTCTGCTGCACAGCAGGGCAGATCCTCCCAGAGCCGCTCTGCTTGCACCTCAAGCTGAGAGCTGCAACCCCACACACGAGTTCTGTACTGATCATGCACTCACAGCGCCCCGCTTCCCCGGCAATCTTCCTTGTTTGTCTAGGGCCTTGAACACAAACGATTTTGTAGCCATCCCAGCTTATTGAATCTTGAAACAGAATCTGCCAGATCTGCCGGCAGCCGGCCGGCCAAACCAAACATGGGCTATGAAGATGCACGGTTGTTCATTGATCGCATCGTGCGATGCATGAAGATGCGTCAGATTAGGCCATGTTAAGCTGTAGGTCATGAGACACAAAAGGAGTCTGGGAAAGCTTGTGAGAGACCCCCCCCCCACATCGTCCCGCTTCCAAGACGGAGATTCTGCTGTCTCTGCTTGCGCTGATCGGTGCCGCAGTCATCATCGCACTGTGGGCGACGCGATCCCAGTCCACTATTCGCCTCTTGGAGCCAGCTTTTCAATTTGATGTGACTGGTCTTGACGTCGAACCGCCTCGGATGTCTTGGCCCTGTTATGCGCATCTCAGGCTTTTACGTTGCGACAAACCTTGCCTGCTCTTGGAGCGGCTTTTACTTCGCGGGCCGTGCCTTCGATCTGGCGATGGGATACCAGCGCCTTGGTCGCTTCGATGACTGGGGCGTTTCCGAAATTAGAGATGCCTTATTGGGGTCCTTGTCATAAGGGAATCCTACTAGTCTCGTAAATCCCGAAATGCCACCCCGAGCAGTTTCGGACCTGTCGAGGCAATGGGAAGTTGGCCGACAAGTTGACATTGCCATCGTGGCAGCTGTCCTCCGTTTGCACTTATGGCCTATCTTAGACAAAGAAGAGACCTTATTCTTATTATCATGATTATTATGCCTAGTATTGTTGTTGGTACTATTATTGTTATTCTGATGATGATTAGTATTTTTGTTAGTTTTATTATCATTATTATTATTAGTATTATTCCGTGAGCTTCAGGTGGCCATGTCTGCTGCCACGCTGCTACCCCTTCTTGGCGTGGCTCGGCTGATGTGCGCGGGCCTGGAACTTTGCCTTTGCAATGGAATCCCTGGTACGGAAGGACCCCATAACAATAAAAATAAGAGAAAATCAAAATATTGATACAAATATTAATGTTAGTAGTAATTAGTAACCCCCCCCCCCAAGGGAAGAAGGGACGGACCAGCTTTCTGAAGAACCCCCTGCACGTAAACAGGTTTCGATTGTCGGTCGACGGCGGCTCTTCAAAGCCTTGGGCGACAAGTTTGAGCACAGCCGAAGTCGTCAGCTGCAAAGCGGGGCCTTCATGGCCATGCTTTTGGATTCCTACTTTGTTCAGACGCCGGCTGAGAAATGGCAAAATTCTCTGCCTTTCTTTTTTTTTTAAGAGGTTCCTCTCGTTGCCTAGCTGTGCCATGCTTTCGGATACCATGCAGAACCTCTTGCAGGAGAGGGCAGCCATGGTGGCTGCGGCAGCATGCTCTGGAAACGGAGACCGTCCCGGAGAATACCTTCAATGGTAACACACCGCGCCCGTTCGACCTCTCCGCATCCCTGGGGTCCAAGCTCAGCTCAATAGACTCACTGTGCTCAGCGGCCACCCCGGCATCGATGATGCCGGAGATGGATATGAGTGCCAGACCTGATTTCGTGAAAGGCCGGGTAGTGCAAGTCTCGAAGGATGGGAGTGTGTTTTGGGTCAAGCCCGAGATCGGCGAGCACAGATCTGTAAAGGTGGATCGGCGGCAGCAGGTAGCTTGGCTGCTCCGTGCAAGATGGTCAGGTTTGTCCAATCCGTGCTGCAAACTTTTTCCAACTAGCTTTGCGAAGGTCATTCCGTGGCCACAGCTGCTGGAGCTGGGCCGCAAGAACCTGCGCTGCATGGACTGGCAAAGCCAAAGCGAAGAGCTGTGGAGCCAAAATGCTGGACCCGGCTTCCAGTTGCCAGGCTTGCGAATGGGAGCTCTGGGGGTTCGATGTGACTAGATGTGACTAGATGCAGCGCCAAGCCCAGCAATCTAGAGTGTCACCTCGGTAGGGCAAGAAAGATCTGAAAATACAGCCTTTGCCCACTGGAACGGAACCAAGACTCAGGCTTTCCCGGCCGGTGGCTGGGGGCGAGGTAATCGACTTCTTCGTGTCACACTCCTGGAGTGACAACAGCCATCGAAAGTTTCGAGCACTCCACTTCCTCGCCGAGGAGTTTCATGTGCGGCATGGCCGGTACCCGACATTTTGGGTGGACAAGTGTCTCGGCTGCCTTGCCGACTCCTTTTAAATATCTGGAGGTCAATGAGTCGAACTCGGCTCGGAATGTCGACTGGCAGTGTCTCCGCAGTTTCGTTCTGTTCACGGTCCTTGTCCTTTTGCTTTTCACCCGGAAGGCACTTTGAACCGGTGATCCCCTCCCACTCCCCATCCCCCTCTCCCATTCCCTGTCTCCTCCACCCCCCCAAGGACTTTCTCCATTCGTTCCAGCATGATTCCCGTCCACAGTCTTTGTTGTGACCGCTTGCTTCCCTTGTGTGGGTCCTTGTGGCATTCCGTGGACTTTCTGTCGTCGAGTTGCTAGGGGGGCGGCTCATGCTGGTATTTCCTTCTTGTGGCCATAATCGGCATCCTGCTGAATTTGTGCGCGCATGTTGTTCTGCCGCTGTGCTGCTCGTTTCCCTGTATCCTGCGCCGCTCTAGCGTCATCACATCCAATCACAAAGCCCAGGTTCTGCATCGACCAGAGCAGCGTCGAAGATGGACTGCGCGTGCTACCTGTGAACGTCATGGCCTGTAGCTGCTGGGCATAAGTGTAGAGCAGAGCCAATGCCGTCGTGAGAGCACTGTGCTGGAACGATAAAGCAGCTGAGGCAAGGTGTTGGTCCTTTGTGGAAGTTCGTACCCCTCCCGGCTCTGGTGTGCCTGGGAGCTCTGCGTCCTCCTCTCCTTCATGCCTCTCGGCCTGCAGCAAGACATGCGTCTATGAATGTTTCGAGAAGGCGAGTAGCACTTCTCCAGGGCCCCATCCCAACAAGAAACACCTGAAGCATCCCGAATGACCCGCACTGGCTCTGAGGCCTTTGCAAGCTGCTCTTACACGGCTGGTGGTCTCTCTGTCGCACTCTCTGACAGCAATGCGCTGCCATCGTTCGAGTTGCAGTTGGATGTTGCTCTCCAATTGCTGTGTGCCTTTGGGGGTGGGTTGCCGAGTCTGAAGGATCTAGGGGCCTTGACATTGCAAACCAAATCTCAGGTTTTTCCATTTAGCAAGTCAGCCTTGGAGAAGCTTGCCCGATTCGAATCTCGGCGAGTGTTGCTGCTCTGCTAGATGTCAAGAGGTTGCTTGCGAGACGACAGTCCAGTAATTCCAGTATCGATGTGTCATCGAGGACCTGTCCATTGCCCGGTGCTACGATCCCAACGAGGCTGCGAAATCCTGCGCTCCAAGTTGCTGCCTTGCTGACAATGCCATTGCCTTCGTTACACACACGCACACACACACACAACATTCCGGTGCCGCAAACAAAAGAAAGTTTTTTTCAGGCCCGTGCAAAGGCAAACGGGAAAAGCATTCGATTCGGTCAAGCAGTTGCGATATTCATGCAGCACGAAAGGTTCGGGCATCAGTATGCATCGTGCTTCCTCAAGGGCTGCTGTTCCCAAATCGTAAATCATGAATTCTGCCATGGTTTGGTATTGTAATGTATTGTGCTTTGAGCTTGACAGGAGTTGCGACTTCGCCGAGTTATTTCTGCCATCGGGCAGTTAAGCTTCGAGCCGCTTGGTCAAAGCGTGAGGAGAGTAGCTGATAAGAAGGCCTCTTGTACGCTGAGAGGCTGGTGTTGATGCCGCACCCAGGAACAAGATCCAGGCCCTGGGCCAGCTGATTTTGGATCGAGAGGCTCCGATGGGTGCCCACTGGTGGAGTGTAGGTTTGCGACGAAAGAAGTGGTTTCTGAGATTTACCGTTACAAGCGGGTCTTCCTAAGCGTCTTCACACAGACATGCCAGAATCGCTTGAACGCAGTCTTCTTCTCACCTGCCCAACTGAACCAAACGTTCAAAGCACACCCTCAATGCTTCCAGACGAGCGCGCCGGGGCTCCTGATGCAGGGCTGCTCGGTGTTTATGAAAGGGAGTTGTGTTGCAAGGCTGAGCAAGGCTAGCGAAGCAGAGAAGGGCCACATCCGAAGAGATAAGGAAGTGGCAGCTGGAGTGCATTGCCAGAGTCCGAAAACGTGGATGTCGAATTGGGGCTTCCCTCCAACGAAGCCAGCTGCCGACTGACGATCGACCACTTGCGCCAATTCGAAGCACCTCTCGAGGAGGTGATCTTCTGAGGCATGTAGCCCATTGGAGTAAGCGTATTGCAGCTGGATGTCTGATTCCGCACCACTGACTGACCCAAAATGGGTACGGTTTGACGTAAGTAGACTTCCCAAGATGGTAAACCACGACTGTTGACAGGAAATCTTGGTAAGTCTTGCGTAGGACATGTGGTGAGTTCTCTAAATGATGGTCCCTCTTAGGGCTACTGTTATCAGGCGGCCCCTGTACACATGTACACCTCGTATCTTTATCTTTGTGTGTTTTTATCACCCAAAAAAGGACCACAACTTAGAGAAGTGACCATGTAAGACTTCATCTTTCGACCGAACTCTGGTGCTACGGCCACGGTCGCATGCCGACTGGCCTGAGTGCTGGCGCATGGAAAAGAGTTCGCTGCCAGAGAGGCCAGAGGTCCAGAAGCTCCACGTGAGAGAGAGGTTTAGGGTTTAGGGTTTAGGGTTTAGGGTTCAGGGTTTTGCGTTTAGGGCTTCCTTCGCTGCAGGTTGCAGAGCTTTGCCGAAGAGCTGAGAGGGGCGACCCGATTTCGTTTGATGTTGTAGGCAGCAATTAGCAGCACAAGGGATCCCACAGCAGATGGTGCGTGCGAGGCATTCTGAAAACGCCGACCTTAGCTTGAAGCCACTGAAGTCTGTGGCCAAAGAGTGCAGTTGATTGAAGGCTTTGCAGGATCGAATCGGCGTTCGTCAAAAAAAGTGCCTGACGTGCAATGGCTAGGCATTTTTCATGAATTGCCTTCGTCGTATTGAAGAGGTGCGGGTTGGGTTGCTCTTTGGTCTCACACCCGGTTGGGTATTTCAATCTGCAAGGCCCTTAGGCTGAGAAAGTCCTTTGATGTGATGTGTAGGCTGCACTTAGCCTGACAAAGTCTTTTGATGATTTTGATGTGGAGGCACACCCTCACTCCTGCGGCCATCAAAGGAGGATGCGACAGGCAAACCCGACGAAGAGCGTCTAAATGTTGAAACCCCGAAGCCATCATGGGGTTCTGCAGAAGGGTTTTGGTGCCTGATTGAAGTAAAAGAGCTGGCTTCGTAGTGAGGTTGAAATTGGGAAGGCATGGCCGTGCTGTGGATGCGACTCGCCGACGTGCAACACTAGAAATGGAAACTGCTGGATGTGAAACCCACCCGTATGCCTTCACTCGCCTCAGAACCACCACCTGGCGCTGTCAGGCATCACAACAGATGAGATTCGAGCAGGAATCTGAGAGGTTGTGTGCAACGTTGTGCAGTGTTTTCTGCCTTTGCTCAGTTGATCATTGGCTTGCAGTTGGCTTCCAGGCAGTTACCAAGACATTCCCAGAGAGCATGGGGAGCCTTTGTGCTTTCGAGGCAGCTGCTGGCTCACAGAACACTCTTCAACCCACTTATGGCCATAAGGCAGCACCCACCAAGCACTGATTTTCCTGGAGAACGGCAGCATGCGATCAGAGAACCAACGGTAGGTGTGTCTCCATCTTTTCCCCATTGCTCATGCATGTGACATGCGACCGTGGGTCTCGCACTGTTGCTGCACATCTTCCGACCTGCAATTAGAGGAGGACAAGGGCACGAAGGCAGAATGTGTGGGCGGGAGTTGTAACGAGATGCGTTCATATTTGGTAAGGCTCGCAGACCAGTCCGTCCGAGAATTGGTTCATCATCTGCTTGATTCAATGGGCTGACAGAAGCTACATGCAGTGGCAGCTGCATGCGAGAGGACGAAGATGATGAGGATGCCTTTGAGGTCGAGGTTCAGGACGCTGGTCCGCCAGTACTCACGTGCGTACCCGAGCGCCAAAAGCCCCACTGTCAATCTCAGCCTGGTTGAGGGAGACAATGCCAAAGCCAGTGCCCGTCCTGGACTTCAGGAGACGTGGATCACGAGCGATCCGGCTTTAGTGTTGCTTGCGTGACTCGGATGTCGTTTTTTTTCCTAGTGCAAGGCAACTGTCAGTTTGCCCATCAACCTTGGCAGTTTCAGGCCGATGCTACCTGTCGAGGCTGCGCAAGAAAACGCTTCCAACTATTCCTATCTTGCGCTACAGGGTTCACTCGCCGAAGAATCAATGTGTTATCCATCCACGGTACATGCCGGGAATGGTGTACCTCTTTGACCACTCTAGTAGATGGAGTCATCCAATACTGGTTTCCAATGTCTGCTAATGGGGGAACACTATCCGTATCTTGATGTCGTAACCGTATCTGTGCTTCGGTCATTGCCACCTCTGCCCAATGGACTTGGGGCCGTCCACGTCGATTCTTCCCCCGAACCGTTCTATACGCCCTAGCTTGGTTAAACGTCGCTGTAAACTCATGTGAGTCAGGATGACGCAAAATATGGTCCAACAGCTTTAATCTCCGACAAGACACAGCCTGCGACGGCGTAGGGACTGACGTGTACTGATTCGCCAGTCGAGCAAGGTGTTCATTTGAGCAAGGAGCGTCTGATGGCTGAATAACCCGGTGGTAATACGACGATTTAATCCCGAATACCCGTCGCAGAGTCTGAAAATGAACCGTATTCAATCTACTAGTACTGGCCGGTGTCAAATAACAGGGCTCCATGGCATAGGACAATCTGGATAATATGATAGATTTGTATACAGTGAGCTTCCATTTTGTAGGGAGCCCTGCGTGAGAAAAGAAAGGTTTCAACAGCTTGGGAGCAGTCCTGAAGCCTGAGGATCCTGAGCTTGTTCAACGCATGCTTCGCGGTGGCGGCTTTCGGCCTGCAGCAGCTTCCTTTCATGGACGCCGTGGGGGGGGGGGGAGGGGGTTGCAGGTTTGAGGGCGCGGCCCAATTCCTATCCCCCCAAAAAAGACCTCTCTCTCCGCGTTGAGCTTGCCCTTGTTCAGGATGCTGCGATTGTCAACCTTCTGGTTGCCTAATCCTTAGACATCCGCGCTGAGATGCAAAAGTTCGGTTCTCAAGGGCTTGGAGGTTGACATCAGAGGCATGGACTCCTGTAGGATGCCTTTGGAATCATGGGGCGCTTTCATTGGCGGCCACAGGGATCAGAGCATGTCTCTTCCGTCAATGTCTCAACGGCGCTGACATTCCGATTTTTGCGCAACATCGCGGAAAGCTTTACTTCTCTGAGGCCATCGCCCACAACATCTACGTCGCCGCTTGCCGAGGCGGGGCCGTACGTGCAGCCTACCTTCTTTCCACAGAAAAACCAGCCGGACCCTCCAACACTCATACATACTGCTGCTGATTCTGGTGGTGGTGTTGCCGCTGCTACTGCTGCCGCCACAACCATGAATACAAACGACTACAACTACGCGCTCCTAGCCAGTATCCACTGCGGCGTCAGCATTTCACTGGGAAGCCGAGTGCCCACAGTACGATGTATCTTGTACGCCTGTCAAGAATGGCCACCAATAACTCACGACCATCAAGGGCCTTCTGGCATTTCAGGGGCTTGCTTATCAGACCGTAGGCAATGTGATTGACAGCCAGGTGAAAGAAGGTGTAAACGCACAAGGCATGTGTGCGAACGGCTAAGCAGCACTCAGGCGCTGTTAAGCAGCATTCAGACGTGCTTGTTCTAGCACAGTCTGGAGAAGGGTGCCGATTTTGTCCCGTAGCTCTTGCAAATCTTGCACACCACCATTTGTCAATCGCATGTCCACACCGGTCTGCCCGGGGTCAACCAGGCTAGTTCCAAGGTTGGTACTCGTCCTATGGCATACGATCGAAGAGGGATTCGTGCCTGCCAGCAGTGCGCTGAGCTGTTGACAGGGTTAAGACCATGCGGTTCTTGTCTGGATTTCACATACCAGCGACGCCTTTGCTGGATAGGAGCTAGATCGCATGATAAGATCTTCTCCTGACATTCCTGCAGTCGTCTTCGGATCCTACAAGTTCTGGATGCTCTCCTGCGCATCTCGGCTTCGCGGTGTTTTGGTCGGCCAATTGTGCAGGACTCGTGGTGTGTGGATGACGTTGGATGACGTCTGTTGGGCATCTGATTGTTGGGCCCGTTCTGCAAGAGCGCTTTGAGCACCCTGTGACCTCGCGACCTTCCCTCAACCGCTATGGCAGAACCTCCAACTCTCCTCCAACTCTCCTTCAACCCCGGGCCGCAACCCATGAGAAGCCTGAGCCCCGGAATCCCCAAGGTGCGAGCAGAAGTCGCCTTGAGCGTCTTGAAGTTGGCAGGCCAGTCTCTTTGCCCTGAGTGAGGTGGCTTAGGTTCAAGTTGGGTCCTTGGGGTCAACTCTGCCAAACTCTTTATGGAAAGGTCTCGCCCCATCTCCTGTTCTACCAAATCAGCAGCAGATGACGTGATGAGTCTCCAGATTCTTCTTCCATGGGTCACCTGAAGGTGCATGACAAAGATGTGGGTGTGCCTGACGAATGTAGGCTCCCTGCTGGTGCTTGTTTTCGTGGTCTTGGAGGAAGAGGGCGGATACTCGCCGCTTGCCTGCAGATGGCTGGCTTTCGGACTGTGTTCTAGCTGTCTTAGGCCCATGTTCTCGACCAGCCTGCCTTGCTGCAGAATCAGATCTTCTTGGGCTTTCGGTTTTGGGCTCTCGGGGGAAAGATCTGAGAATCTGGGCCTACAGCAGTGTTCACGGCACCCTGGCACTGCTGAGATCTCCCGACTGCCTCTAGGTTCCAAAGATATTCGCTGCACTGGCTGCTCTTTGCATCTTGGCACAGAAGCAGCGTTCGCCTAGGGCCTCTACTCTAGGGCTCTGACACTAACCCACATCCCTAAACTCCGCTAAGCTCTGAACCCCAAAGGCGCCCCAAAACCCCGGCTCAACCCTAAACTGCGTAGTCGTTTTTCAATCGCCTCATGGCCTTCTCCGAGGCGACTGCTCTGATTCTTCCCAGGCAGCGCAACGGCACACCATGCCAAGCAATGGTTTGAGTCGGGGGATGCTTCGTTTTCAGGTCGTTCGGGGATGTTTTCGGCAGTTGCATTCCGTGGCAATTCTTACTCAAACCTTAACAGTTGTGAATACGGCTTTTATGGTATGATCAGGTCTTCTTTGATTCTTCACTGCTGGCTCGCCTGTCAAAGACTGGCACGGCGAACAGTGTCGCAGCAACTTGCCTGTAGCAGCCGCAGCAGCAATGTTTGTGCTTGAGGATATCTGCGGAGGCTAGAGTAGTGTAGTTGACATAGGCTTCAGTGACGTGTGCCGGTTGGGTCAGATTGTGCTGGGGCAAAAGAGCTGCATACCGGCAAATGGCAGTGCTCTCAAACATGTCTAGAGTCTAGTGCAGCAGTTGCTCTCTCTTCCGTTCTTGGGATGCTAGGAATCGGAGACGCTATTCTTACAACGGTTTTGATCTGGAGCCTTGGCCAGAGTAAGATGCGTGCTCGAAGAGGTATGTCCAACACGATCCTTTCTGTCTTGTGAACCTGCACAAGCCGTCGACACGATGAACGTGTGGGAGGACCTGAGCTACATCACCGAGCGAATCCTGGCTATGGGCTTCCCCGCCAAGGATCTGGAGGCTCGTCGAGGGCAAAAGTGAAACCATTCCAAGCCCTAGGCAGGATCTGGCAGGTTCCTGTATGCCTGTCAGGCAAAGTTTCGGAACCCCCTTTCCGAGGCATGGTTGGGATTGAAGCCCAACGCCATCCGCACATGTTTCCCATTCCCCACAGAGGTCCGAAGGTTCCTGAACCAGCAGCATCCGAATCACCGGGTATCTTGATTGAACGAGTTGAGAATGGGCGGTGGAGGAATGGCTTTCTGTGGTCCATGTGCTGCATTGCCGCCGTGCAGTGTAGGTGCGGGTGTAGGTGCAGCATGGTGCAATTCTGGAGTCTCTTTTGACCCGGGGCTGTCATCCGGCTTATAGTTTGACTAGCAGATACGACCGCTCGCAGCACATAAGCGCGATCTTGTGCTCGCTTTTGCGCAGAGTTTTTTGCAGGGTTGTCAGCTTGTGGCAGGCTGGCTTGGGGTATTGAAAACCTTTTCCTGTCGCACGGCGCCGCATTTCCAGAAGCTCCAGTGCAACTCAGGTGTATAACCTTTGCCGCGAGCCTGACAGAAGGCATCAGGGCCGGTTCGTGATCTGACCTAAGGCTTTCGAGCGGGAGATGTAGTGCCGAATCGCAGTTGCGCTGACCAGCTGTTGTTTTTGGCAGCTCAGCACTGACAGGTATGATGAGAGCAGCTTCAAAGAAGTCTCGACCAGGCTGCACGGGAAGTGCTCAGAAGCTTGTTCCGAGAGTGTGCCCATGCTCAGGGTGTGCTTCTACGACCACACGCCTTGCCCTCTGGAGCAGCTGCTTGAGCTTGTCGAAGACCAGCACAGGCGCAGCTTCCGCACGATAATTACATTCCCGGTGTCGATATGACACTCCCTGTGTCCGTGTGGTGTTTGGGCACGTGTGGGGCGAGGCGGTCTTGTCGTCGCACACCATTTCCAGTTCCTTTTTCTGTTAGCGAAAGCTTGAGAATGTTCCGTTTGTAGAAGCAGGCCGAGAGCCCATCCTTTTGCCAGGTATTTGGCTTCAGATGCAAGCAACGTCGTGGCAATCCATTGCAAGGCAAATTCGTCGCCTGTTGAAGTGTGCGAGTGGAGACTGCGGTTGGCAGCTGTGGAGCTTCCTCCATCAACGTTCATGTGAAGGCGGGTAAAGGCCGAACGGGCCTCGTATGCGCAAGCCTGCTGCTGAGAGAAGGCTCGAAGTGATGGTTTCCCTGCTTTTTTCGGTAGCCTCTGAAGCCGAATCACGCATCTAGACCATCAGTCCAGAACTGCAATGCAGGAGAAACTTTGATGTCCACAGTGTGTTTGCGTTGAGACTTGGCTGAGCGCAAGGCCTTGTGGAGACTGCCGGCGAGGCTTTCGGACATCTTCGACTTTTTAGAGAAAGCTCAGAGCTTTGAGTAGTCCAAGGTCTGTTGAGTCCAGCTTTTTAGAGGACCTTGACTTTTTCGAGGGGCTGTAGAGACTCTCTCTCTTTCTCCTCTCTGCGTGTGTGCGTCGTGCATTGACGCAGGCTGGTGCACGGCTAAGACAAAGCTTTGACCAGCTACAACTCTACAACTTTCAACGTGGTTGTGACCGCAGGCTCTCTCCACCTATGCTGACCGCCGGACTCACAACCAGAAGGGTGTGACCATCCCGAGCCAGATACGGACTCTCGGGCGAACTGGGACTTGTCAGGGTCCATGGGGGTCGACTATACCTGTGTCTTCGGGCGACGGGCGAGGAGCTTTTGACGGGTCAAGGCAGTTCGCTTCACAATGCCGCGCAGTCCCTGCCAGTTTCATGTGCCGTATGTGCAGCTTCGGGTGCCTCACTTGGCGGTCTGGAAGCCAAGCAAGGTATGTGCACTACTACGAACAGTGCCTTCGGGAGCGAGCTCTGCGGAAGCAGACTTGTTCTCTGGAAAGTGCTTTTCGGCCTGACAGAAGACTTCAGTGCAGCTTACGGCTTTACTACTAGCAACTTCAGCAAAGGCCTTCGTGTTTTTTGGTGTGCGAGAAGATTGGAGGCTCCAGCCGTTTTCAGCAGGTGTGTTTGGAGAACGTCGCCTCGCTGGCGACATTCGGCAGATGCTCTTTGCAGGCGCCAGAGCTCCAACTTGGGATCTTGGCAGAAGGTCGCTGCATCGCTGTCCTGGGAGCTGTGATTATTTCAGGAAGCTAATGCATCGTAGTGTCGATATCTTGAACATAATCGGTCGCGCACATAGCGGAAGCACGGAGACACAAGTTGGGAGCCGGGAGAAAACAATACAACCAACAAGAGGAGCTATTTCGGGCGTAGAACCGTTGGGATTTAGGGGGTATAAGGCATTGGCGTCCAGTGTTTGCACCCCGGGTTCAGATTGTCTTCCGCAATTACAGCTTCCCTTTCTGACGGCTTGCCCTGCTGTGCTGTCACGAAGCCCCTCTGAGTGTCGGCCCTATCTGCAAGTCAGAACCCTAAACCCTAAACCCTAAACCCTAAACCCTAAACCCTAAACCCTAAACCCTAAACCCTAAACCCTAAACCCTACACCCTAAACCCTAAACCCCAAACCCTAAACCCTAAACCCTAAACCCTAAACCCTAAACCCTAAACCCTAAACCCTAAACCCTCAACCCTCAACCCTCAACCCTAAACGCCCTAAGTCCTAAACGCCCTAAACCCTTAACCTCTCTCACAGGTGCAGGTGAAGGATGCAGACCGCGCCTTGCTGCTGGAGTCGGCCTGGGTGCACGTTCCAGACACAGAAGAGGCTGGGAGAGGAGTTAAATATGGATAAATGCAGCCTTGCTTTGCATCAGCAATAATGTCAATATCAATACTAAACTTAGTATTCACATGCTGATATTCATAGACATGCGAATCGCAATTGCAATATGAACATGAATATTTGGATCAACATGAAAATTAAGCATCCGGTGTTGAGACAACGAAGGAGGACACGGACTCGGAGCTCGAGTCCAGCCACCTTCAGGAGAGCGCGCTGGCGCCCCGCTCTGTCGATTTGAGTCCGCTTGGATTCCACTTCGGGCCTGGGGGGGGGATGGGGAGCCAATGAAGGGGGTAGATGGGGGGGGGGGGGTAGATAGTGGAGGGGTGGAGTGGGGGGGGGGGGGAGGGGGGCTGGGTGGGGGGAGGGAGCAGTGCGGGCGCCTGGCGAATCCCTGACCTCACCCGGCACCTGTTTTGAGGGAAAACCAGTTTGGAGGACCTCGAGGTCTGTAATCCCAGTCAGAAAAATCAAGGAAAGCGACTGGCCACAGCTCCAGCTGTCCTTTCAAGGTGTGCTGTGCTTTGCAGCGGTGGAAAACTCTGTTTATCGGTTGCATTGCTGCTTCTTATCATGGCCGTGATTCTCGCGATGCCATCTATGATGTACGTATATTGTTGTCTTTGCTCAGCTTTTTGTTGTTCTTATTCTTGCTCGCTTTCCTGAGCACGAGGTCTAGTATTGTGTTTCTTCGATTCCCACTTCTGGGTTCGTTTTCGCTGTGTAAGACTAACAGTAGGTGAGTATTTATGCACTTAGCGTTGCAACCTTATGGTCACCGTGACTTGCTTGGGTCACGATGTGGCCACACTCTCAGGCAGGCGGAGGCATGAGAACTTGCGTTCTTTGCTAGATTCGGGTCCAACTTCGAGACAAGCAAGTTTTTAAAGGGTATCTTCAAGATCATCGGCCCTAGTGTCGAACGCACGTTCTTGCTTCTTGCTGTCGTCGCGATCATCCCCGCAGGTGTTGGAACTTGGGCAGCAGGAACTCCCGACTGACCTGCAGGTCGTCCTGAGACGCCCGGAGGAAGAAGGGAGTTTTTCCAACGGGTCTTTGTTACGTTGTTGGGTCTCTAGTGGGGCGATGATTGGGATCAACCCCCCCCCCCCGTCCCCCAACTAAGCAAAACACAATTCAACAGCAAGTTTCTATGTCCTTTTGGAGATGTTGCTGGCTCTGTGGGAACTTGTGAACACTTTGGAAACCATGAGAACCCCATGTTGGAAGGAAATCTTCAATCCTCCCAAAGCTGCGGCACCAAGGAATTTCTCGGGAGGAGTTCTGCAGCTTCGGTGAAGCCATCAAGGCCTCCCGCCTCAATGTGCCATACATCCTGTTATGAGAGCTAAGTTCTGCTGAGTTGGGTTGAGGTGCGGAGTGTGAATCAGCATCCGCCCAGTGGGAAATGCATCTGCAGGTGCTCTGCTCCTTTTGGCTGAACACCGGGTACGTCACACGCGAGATGCGCCTGCGGGCGTCCGATCTGGACCTCCAGAAGTACTGGAAAAAGTCGCCCCTGGACTCAGCACTTGGTCGGCCGTGTGCGAACTCGACATTGCCAAGCTGAGGCCCATCTTCGACGCTGATTTCTGCGTGGTTTGCTGCTTCCAGTGCAGCAATCTGACGCAGGTTCCCCTTCAAGCACCGTCGGATTCTCCTGTCAAGTCCGACAAGAATCTTGCCTTCCACCACGCATACACAGTGGATGTCTTGCAGTCTTTCTTTAGCCGCAGCTCGACGCAGTTTACCATCGTTTAACACCCACGCCAGGCAAAGACCCCGGCAAGGGCTCGATTTTTCGGAGCCTGATGTAGATACATGTGTGAAAAGTTAGACGGTTACTGGTACCATGAAGCCCCTGATCCGAAAGCAGGATCCTCAAGCACAACATGTTGTGTTGTGAAATGCTGACAGGGTTTCTTGGCAAGCTTGGCTCTCAAGGGCTCTTCATGGGGAGGCAGCGAGCTTTGCCTGAACAGACCCGGCTTTGGGAGCAAGTTCCAGAAAGCACTGACAAAAAGATTGGCCTCGAAGCCGGCACCTTCAAACTTCAAATACAGACGGTACCAATTCTTCATGCCCTAGCCTTCCAACGAGGCAGGTAGAGTGCGTGCAATAGCATGCTCAGCGTTCGGCATCCGAGTATCGGACTTGAGTTGTCAGAGTTCTGTGACACGGGCTGACTGAGGCCAAAGTTCCTTTCTACGAAGTTACAGAGGAAGAGTTCGAGAGGTGTGGGCTTCTCTGGAGTCTGTCCTTTGCACTGGAGCACTTTTTTTTGAGATGCGAAGCTGTTCGTTAAGTTAAGGGCTGCTCCAGTTGAGGGGGTCCGGGGTCCCTTTAAAGCAGCAGGCTCTGGCTGTCGGGCGCCGTCGATGGGGCCAGCGAGGCAGCATCTCGCCCTGACGTGTTTGTGCGTTGCCGTAGAATGCCACTGGCAGGTAGAGGATGAGGTCTATGAGATTTCAGAGGAGGACTTTGACCGCTTGCTTAAGGCAGGGGAGTTTGCTGGCCGAGTGCCCAGTGCCCCTTGTGTTGGCCTACAAGCGGCTCTTGGACTGGTCTTTGACAGCTCTGATCATTCCATATGGGCTTAGGAAGCTCTAGGGCTCTTACATTCAGAGAGCGCATGCCTCTTGGGACGCGATTTTTACTCTGCGCCTTGTCTTGCCAGGCAGGGCAGCTACAGCTTGCTCGCCTCGAGGCCCCTTGGGAGCAAGATGTGTCTGCAGTGTTTCTTGAAGCGCCTCCACAGCCGGGACTTCGGGACGAAATCTTCTTGCAGCTTTCCGTGCAGGACCCAGCAGCTTCCTTTGGTCTGTGCGTGGGGGCTCTCAGCTTGGGGGGGGGGGGTGTCTGGTCTAGTCTGAGTCTGAGAGAGTGACCCGACGAACTCAGGAAACCGCCTCTTTCGAAGGTGTGTGTTTGTCCGGTTCCGTGATGGCTCATGACTGTATCCCTGCCTCTGGAAACATCCTTCCCAGAACAGAGCGACCGTGTGTCTGGCAACGTTGAATCGCACCACCCAAAAGTGGCCACGCGCTTCCCCCGACGATGTGGCGGCTCTCTGGGCTTTACCTTCACATTGGGTCTTCTCCGTCTCTACCGCCACCACAGCCTATGTGTCCGCGCACTTCGAAGACTTCGGCGACTTCTGACCTGGACGTGTTGGACTCGAAGCCTGGTTCCAGTCCCTTGTGAGACGGGATCTCATGAACTCGTCAAGGATTCCGGCGACCAAGAAATCATGAACTCCTACAAGGGCTGCTACTACAACGAAGGTGCTAAACGGAAGGGTGCCCATCTCGGTTACAGGACCAACGATGTCTGGATGATGTTTTGAGGCTCAGAAGCAGGACAAACTGTACTTCGGCAGACAATGGCCGCGAGGATCATCCTGCGATGGCTTTGCAATAGCATGGTACTTGGCTCTGTTCCAAACATGGACAAGCCCCCTGATAGTGACTCTGCAACGTGCATCGGAAATGGTCAGGTCATCGGCGTCTAGGAAGCGCCACATCGCCTCGCTGGTGACAAGCGTTTCACTATTCGCTAGTCGCACGAGTCGCTGTAGCGGGCCGCTGCCTGGAAACTCTGTTCGCATGAAAACACAGTCTTCCCTGCCATAAGAAGCCTTCCAAGGCCATGGACAACGATGCCTCGGCGCTAGACCACCTGGTTCCGTGGCAGCATATAGCTGCACATTAGAGATGCAATGAGAGACTTGTCAGGTCGAATGCAGTACTAAAGCGGGCGCATGATGGAGGAGTGCCGTAGACCTCATATAGGAGTCATGGCTCAGATGACTCATATTATCTCCTCGTATACCCTGAAGAGGAGGGAGTGATGGCCCAGTGACCCCCTCCACCAATGAGTTGGCCTGAACTTCCTAAACCCTCAAGGGCTCCGGGATCTGAAAGCAAAGAGTCCCCAACCTGAGAAATCTGGATGCCCCGGGTGAAAGGACGCTGAGCCAGATGGGACCTTGTGGGTCTCTACTCTTGTGTACAATCCGTAGAGAACTCAGAAGGACAGGCAATCGTTCACCACCTGCAAACCGCGTCCTCCCCTTTTCACAAGCTCCACAGGCTGAAACCCACTCTTGGGCTCCTTTGAAGGGCAGACACAGTGACTCAAGACCCCCTCCACGAAGGGGCGGCGGCCTACGAAACGCCCCAGGCCCAGAGGCGCGCTTCCGGAGGAGGCGACCCCGTGGGACTGCGGTTGAACCCCAAACCCAATAAACTTTGGTGGGGAGTTTAGGCTTGCAAGGGAGACCCGGCACTGAACAGTTGATTTCAGAGGCAACTAGGATGCAACTGGGTGAAGAAGCGGGTAAGCATGGCACATCAACTCTTTCCGAGATCTTGGGTTTTGCACAGAGAGCCCTTGTACCTCCTCGTCCATGTCTCGTGCTTTGCGAGGCGCTCTCTTCACTCCCCATGCCGCTGGCAGTCAAACCGCTCCTCGCCTGGATTAAGGATTGAGGGTTTCCAGATCGACTGAGGATAGCTTTGTGTGGCCAAAATCGAAGGCCTATCGCCCCCCCCGCCCTCTCCCCCCCCGCGCCCACGTTGTGACCTGAGGACACCGCCCTTGACTGCGCCATCAGTTCCAGTGAGGCAGTTCTTGTACATAATCGGGTCGTCCCAAGATGCTCTGTGCAACGGGCAATTTGCGGAGTTGATTGTGCATGATGCCCTTTTGGCCCATAAGCCTTCACGTGCTCAGAGTGCCACCCCCTCCCATTTTTCCCAGATTTTATTCCCTCCTCCCTATTCCCGTTACTGTCTTTAGGCGCAGCTCAGAGCCCGCACCCCGTCGACGGCGGCCGCGAACGGTGGATGGCTCCGAGGCGAAGAAGGCAGGAAACTGCCGAGGGCCTTGACACAACGCTACACATCACTACACTGTATACGCAGGGTATTCAACAAACCGTCTTCTTCATGTGTACCCTGTCTCATCTTGCTGGTGTTCAATCATGTTCATGATGTTCATGTTCAGTCGCTCTTCTCAACTGGGCGCCTGCGACACCTCCTCTGGAGGTCTCTATGTGCTTCCGTCCGCTGCCCACTGAGCGGACCCCGAGGGGAGAGGCGTGGACTTGTGGTTGGAAGGTGCTCTTCGAAGTTTGGGGAGCCGAGTGTTGGAGTGGAAGGCACGCAGAAGAGTTTTGCGGAAGGGCTTTGTTTCGGCCGCGGATTGTAAAAGGAACAGAGCTGCTCGGATGCCTGAGATGCGATCAACGAGTCAGCGGAGCACAGCGGTTGGATTTCGGTGAGCAAAGCAGCTCGTTTAGTGCGTCGGAACCACGATTGCATCCGCTGGTGCCAGGTGTTGCAGCATACTGCCGCAGGCAGCCCGGCGAGGCCTGCCCGAAGCATTGTTGTCAGGAAGCAAGCTCTCTCTGTCCTCGGACTCGGTCTGGCTGTCTGTCTGTGCACTTACTAGTGTCTACTGGCGCCCATCTTTATCTCCGCTGTGCCTCTGCATCGTCATGGCCTTGCAATGCCACGTCGCGTTATTGCAATGGTAGTTACTGTAGCATTTCATGGCAGACGCCGTGGCCAGTCAACAGACTCAGGGAGCCATCACTTCTGCTCGATTCCTGAGGCTTCTTCGAAGCCTCCGAGCTCGGAGCTGATCTTGAGGTCAAGTTGGGGGAAGCTGGCTATGGGTAGTCATGGGTGGTTATGTGTAGTTCTGGTTCTAGGTACTTGTTGGGGGAAGTTGGAATGTGGATCGAGGCCTGGAGGGGGAGGATGTTAACATTCTGAGGCCAGCATCTCCGGCTCCGTCGTGCCACTCACCGAAGCGGAGGACGCAGTCTCTGCGAGCATGGAGACGGATTTTGTGTGGCCATGTGTGGATTCTCCGCATGGTTTCTCACATTTTTCATTGCAGTACGATGCAATACAGCAGCCGCGGTGCCACTGCGTGGCTGCAGGAGGAGGGTGAAACTCGGGTCGCACGACGTCTTCCAGCAAACGGACGCTGCCTGAGTTCACAACTGACTGTGGAGCCAAGCCCAAACCCCGTCTTTGAGCCTCAGAGGCTTGCAGACATCTTTGTCGCATGTTGTGCCTGTTGTGCACCCTCTGCATCTCACGCAAAGGTCGCTTGCCGCGCATTTCCCTTCCCAACACATGGGAGGCCAGCACTCAGCTGGGTATTTTTGCATGGTAGGGTTCGCAGTCCCAAGCGGCCCAAGCGACGAGCCGGAACTGCGAGGCTCTGCGAAAGAGTAGCAGCTGCGTTTCCGGGACCGATGCCGGAGGCGGGCCCGACCTTGTCATGTGTGCAAGGCTCTGTGCAGTGTCCGTGGCCTTGCAGGGGAGAGCGACCTGTCCTCACCATCGCCTGCCCCTGGGCTGAGAACGCAGAAAAAGGGGGGAGGGCCTGGCTCTTTCAGAAGGCATGAGCGACTCCAATCCAGTTGAGGTGCTGCTGCCAAGCCGCCTGGCACAGGCCTGGCATCTGGATCATGCGCCAGGATTGCAGATGCGAGATTGGACGAAACTTGAAATCGTACCTTTCAAATCAATTGCTCACGCCCGAACAAGCATACGTCACGGAGAACGGTTGTCACTGGCCGCCCTGTCATCCCTGGAGGCAGCTCAGGTGGAGTGATCGGGCTCTGCACGTTTTTTACACACAACGAACTCGGACCGGCAGATCTCAGCCTGAGCATCTTAATGTGTCTTAATGGCTTTCGCCTTTGAATTGGACTCCTTTTGCAAATTTGACTCTGACCGAAACTCAGGGATGGGGATCCCTGCACTGGAGACCTGCAGTCCGACGCAGAGCGAGTAGCTGAGTAGCGACCCTGCCGGGAAGAATGGGAGCTCATCACAAAAAAAGCCTCAAAGAAGTCCTACTATACAGGTTTCAGTACGTCTAGTTGCTCTGACTCTGACTCTTGAGCCCTCAGCCCTAAGCTTCACCTCTTCCAGGCGTCTCACCCGTCACACTTTTCTGACCACGCAGTGCCAGCGCTCTTGGACCTCAAGATGCCGTCGCAGAAGCGACGGCAGGCCTCCCAGACCTCCAGTTACAAGAGTTGCGAAGAACACGGAGGAAGAACAACGCACTCCGACGCGTGTTTTAGGATGTGCCTTTTGAGAAGCCAGGGCCTGCAGGCAAGACTGACAGTAGGGTGACTCGGCACTTTTGCACCCACGGCAGAAGGTCTAGGCTCTCCTCCCGGACACCTCCAGCTGTGGACTGAAAGCACTTGAGGGCCAGGGCCACGCGCCACATCCAGGGCTTCGCTTTGAAGGAGCGGGAGCCCATCAAAGCAGACAGCCTCCACACCCAGCAATAGTGTCTACGAGTCTAAGAGTCCGACATGGCGCGTATCTGCATGTGGGTCTTTCGAAGCCCCAGTTGTCTGTAGAGGTTTGAGTACATGTATATTCGTAGATGCGCATGCGTATGTTTTGCATCGAAGGGTGAGTGTGTTTATGTGCACGCTTAAGTGAAGGGGTGCAGGTTTTGCAGTAGGCACGTTTTTGTTCTCATAATCTTGTATAGGTCTATGTGTATAAGCACCATTCCACAAAACCACTTGTACTTACCTTGACCACCCTAAACCCTAAACCCTAAACCCTAAACCCTAAACCCTAAACCCTAAACCCTAAACCCTAAACCCTAAACCCTAAACCCTAAACCCTAAACCCTAAACCCTAAACCCTAAACCCTAAACCCTAAACCCTCGTTGCTGTAGGAGTCTGTCTGTACATCCGGCGTGGGCATGCAATGGGGATTTTCTCTGCTGCAGGAAAGCGTTATTGGAAGCCTCCCCGCGGAAGCACAGAGCACTTGGAAGGAGGGTCTTCTTATTATAATTATTCTTATCATTAATTATTGTTAATTATTATTAATGATTAACAATTGATTATTAATTAATAATTATTTATTAATTATTATGATTATGAAGAAACTTGCTGAGTCTTGGTGAGTCTTCGAGTCTTCATCGGCACATAGATGCTTTCGACGACTGTCCTGGCAGACGGCACCGTTGCTAACCGATGCTGAGATCTCAGCGGATGCATGTGCAGTCAGATCTCTGGTGGCCCCCAAATGGCTGGGAGAAGAGAACCCGGTTCCCGTGCCGAAGGGGAGTCGCTGTGTGACCGGTTCGACCTTCCCCCCCCCCCCCCCCCTGGGGCAACAGGGCGCACACCTGCCTCAGACCCCAAAGCAAGCTGCTTCTTGCGGTGCTTTAGGGCGAATAGAGGTACTATGTGTAGGGCCTTGTTAAGGCATATGTGGGAATTACAAGGTGGCTGATTCGAATGACGGGCTCTTTTGGTACGCGCACCCCTATCACAGTATTGGTATACTCCTGATAGTTCGGGGTACCAAAAGGGGCAGTCCTTGAGATCAACCCCTACGCGTCGTGCAGGATTAATTAGCCCAGCAAACCTTTCAACCCTGCATCTTCAATGCCCCCCCCTCCCCCCCCCGCCAAAGCCTCTAAACCCTAATCCCATGTGGGGACTGGGACTATATAGGCTTGTAGGGTGCAGACTTCCTCAGACAAGGTCGATTCTGAGTCCCTGCGGCGCACCGCCATCTGCAGGGTACTGGAATCTGGGTTCAGGGTTTAGGGTTCGGGCCAGGGTTCGGGGTTTATAAGCTCATTAGGGTTGGGGAGTGTAGGGTTGGATTCCAGTACCTTTCATGTTGACACACTTCCCGCCGCAAAAATGCCAGCGCTGACTGGCCAGGGTGGCCTGCACGGAGCGGACCGCAAACACCACCCCAACAATTTGTACTGTGCCACTGCAGCTCCTCCATTTTCGGGTGCAACCCTGAGCCATCAAGCCTTAACCTGTAGCCGTAGCTCGGCAACTTGGCGACCATGGTTTGCCATCATCTTTATTCTGCGGGTAATTCCGAGTTCACTACAGAGACCGTGCATAAACGGGTTGGCTGGCTCCTCCCTGACTTGCGGTGTCAGCTTTCAACACCTCTGGCAATCCTGTTAAAGCTTGCCGACCAAACATGTTCGGCAAAGTTCCTGAGGGCAGGCTAGAGGATGCGAGGGTTCATAGTCTAGCACCCCGCCGCAGTCCTTCGCTGCCTCTCGACAACTCTACGAGCTTCTACCGCAAGAAATGCACCTTAGAGACGAAAAGAAGAAAGGCGGCATTTGGCCTGTGGCCAATGATTTCAATCACCCGTCTGTCGAGGACAGTGCAAGTACAAATATTTTCATCCCGAAGCTCGTTCTACAATCCCAGGGCGCGACGGGTGGTCTTGTCCGTTCCTTCCGTGCAGAGCACAGCAGGGAGGCGAGCAGATGGAAACACAGGTTGGGAGCCTTTCTCGGAAAGGCCTTTATACTTTTTATCAGCAAGGCTTCTCAGGGGTGCCACGAGGGATTTCATGCTGTCGGGCGCCCGAGATGTCACTGGAGGCTCACAGCAGTGGCGTTTGCTGCAAGTAGCCTCAGAAGCCCACATGTGCTCTCGAATCCCCAAGCCTTCGGAGGAGAACATACGCAGAGAGGGACATCCAGTGATCATTTCCGATTACCGAAGTATCGAAATGAGAATATCTAAAAAAGGTGTGAAAGAATATTTCGAAAAAAGTGAGAGCCTTCATCGGAGTGCGCCGCTTCTCGGTGCCCCGCCATGTTGCTCTCGAGGCCGGTGCTCTTGAGGACCCCGAGGCCCCTTGCAAGGCCGTTCTCGGCGAAGCTCCCGGGAAGACCGGCGATCCCAGCCTCGGGCCGCCTGGATTGTGAGAGTGGAGTAGAGTATATGGCAACTCCTGGGTGGGCCTTCATCACTCAGCTTAGAGAGGTGTGGGAGGGGGTGAAGATGCGTAGTGCGATCTGGGGTTTGTAGGACGGTCCTTTCTTTGCACGTTTTGAACAGAACAGGAGTCAAGGCTAGCAAACGAACAAGGCTTTTTTACAGCAAGAGCTTGAAGCTCCCGACGCAGAATTTGCATCTCAGGGCCGGTGCATTGGGCCCCCTGGGCCTCAGCCGCTTCCGCCTTGGGGGTCTTCGTGCGCGGCTTGGGCAGCCGAACGCTCAGGCGCAGCAGCATGCCAGTGCGGGATTCAGAGAGGAATCATTCTTTGTGCCGTGCTGCTGGAAGGAAGGGTCTGGGCAGTTCTTCAGAGGAGGAGGCGCAGTACACCTTGGAAGGCCAGTTGTGCAGCCAGAAGTTGCCGATGTCCAGGACTTTCGCAGGAAGATGTGTCGCTTCAGTCTTTGGTGCCCGAGTTGCTTGCATGCAATACCATCGACACTAATTTCAAATTCGCTTCTGTCAGAGCACGAACCTTGTTGCCCTCTGCAGACCTACAGTCTCGTTGCAAGCTGATGGCCTCTGTGTGCCAGCCCTGGAGAGGTGGCAATGACATTGAGCCGCTGGCAGATGGCTGTGGCGGCTGGCTCGCCCACCGCGCAATGAAGCTCCCTTAAATGCTCGAAAGCTGCCTACAACCCTCCCATGTTTCATAGCTTTGTAAGTATGCTGTGCTGGTATTCCGCACACAAGGAAGGATGCGCCGGGAAGTGGCCCCGGCTCAGACTGGATCAACGAGGCGAAGCCCCGAGAAAGCTAGAAAGGTTGTAGATTACGTAGTTGAGAACGGGGCACTCACTTTGGGCATTGACCGTGAGGTCCTGAGTTTTGCCTAAAGAGTGCAGGGTGAGAATGGATTCTTCTTTTTTGAGCCCGGAGCCCCCAAGAAGAAGGTGCACACTTACAGGTTGCTGAGTGACAAACAAAGACCTTCCGAGAAACCTCTGCTCACATAGCGTGCAGAATTTACTGCTTTCAGCGGCATAAGAAAAGAGAGCTGGCCTTTTTTGCTATGCAGGCTAGGGCCTGGGGTGTAGGGTTTCGGGTTTGAGAACTCAGTCCTAAACCAGCTGTACCCCCACGACGGAGCTAAAGGCTCGCTCCTTCGGGCAGGTTTTCTCAGATCCCAATGGCGAGCACGGAACGGACCTTTCTTCGGCAGCGGCCTTCCAGGTCTGCATGGGGGGGAACGGAGACGAAAATACGGGATCCCTTGTAGCAAGGACCCCAATAAGGCACCCCTAATTAATTCGGAAGCCCCCAAATCATTTCATCTAGACCCTCGCCCATTGATAAAATTTAAACGCAGAGCTTTTACGATTTCTTGAGCTTTGTGGAGGTGCCAAGCGCCCGGCTGACCCATCCGCCAAGGAGGGATTCTGGAGTTTCGAGCTTTCCCTGCAGTGGTCGCGCTGCAAGAATTGACCTGCGGGTAAGAGCCTTGTCGAGCCCAGAAAATTATTGTTACCCGTGCCTTCATGATCTAGCAGTGGTGCAAAGAGCGACAGCCGAACCCGAAACGACTTTGCAGGATCTTGGTCCTCTACGGTTCTTTACGGCCCAGCTCCTTCTCTCGCAGCCCGGCCTCGTCTCGAACCAGACATTAGTTTCTTGCTTGGGAGTACGAGGGATCTTCGTGTTCATGCATCGATGGCCCAGTGACTTGAAGCTCGAGTCATACCAGTCCTAGCTTAGCCCGCCTAGCCCGCCTGGCATGCTCTGGTGGCAGATGGTCCTTGAGGCAAGCTGGCACATGAGTGTGCTCGACTTCTGGAGGACGGGAGACGTAGCACTTGACCTTCGGGTACTGCTCGAAGTCGAAGAGACCCCCAGCCCCCGCGACCCCCCCAAGTTTGATCCTCCCCATTTCTCTTGGCGCAGCTAAGTATCGCGGACAGTGCCTTCTGGCGCCTTCCATCTCCTGCAAACCTGTGCAGAGGTTCTTGGTGCAGAGGTGCGGACTTTCTGCCCCAGAGGCCTGCCTGCAAGCTGGCTGCAGAGTCTCAGTGGCTCCATTGGGGCGGAGATCTCCTTGAGATGACCCATGGAATTTACATGATTTTGCGTACGGAACCTTGAGGGCACGGTTCCCGAGCCGAGGTGCGGGACCCGGCTCTGGAGGAGCATCCCAAGGTGCAGGAGCTGCGGAACCTCTCGATGTGGTCCGAGGGCACTGCACCTAGCCGTTAAATCCCCTGTCCTCTTCCATGACTTCAGTGGTGCGAGTTAGTGTGATGAGCTCTTTTTTCACCTGCGCCGTAGCCTTCTTTGACATTTGAACACGCTTTGAGGACATTTTGTCCGCGAAGCGAGAGAATCGCCGGGGCTTGCTCTGCTTGTAGCCATGGATGCCTCGCAGAACCCGGTCTCCCTGGACGTGCCATCGCAGATAGGCGTGGCCCCGACACAATTGGATCCAGAGTCGCAGGAGTCGCCCATCCAGCCGGAGACCCCTCCTGCTAAGGACAGGGGCCGCTCAATCCTCGACATGCTCCTGCGGTCACCGCCTTCCACGCAGGAGATGCTGGACGTGACGCTCCCAAGTGCACTTGCTGGCTCCTCGTCGTCAGCGGCGCCGATGGAGGAGGATGCTCCGCTGGCCTTCAGCACGCCTCCGAGAAAGAAGCAGAGGGACGGAAAAGAGGCCCGCGCCTCGCCGTCGCTGGACGGGGCACTCCAGAGCTCTACAAGGTTGAGGCCTGGGAGCTCTTGCAAGCACAGCTGATCCGCCGCTCGGCCTGTTCGAGTGCCCAGTTGTATGCCGGATACTCCGGCATGCGGGGCTTCCTCAACAAGGTGGTGCATGAGAACTTGCGCCTGACGGACGAGGAGCTGTCCACCATGAAGAGCGAGATCCAGAGCACTCTGGACCTAGACCTGGCCGAGCCGCCAGCCGGCGACGTGGCGACTGCTGAGGTCTTAGCCAGAGAGTGAGCATGCAGACGTCCAGCATGACCTCTAGCTAGCATGGCCCCCTGAAGCCAGCCCTCTAGTAGGCAATGTAGCCTGACCTCTAGCATGCTGCCTCCAGCGTGCCCTCCAGCATGCCCTCTAGCATACAAGCCAGCCCTCTGGCAGACCCTGAGAATAGCTCCGCTTTCAAGAGAAGAGCGAGCCCTGCACGTCACAAAGACCTGCCCGGATCTTGCTGGCTTTTTTTTTCCGGCGCTGGAGCGACCTTGAAGAGGCGCCTCCATGCTGGACGCTCTGCACAGGTCCCCCAAATGTCCTGAAGCCCGACCGCTGCTGGGAAGAGCCTGCGCCGTCTAAAAGAGCTCGCACCACTGCGGCGCTCTTGGACCCAGATGCTTATCGCCTGAATCGGGAGAAGGCCACGTCTGGGTGAGCCCGGAGATGCACGGCTGCGTCACCGGCGCCTTCAAGAATCAGATCGACTGGCTGCCGCTCAACACGGGCTCCGTCCGCCCGACGCAGGCCGACCGTTTCTGTGCCGGTTCGAGCAATCCAAACTTTGAGTTAGAGAGCTTGGGCAGTTTCTACTCGGCCGCGCCAGTCGCAGCCCTGCAATGCCGCGTCTTTGATCCTCCCAGCTGTCCCTGCTAGGGGCGAACCTGCGTGGTGCTTCAAGTCAATGGTGGAAGTCAGCCACTTGTGGTGATTACAGACCTTAGCTGCCTTAGCTCTTCAGGTTGGATGAGAGAATCTCCAAGCGGGTTCAGTTAAAGCCCTGCGCCTCTCTCAAGAGCTAGCTCCTTGGAGCGTGCGCCGTTTACCAATTCATCTCTCTCTCTCTCTCTATCTGTCCCTCTCCCTTTTTCTTTCAACAGTGTTTCAGGTGGGTCAAGCTTAAGTGGTATGACATCAACTACCCCCCCCCTCCACAGCCACCCCCCCCCCCTCGGCAAGAAGGCCCTCGTTAGCTTGCTTGTTGGAACACGCGTCGCCTGTCTAGCTTTCGTAGCCGCAGTCTCAAGTACTTATAGTTGATACGTGCTACGAAAAAGTACCGCGCATGCCAAGTCGTGGCCCCCACTTCTGGCGACCATGGGATGCCCAGGAGCTTCAACATTGTGAACGAGCTGAGACGGCTTGCTCGGTGGATGCGCATGCCGTGCTGCACGAACCAGTCCTCAGTTCCCAAGGCCTGCTTTGCTCAAAATTCGGCCGGAGCCTTTTTTTGACCTCCATGCCGCGCGCCATGCAGGCTTGGCAAGAGTTTGACGACGAAGGGAGGATGAAGGACTCCAACTTTCGCGATCGCGTCGTCGACGTCATGGAGGAATATTACAAGTTGCTGGGCGTCTTCTTGGTTGAGCTCGATGGCTGCCTTGTTTGCCATGAAAGACGTAGCCTTGGCAACCATGTTTTGCAAGCACTTCCAGCGTGCCAACACATCAAGTTCTGGTACCCGTAAAGTATTCTTGCGAAGGACATGTCGAGCATACCTTTGACACATGCCCGGGCGCAGGATCGTATGCGCTTTGTCGGGGCAGCTGTCTCGTCATGCCTAGCACTTCGTAGTATTATTAGTACACTTCGTACACTGTGCCTGCTGGCTCGCAAGAGCATCATGCCCCGTACTGCCTGGAAGGCCTGTGATCTCTTGGTTTAAGTCGACAACCCGAACCAGCCTGTCTCCCTCTGCAGTACTGTAGCATCTCTCGGCTTCACGTGTTCGTCTTCCGGAGTAAAGCTCCCCAGGTTCACCCTCATCATGCGTGAGCACGCAGACGCACTTGTGGATCGCTTCTCCGAGCGGAAGGATTGAGGGTCATGAGGGCATTGCGAGAGTTGACGAGCCACCGTCGGCGCTGGTCTTGTCTTCGTGATTTTGAAAATCACAATGCCCTGAACCCTGAGCACCCACGATTGAAGGAGGTGGCGCAGAAAGGTCGGCTGCTCACGCAAGCTGAGTACCTCGGCATCGCGACCTGAAACCCTCAGCTTTCAACCCACAGGCTGTGCCCATAGGGTGGACGAGGTTGATGAAGTCCTACTGGGGGGGGGGGGGGGGTCTATGGGGTAGCGAATTAAGATCACAGGAGAGAGTTTGCTTCGGAACTGTTCTGAATCTACTACAGGCCCCATAAGCTCTGAGCGACCCCAGGAAAGAGAAGCTCAAAGATGAAGCGGCTGCCGAAGCAGCGGCAGCGGCTGCTGGCAAAAGGAAATAGGACACGTGTTGAGTTGTTTGGTCCATATGGAGATAGTCTTTCAAGTATGCATTACTTGTATTCCTCTTCTGGTCTGGTTAGTTTAATCTGAAGACTACTCAATATTTTGTTTTTTCATGTTGTTTCCGTTGGCATAACCTCCCGCCCATGGCCGCTCCATCGTGCGGCCGAACAGGCAAACATTGAGAGTGGAATAGCAAGGACTTTCGGGCGATTCTTAGTTTTTCCCGCGCGCAGGGCGTTGGCTCCTTGTTCTGCCCCAAAGTTTGGGCAGAAGTTGCAGTGGGTTCGACGTGGCGGAAAAGTTGCGCAAGATGCCTCTGAGTTTGTCAATCATGAGCTGGAGGAAGAAGTCATGGCATTACATGACTGTTGTGGAGGGAGCTGTGCCCTGTTTTCCATTAGTTGTCAAAGATGTGCCAAAAGCACTTCAGCTTCAAAACCCAGGCAGAGATGAATAGCGTTGCATGGCAGAAGCTTGATATTCTGGCTTTGTCCCTGGCACAGACGCGTGCGTTTGCCTTGTCAGGTCCTTGCCACAAAAGGTGCCTGAACGTCTTCCTTGTTGCTTGGTTGAATCGCTTCTTCACAGCTGCTGCTCAAGGCATGGTCATGACATATGCCTCCATGCTGCACGGGCATGATGAACCACTCGCAGCGTGGATGTACCTGAGACGACGTTGACCGCATCACACCATGGTGCTTATAGCCCGCCTACGGCTCCGTCTGCAGTTTAGAGCTCCCCCAGCCCTATCCAGAGGGCCGGAATGTCAGTTGCAGGATATACCAAAGTAGTGCCCCGTCAAACTGCCCCACATTTGCCATGGCTCGGCGGAGACCCCTTCTCGTCCTTGGCATCCTGGCCGCGGTGGAGGCAAGGGTCCTAAAGCGAGCATTCACGACCATGATCCGCTTGAGCTTTGCTCTGACTCAGGTGGCTTTCCTATTTCCGGGCCGCATCCGAGTGCCCAGGGATGTGGCAAGAAGAGGCAGCGGTCCTCTAAACAGCCTAAGAACAACTATGAACTCCGCACCCGCAGACGTGGCCCCGCTCGAGAAAGCTGCGCCCCCCAGAAGCCAAACGTTCTCGCTGCAGGCATCCCCGAGCTCTCGAAGTCCCAGGAGCTGCTCCACCAGCTCGCAGACGACATGGACGAGCCGCTCGGTGGTCGGGTTGTAGCCTTCGTGACCTTTCGGGATGTAGGGTTTAAACCCACAGATGAAAGAGAACCATGCTGCTAGAGTCGGAGCTGCGATGTTGCTTAGAGCCCCTGAAATAGAACCAGTCCTCTTTTGGGCGCCTAGTTTGATGGTGAGTATAAAGTTTAGAGAAGTTATTAGCACACCAAAAACAAACTACCATTGAGGGTGGGGGGTGGGGGTTGTGCCATCTACAGGGTTTGATGAAGGATCATAGTCGTCCCAAATCCTGCTGAATAGGGCGCTGGTCATCCTACATATGATATTGTATTGTATTCTATTCTATTCTATAATATTCTATTATATTATATTACATTATCTTCTATCCAAGTCTATAATATTCAATTCTATACTGTTGTATGATATGATATGATATGATATTATATTATATCATATTAGATCATATTATAGTATATCGTATTTTATGATATGATATTATATTATACGATGTCATCTTGTGGAAAATAGTACAGAAATGTGTACTACAAAGAATCTAACATAATTAAAAGGGTGCGACCTAAGCCTCAATGGGTAAAGACATGTGTGGCTCTTTACTTGTGTGAATTAGAGCCCAAACCCTAGGGGTTTTGGAGTAGATGCCCCTCCCGTCCTAAAAACGGAATTCGGGTGTTGAGTCGTCGTGATAGAGGTTCGCCATTTGTGCGGTCTTCTTTACGGGAGCTCAACTATGTTTCTCAAAAACCAACTGCCTCCAAAGACCTTCAAGATGTTGCGCCTTTTTTTGCGTCTGCGTGATTATGCGTGATTGTAAATCCGTGCCCAGAGATCTGGTGCTTTCGTGCTGCGTGTTTCTTTCGTACCGGGATGCCCTGAAACCAAAGTGTTATCGGTTATTTCCAGTTAAGGATGTTGAAGGTTTTGGCCCAAGCTGGCCATCAACAATGGGAAGTTTAGGCCTGGTTTCCATGTCGAGGACTCTTAGGAGCTTCAGGTGGTTTAAATGCTTTGAGCACCGTTGTAACTACAATCTTGCGGTTGCAGATCGAAAGCATTTTGATCCTGTTTGCTTTCTTTCAGGATATGAAAACAGCGTAGAGGCTTTTGAAAGACGACTGAAGTCTAAAGTTACACCGAACGAATGGCACACATCCATGAAATTTGGGGTCATGGCCCCGTTGCAGTTTCTTTGGGGTGTCCATGTGCCGCGTGGCTAGGTTTTCTGAGTTAGGTCCCTTTCCGCGCACCCAAGATGTAAGGTTCCGTATGACTATGAAAGCCCCGAAGGGGGACCCAACCCTAAGCCCTAAACCCTAAACCCGAAACCCTAAACCCTAAACCCTAAACCCTAACCCTAAACCCCAAACCCTAAACCCTAAACCCTAAACCCTAAACCGAGCCTGCCGCATCTGGGCAAGCCGTGAACTGCAAGTTTGCCTCCCCAGGCTGGCCAAGATGCTGCCAGACGAGGGCTGCTTGCTTTGCAAGATTGCCCTAACACCTAAACCCTAAACCCTAAACCCAAAACCCAAAACCCAAAACCCTAAACCCTCAGCATCCCTCAGCCCTAAACCCTAAACCCTAAACCCTAAGCCTAAACCCTAAACCTTAAACCCTATTGGAGTTTGGGTGGTTTGGGGTTTCGGCCTAAACCCTGTCTGCGAAACTGCCCCAGGCATGTTTCCAGGCATTTCCAGGGAGCAGCGGTTGAGCTCAGGCTGTGCCCAGTCTTGAGAAGTGCAGCGACGCCTGAGGCGAAGATGACGATGAGGTCTTGCGACGAGAGCAGGCTCCTACCCTAAGGGAACCAAGCCGGAGCTCATCTTTGCACAAATGGGCCGTCTTTGGTCTTTAATACCCACGGAAATCTTGAACTACTGTCGAGTTGGAAGCGCCTTGCAAGATGACGCCGCCCTGGCAATGCGGTGTAGGGGTGATAGCTTTCCCCTGGATCAGGCGCAGCAAGAGCCATCACCAGCAGCCACCTCAGAGTCGCAGGCGGGTGATGGTGCCGGAAGATTGTAGGGGCCAAGTGCAATCAGGTTTCTGACGCTCTGCATGCTTACTGGAGCTGTTGGGGTCTCCTGAGCATCTTTGTTGTTGCGCAGGCTCTGGCGACGGGCAGTGTGGAGGCCGGGACATGGACCACGGAACCATCTAGAACCCAGATGATCCAGCATGCTGCATGCTTGCGGACTTCATGAAGCCAGGTCCCGTAGCTAGCCACCGTGGCCACCACAGGCCCCGTAAGCCAGATCAGCTTGCAAAAGGTGGGCCAGGTGGTGTCGGGCCTCGATGTCGGTGCCCTGCAACCAGTGGGCAAGAGCCTCAGGTTGAAGGTGGTGCAGATTTGAGATTCGCCCGCCCCCTAAACCCTTGAATGCTTTATGAATGTTTTAATTGTTTCAGAGACGCCTCTTGACACGGTGGCCCTTGGCTGAGTTAAGGTTTCTGGACTCTGGGTCGGTGGGGGTTGCAGTGAGGTCTCAGTGGCCCCCAATGCACGGAGGGGCCTTTGCGCTTCACTGGTAGAGGTCGCAGTACTTTGGTGAAGCATTTGTGCTGAGCCCGGAGGTGACAACCAGTACATCGCCACAGTTGAACAGATTCAGGCCATTGTAAATGACAAGGTCGGACATGTAGCAGAGTTGTTGCACTGACTGCCCTGCACCTCTGAGCAGCACATGACATACACATCTGCATGTTCGGTACTCACATTCTCAAGGCACCGTGGATCCTCGCTATCGTCAATGTAGTAGGATGTGGCAGAGTTGTCACATTGACTACCCTTGACAAGCTCAAGCTCGCATCGGGTAAGGTGGCTGACTTACGTGTAAATGACCAGGTCCAGAAGTACACGGCTGTGATCAAGAGCTTCGAAAGGCGGGGTGGCCAGGGGGGGGATCTTGACAGGTCCTTGGACCTAGTCAGGACAGCGTCAGGTCAAGTCGCTTCATTACCGACTTCCCACATAAGCCCGTATCACGAGAGGATGTTCAACGGCCCAATGCTGTCCTCCCACCCCTCTCTCCTCACCCTCACCCCCCCCTGTTTTTTCAGGTACATCAACGAGCTGGAAGAGGCGATGGCAAGAAAGAGGGGTCCGAAGTTCGGGGCTGGACTGTGAGCAGGTTTGCGTGGTTCCGCAGCAGCTCAACTGCCCCAAGCCCAAATTAGAAGCCGAAAAGGGTTGCTTTGGGGGGCTGAAGGAACTTGAAAAGACTGAAGTCGAGCTGGAGAAGAAGGACCAGACATTGCAAGAAGAAGCCAGGCTAAGGCTCGCCTCGGAGGGGCCCAAGTCACTTCTCCAAGATTCATGGTTTTTTTTGGGTACAAGGGGACCCACCCGTAGGTCCCACTCTGGAATGCCCGAATGCCCATGGGGCCCCTGAAAAGACATGGAAACATTTCTTGCTAGGCAGGAAGCGCAAGCGGAAGTCTTGAAGCTGGCGGACGAGCGCGAGGCGGGCAGAGGTTTCAACGTTGCACGCCTTTTGGTCTCCGAAGATGTCAGGGGATCTTGTGGAAGCACATGCTTCCTGGTGCAGTCATTGTAGCTGTCGGTGCAGTGTCGGTGTGTCCTTGCAATGCGGGTCCGGAGTATGCGATTTTCTGCGTGAGGAGTTGGAAAGGTCTCTCCTCATGGCGCAGGAGGCATGCCTTCGGACATGGGACATTCGGTAGGGAGCAAGCGGCGGGTCTGATGAGCGTGTGAAACACGCACCCCGGTTCTTTGACCAGGCACAGTCTTCATCCATAGCAGCCATGGGCGGCTTGAACTCACAGGCCTTGCACGCAACACCTTCTGACTTGAACCTGATCTGACCTGCCTAGGAAGATGTGTCGGGTACGCCTCAATAGCGTCTCCTGAGTTGCTCCGGAGACGGAATTCGTGTGGAATTTTGAGTGCTGGAATTGTAGCAAGCCCTGGTCCAATAGTTGTGCCGAGTTAGCCGTGACGAAGAGAGCAGGGCCTTCAGCCAGAAAGGCACAAGACTCATACGTCCAAAAACGTCCAATAGAGCCTAGATCCATGCTGCAACCCCGCACTTTTCTTGCTCCAAGCCTCCCATCTTGGCCCATGGCTCCTGCCCTGATACTCCAGCACTCGCATACAGTGCAGGCTGAACGCATCGCAAAAATGATGGCGGATGGGGACCTGACTGAGGCAGCTTACCACGAAAACGTCTAAAGGATTGGCATTGATATGCAGATGTCACAATGTCGGGCCGTCTTGCATTTCATGGACCTGTTTCGGACTTGTTTTGCCTGTGACTGGTGACTGTCCTGCATGGAGCTAGGAGGAGGCCTCCAACCTGGAGGAGTCGCTGATTTTCGCCCAGGCCGGAATTGATGGATGCTGGGATATTGGGGCGAAGGTGTGCAGCAGGGCTGGGGCGTCACAGTGAAGTGTTCGCAGAGCAGGCGGCACAGAGCAAGCGATAAGCACTCATGGTCTCGTGGATGGGTGTTTCGGCGTTGTGAGGATCGTGCTTTCTTTTGACCTCCGAAGCGCGGACTGTGCAATCCACGCTTCGTTGTGTCGGCTTGCTCACATCAGGCGAAGAATGTCCGGGCCACGCAGGATGCAGATGATACCTTCGGAGAGCTGCAGGAGGCGACAGCCATAGGACTTAGGGCCAGGGCTCCAGATGGGCACGGAATCTCGGGCACAGGGGCTGCTTGCAAGTCCAGGAAGTTGCTGAGCTACCTAAGAGCTTATACAAACAGGGTATGGGGGGGGCGGTTAGCTTCTATGGTTATGCTTGGTCCACGGCCTGGGCCAGGCACCCTTGGACATTGCCCCAAACATCCCCAAACTCTAAAGCCTAAGCTGCAAGCATCTAAGCATCTGACACGTGGAGAAAGAACGCCGCGATGTGCCCCTTCTTGGCTCAGCTGTCAGCTCTGGGTGCGCCCGTGTGCTTAGCATCTTCGGAGACTGCGGCATTCGCTTTTCAGGCACCCGGAATGTTGGAGCGTCGGTGCCGCGGGATGGGTTGTTGGGGTTGAGGGCCTCTTGCATTTTTCATTGTCGCTCTCTCCCTCTCTCTCTCTCTCAGCTTGTCATTATGATGCCTCTATACCTTCGGTCTTAGCCACGGGTCGCAAAGCAGTTTGTCATGAAGGTTTGCTCACAAGCAAAGCGGGACTCCAGAGTTTGAATGCGTGCGTTTCATCTCTCCCTCTCAATGGTGGCATCCCGGAGGCAAACATGGGTAATGCGACTTGCTGCTCCAAGGCCGGGCATTTGAACTTGAACCATCAGGGTTGACGTGGACGTGTACTGCTCACTTATGGCACAGCGCAGCTCTTGCTTGCATTGTGACTCCAAACCTATGATAGTTTGCAAGAGCAAGCTCTGTTGCCCACCAGGATGAGTCCAGCAACACGGACCTTCCCGAGCAGAAGGTGCAGAGACAGCACAAAGAGTCGGAGCAGAGATTGCGCAACATCCGCGCCAATGTGCTGGTGGGAGTGTTTTCATGCCGGGACACGTCGAGCCTGACGCGTCCAGGATGCCAAGCCTACCGCTCCGGAAACCGCCGTCGTGGAGGCAGAGCTTGGGGAACAGGGGGCAACCTGAGTCACCCCCAAGCTCCACCGCCCAAAGTTCGGCTGAGCACAGGAAGCAGTTGCTCCTCAGCCACGTGCCTGGCTCCCGGCTTGCTGTGGCTAGCTTTTGCTGGCTTCCTGCTCGGCCACCACCATTGAGTTAATTTTAACAACATTGAAATCTGCAGTGCTTTCTCCAAGACAAGACCTCTCTGACTCTCTGGAATTCGAAATCAAGTCGTGAGGATGGAGAGTTCATCATCATCCTGGTCGGGGCCCAACAAGGGAGGTGGCAAAGCTAGGGTGCGCAGCGGACATTACAAACCCTTGAGGTCGGAAGTTAAATTATGCAACCGTCGTTGTGGGTTATGTAGCATTCGTATTTTGTGTGGGTTTCCTCATGACAACCGAATGTAAGTGCCTCAGCAGCAACCCGATCTCCTGGTGCCTAGGACAAGACCAATGGAGAGCGTCTGGGCATGGATGTGGATCACGAGGATCGAACACTTGTGCTGGCGCTCTGATCGTGAAGAGTCAGCAGCAGAGAGACCTTGCGCGAACACGAAATAGAAAGAAACAAGAAGCACTTAGGTAGCTCTCCAATTGATGTGAAAAAGATGCCTTACCTTATCGTTTCCGAAGAAACGAAGTGAGTCGCTTATCTTCATTCTTTCCATTTAGTCTGTTCACATTATGTTGTTGAACATTGAGCTTTCGTGCTTCATTTCACCATCGCTTTTTTAAAGGTCTAACGCCTCTACTTCTACCTTGTAAACAGAGGTCGTGTATCTCGCGTCTTGCCTTTAATTGTGTCCAGTTGCTTTCATACATCATTTTCTGTGAGAAAGCCACCGCAAAGCCCAGCAGACGGTCCACACATATCAATACGCAAGCAAGCAAATGAGTGAGGTTTCTCCATTCCTTCGTTCACATTCTTTTTGACCTACTCAGCGCCAGGGTTGCTTCTCCTCATTGCTATTGCCTCACAGACCAAACGACTAGCAAAGACACTAGACCCTTGTTTGCTTGCCGTGGTTGCTGGCGTCCCAAGGGCAGCACAGATTCTGAAGGTTACGTAACCACAAATCTCATGACATTTCCCTTCTCTTCTTGGTCAAATTTCTTTTGCTTCATGAGCCCTTTGGAAGGTGCTCTGTGTTCAGCGTACTGCACTAGCAATACGGTGCGGGAAAACACTTTGGGGTTTTCGTCTGACTCATGCGATCACTCAGCATATTCGCTCACTTATGTCACAAGCTTGGGTGCTGTTGTGTCTATGAAGGCTCGCTGCACCAAGAATCATGCGAGATGCGGGTTGCGAGGATCCGTGAGAGAGAAGGGAGCTGGGCTGAGAACTCCCCAGCTTGTGCCAGGACGGTCGTACCCTAGCCGTCGACGCCATTACTGGCGGCCTCATCGAGAAGTGGAACATGGAGCACCCAGAGAAGGTGGCTTTTTCCGCCTTGGATTGAAGGGCCAAGCTTCTCTGGGGGGTGTCCTTGAACAAAAACTATTGATTCCCAAGCCTCCTCGGCTCCAGATCAGGGAGGTTAAGCATGAGTTGTTAGAGTCATCTTAGTTAGACTTAATTTTGCACGAGGCCCGGAGAAGGACCTTCGCATGCAAAGTCGCAATGGAGGTTCAGATGAGGAAAACCCGTGCGTGGCCTGCTTACATGAAGCCCTAAGTCGGCTTAACTACGGACGAGCTCCCGAACAGGATCCAGAGAAACAACGTCGACAGCCGGGAATACGGTGAGCAGATATCTGTCACTTAGCCTAAGGCGGTGGCTTTTGGAGATGGAATCATATAGAATCGCTATACAATAAGCGTAATTCCGAACGAGGGTCGGAACAGTGTTTCTGCCTGCGTGGTCTTTCCAATGTCCCGCTTAGTTAGGTTTTCAGAGTACAAGTACGAGCAACAGCCACAACAAGCTTCTCGGAGCTTAGCTTTGTATACATGCTTGGCACAGCAACGACATCAACATGTGCGGGCAGCAAGCCTCCCGAAAACACTGTGCAGGGACAACTCGAAACCCTAAGGCTCTATACTTCCGAGTCGAAGGACTTAAACTGGCCACCCCCGCAGGATCATGAGTTACAGTTTCATGCAACGAGGTCTTCGTTCCAGGGTTGGGCCATCCCTTCGATTTGATTAGAACACAGGTGCAACAGGCAAGAAGCATCCAAGTCAGTTTTCTCAGTAGGCTCTTCTTGGGAATTACCGAGAGGAGGCCTCAAAGGAGGCATCATCTCAGGGTATGGTCTGGTTGCGGAGATTCCTAATCCGCTGTACAGTTTTAAGGGTTTTAGCTAGTTCCTGAAAGGCGAAGCTCACGGGCGGGTTCCTGAGGGACTAAAATGCCCCTGACAGAGTTGACCACAAGAACCCCAACTAAACTTAGCTGTCAACCAGCACCTCTCCTGGAGGCCCTCTCCCTGACATCTTTATCCCAGACCCGTGACAGTAGATGGTGGTGGGGTGGGCGGGCTAGAGCGGCGCCAGGTTATCAGGTATCATTCCGCATCATGCCCGTAGCCGTAACTCCACTTCTTGGACAGGCCTTGAGGCCGAAGGACCGCATCGTGGAGGTCAATGGCTTGCGCGGGGATGTCCTGCAACTCGTGGACGAGTGCAAGAAGCCGAAGGCTCTTCTTGGGGGCTCTTCTTGGGGGCTCTTCTTGGGGGCTCTTCTTGGGCTCTTTGGGGGTTGTGGGCAGGGGGTTTCTTCCGGTTCCATTGGAAGCTTGAAGATGCAGAGCCGGCCCCTGCTTCGCTTGCACAGGTCCTGACAATCTACGTGAAACGAGAGTCTCCGGCCTAAGCGAGGAGAGAGCAGCTGCGCTTGGCTGGGACAGCGGTTCAAAATATTGGAAGGAGGGTTCGGGTGTCGGCTCTTAAAGCCTTGAAGTCGGGGTTTCCATAACATGTCAATTTGCAAAGTGGGTGTACAGTTTGGAGCACAAATCGGCGCCGTGAATCCCGGAGGAGCCCGAAGGCGCGAGGACGTCCTGGGCCGCTGTCCTCAGTTGGAGTGAAAGTGGGGCTGACTACAGCATTGTGCCATGCTGGCTTTTGGTGCTTTCACGATGAAGATCATGATGGTTTGTCTGGCTTTTTCCGTTCAGCCCAGGCAGTGAGAGAGGCCGATGTGACTGAGATGGGCAACCGTGGTCACTCTTGGATTCTTGATGCCAGACATACCACATTCAGTTGCACGTCAGAGGGACCTGTGTTGCAGCTTTCAGAGTTCCGGCAACGGAGGGGAGGGTAACCCGACGCGGCTTGCCTACCCCCTTCCTACTTCAGTGACTAGGTGGCAATGAGGCATGTTTGTTCGCGAGCCATGCAAAGGGCATTTGTTTAGTTCCGTTTATGTCTGTTGCCGGTCCGAAGTCAGCAGATTCATGCGACAAGTGGAGCCCTAGCAAATAGCAGGGGTGAAAATCCAGCCAAAAGCCTGTTCGCTTGCCACTGAGATTCCTCCCTCTACACTGCTTGGCATCATGGCACTACATGCTTGCTTTGTAGATTGCCAGTCAAGGAAGACGTAGCCTTCAATTTGGCTTTTTCATGGTGGCAAGTTCGCTGGGAGAATCAGCATCAAGCAGCGAGAGAGCTCCGCATGTCTGGAAGTAGTCAAGTACCTGTGTCAGGGGTTCTATGAACTCGACATGCAGTTTCTTCGGAGCTTTCCGCGCCGACATAGCATGTTACCATTAGCCCTGTCGTGTCCGTAGCGAAGCTTGCTGGACTTGGAGCATTTGTCCTTGCAGCTCTGCCCGGACATGGCCGCATGCGCACCTCGTCGCAATACGTCGTGCAACTTGCGTTTCACTGACTGCAGCAAATTTCTCCGGCACGGGGAACATTCAAGGTCACCATTCAGCAAGCCAGGCACACACCCTGGGTGTTGGTGCTTCCAGTCTCAGCAAATCCCCAGCCCTGGCGGCTGCAGTCACAACTTGCAGGATAGACGCTTGCTGGTTCTTTGCATTCACTTCCTTGCAAGAGAGCATCCCCTCGTACTGCGACATAGGCATCACTGACATGGCAGCGCCGGAATGTGGTCGAGCAGGATCCGACCTTCATTCAGCAACGCAGCATACCTTTGGTGTCTTGCTATCTTATCATGACAATCAGCAACACAGAGCTTCTCTTTGATGTCTTATTACCTTATCGTGACAACAGCACTGCACCGTCACACTCGCTCTCCGGCCCGATGCGCGACATCCGTCCAGTCATGCCGTAAGAAATACCCAACACGAAGTCCACAGGACAAGTGAGGAACATTGCGCTTGAACACTTTGTGAGCATCTTTTTTGTCTTCCATGCCAATTGGACATGGAAGGCTGTTGGAGGGAAGCAGGGATGCTCTCCTGCGTAGATCCAGATGACTCGGGCGATGACACCGGGCTATGTGTGGGGTTCAGCGCCATCACGACAGGTGGAGCGTCAAAACCATGTGGATCCATGTATCATGTATCAAGCTCGAAAGTGGGTTGCAGTGTGCTGATCCCCCCACAGTTGCAAAACCTCGAACTGCCAAAGTTGCCCTGGCAAAAAAAAAGGGCGCATGCCAAAGAGGGAAGGTTGGCTTGATGCGTTTATGCGCTTTCAGCTGCATCCAGAATCCAGCCCCTTAAGCCTTGAACAAGCCCCTAGCTTCGAAGCCTCTCAAGCTAAAGCAACTCTTAATCGGACCGAAGGACGCTATAGGGCACACCGCCTGCCCGAAAGACAGCACCCGCAAGCCAAGCAGCGCCAGCGTGCCGCGGACAGGTTCAGGATGCTGCCGTGGAGGTACACTGACAACGGGGGGGGGCAGGGGGATACCTTTGGGGCGGAAGATCGGAAGGTGATCGCTGAGCTGGGATGTTTCGAGGGGCCCGATGTGCAGCCCTATACGCCCCATCGCGCAGCCACAGCCCCCAAACCCATGGCCAGGCGGCTCAACGGGCCGCACAGGCAGAGCAGCGGCAGAGAGCCCTGGCGGAGGCTGGCAAATAAAGCTATGCAACTTTCATCCGGAGAAATTTCGATTTCTGGAACGCCACAGAATGTCACAGGGTTCGGACAGCAGCCACATCCTTACAGTTGTAGAAGTCCTTCAGTGCACTTCACCAAAGGAGCTTGAGCTCCCTGCAAAGAGACCAGAATGTCAACATAGCCTCAACGAACACTCGTGCTTCATATCAACATATATCAACCTCAGAGTGCCTTAGTGGCTTTAGAGTCTTGTGCGGACATCGGCCTCCCAGTCAGGAGTTGGAGAAGATGAGAGCCGAGCTGAAAGAGGTTCAGGAGAAGTCACGAGCCGATGCCTGCCTTGGATCAAGCTGCTTTCGGACTTTCAACTGCAAACATCCATCGTGGTTCGGCTTTCTGATCTCCATGAGAGGATCAGCGCGACAGTGAGACCAAGCGGCGTGAGTATGCGGATGCCCGGTCCGGGCCACGTGGAAAGCCCGGGGTGAGTTTCAAACATGGGAAACAGTGTCTTACGTGGGCTTAGTCAGAATGCTTGGGGGTTTGGATGCGGTGGTGGAGTGGAGACGCAGAAGTTAAGCATCCGGTCGTGCAAGTCATGGTCCTCTGATGTCCTGTGCCTTATGCTAGACGTTGCCGCATCCCTTAGCCCCAGGTTCAGCCAGTTGATCAACCGGCTACAGGAACGGGTTAGCAACCGCGGCTAGGCAGGGCCCACTGTGATGCTGTTAGCAATGCAGAGGCAAATCGTAGAACGCAGCGCTCTTGAAAAAGACACCCCTGCGTGCCCCAGCTGCCTTGCTAGGATCAAGGTGCCTGAAACATCCAAAAGCCGGATCAGGTGCAGCGCCATCTTCCGTGAGATCCAGGCTTGAGTTGCTCGAGCCCTGTTCTGCTGAAGTCTCACCGGGCGTCTCTGAATGTTGCGCCTGCCCACGTCAATGAATGAACACGGTCTGGGAACAGACAAGCGCGGAAGTGGTAAGCCCGGCAAGCTGCAGATCTGGGAGCTGGGCCTTCTGTCTTGGGAATTAGCTTTCCACTTCTGCGAAGACTCTCGGATCTGGAGAAGCGCGAGCGGGCTTGGCTCGAGGGGGTCCTTCGGACTGAAGTTTCTCTCATTGTCTCTCTAACTTAATTGCCGGTTCTTCGCAGACCCCTCTTCAAGATGCCTTCTAGAATCCCCCGAAGGAAGCCCCCTTTTTGAGTTTGCGGACTCCTTTTTCCCTAAACCCTGAACCCTGAACCCTTTTACAAAGACCATTCAAGAATCAAGCCTGAAGCCCTTCGAGCTGCCCGATGTCGCGGTAGGAATCGAAGTCTGGAAGCAATTTGCAACATGATTCTCGAAAGTCTGGTCTCATGTGGTCCCTTTTGGGGAGATTCTGGGTATTTCTGGGTGCCCTGATGTAAGGGACCGTGTAGCAGGCGCCTCAAAAAGAGCCCCGAGTTAGGGAAAGGATCTCAGGGCTCGGACTGAGACCTGAATCGCTCCCAGATTTCGTTGTTCCATGCGTTCGCAAAATGCAACGGCTCCTGACTGAGCTGGTTTCTGAGCAGGCGTGAGCCTGCATGTAGATGGCTTGCTCATGCGTCGAGATATGCTCGAAAACACGTCAGCTGTGTTCAAGTGCTAGGCGCGGGTGGAGCGAAGCTGTTGCACAGGTCACCCATCAGAATCTCCCATGAGTGGACCCAGACTGTTCGGCAGCTTCATCTGTAAGACCTCTCGGCGCATTGTTTTGATTGCCGGTTGCTACTGGGCTCAGCTCTTAGTGCACTCAGTCCCGACTGTCTGATGCTCTGCTGCACTCTTGAGGACAAGGTTGTCTGTGAGTGCCGTGCGGATTGATTCTGGGGTTCTCATGGGTAATCGCATTTGGAATATGTTCCTATCAGCTGGGTTTGAGAACTTATCGAGAATGTGGCGATGTTTAGTCAGTCCCAAGCTGTGCTGTCGAACGTGTGAGAAGTTGGGAGTATGCCGAGTATGCATCGTGCTACCCAATGTTAAAGAAGGATCATTCAGATTCTTTGATACTCTTTGTCAGCCGAGGGAGAGATGGCGTGTGCTGCTCAGATCCGCGAGTCTTGATGTTTTGCGTGCAACGTGGGAACTGGGCATCCTGATTCCCATCCCGACATCAAGGATGACCGAAAAAAACAGAGCATTTCTAAGGTCGACTACTCCACTGCTGGCAGATATTTCTTCCCGGAACCGGAAGGCAACTGTTGTCAAGGTGCCACGGGATCTGAGCAGCTAGGGTCTGACCTCAGCCTTCTTCACTTTCCATTGCGAGTTAAGGCGGCTAAGGTGTGGCAGCAGTCAGAAGAGATGCCCGAGACACACAGAGAGACAGAGAGACACACGACACGGACGCACGAAGAGCTTGGAGGCCGCCTGGCAGCTGGAGAACGCAATTTTGGGAAAGTCCGTCCAGGTCTACCCTAAGGACACCGGCGGAGGGGAGGATGTGTTGGCATCTTTCCATACCTTTCTATAGCTTTCTACAACTTTCTATGGCCTCTTTATGGCTTTCTACAACAATCTATTGCTTGTATAGCTTTTCAAAGCTTTCTGCCGCTTCCGAAGGCGGACATTGCACCCCCCTAACCCATGCTACGCATGTGTGAGGTTGAATGCATTTGACTCCTCATACGTGATGCGCCTTAGCCTATAGGGCAGACAGCGTACCACACCTTACTTTTTCGCAAATGGTGTGCATAGGTGTGCACGGCAGGTTTGCGAGGTCTCCCACTGCAGATGCCGACAACAGTCATCTACTTTTCTACCCATCGTACTTGGCAAGACAGATGGTGGCGCGGGATGACAAA